ACTCAATTACTTGGAGAAGGACGGATTTCGCCAATTCGTTGCTGACTTGTTAGAAGAAGGGTATACCTTTTACATAATCATTAATTAATTATTATTCTAGTAAAAGCGGTATAATGCTGGAGAACCCGATCCCTTCAAGGTCACGAATCCGCGCCGAAATGGAAACCCGTATGAATTCGATGATTGGAATGATAGAGGAACATGTAAATTTCAGAAAATAAATAATGCAAAATTGGTTTTCAGATCCGGGAACCTTTTCAGTCATTGTGCGCTTCAGTTTTGATCGATTTCGGAAAAATAAACATCGACATACTGGGATTAAAAATTTCATTTATCACTGATGAAATCAATGAAAATGGCCATATGGAATGGAAAATGAACATTATGCCCATCGCTGCAAAAATTGTTACGGAAGGAGGAAAAAACGGAGAAAAAGTAAGCAATTGTTATAAAAGTAAAAATTCATTGTCCTTTTAGATTGCTTATTTAGTTTCGGAAATTTTTTCCAATTACGGAATTACAAACTTCGATACGAAGAAAACAATTCTCGTCGCTGATGGCGCAAGAAATATGATGGCTGCTGGAAATGCTCATTTTTTTGATTGTAAGTAAAACATCACTGTTGCTAATAATGCCACATTTAGATTCGAGGTGTTGTGCTCATGTAAGCCATATTATTGCAACACATATATTGGTTCCGTACAAATCAAAGAGGAATTTTGTTGAGTTTTCTTCTCGAGAGCTCTGCATTTTGGAAAAATTCCGAGATGTGACAGAAACAGTTCGGAAACTGTGCCTTTCCCTCGGGAAAGATAGATTTGTAAGTAATTTTGTGTATTAAAACAGTATTTACTTCACATTAGGTGTGTCATCAACTTAAACTCAAACCGCCAACAATTGCCGAAACGCGCTGGCTTTCGGTGTACGATCAGCTTGTTTGGTTTATGTCTAAGCTGAATTTGTTGGTTGGCAATTCTGATAATTTCGACGACGAAACGAGTGACGAAATTCTCAAATGCAACGTAGTTGAATCAAGGAATTTGATCACATATTTAATAGATGTCATGGAGCCGCTGAAAGAGTTGAATATGGCTAGTCAGGTAATTTTCAATTATTGCAATAGCTGTAAAAAATTTTCGTATTTCAGAGGGATCAAATTGGAATTCATTATTCACTTCCATATTATATAGCAATTCTAATAAAATACAAAGAGATATATAGTGATACGGCAAATCCGGAAGTATATTTTCAATGTTATAATTCAACTATGTACATTTCATTTCAGGAGCTAAGAACAATTGCGCGAAGTGCATTCGTATCTTGCTACAAGAACAGTTCAAATTATAGTGCGCTACACTTTGCGGCCACGTTTTTATCGCCAATCAGCAATAATATGGATATTTTACAACAAAATGTGGATGATCTTAATGTATTTTTCATATTTTAAATAATGCTAATGGAAAAAAATTTCAGCTGCCTTGGTCGTTAGAGCAGGAAGCTAGGAATTACATTATATCCATGCACAAGACATGTTTCGCATCAAATAATGATGATATTTGTCGAACTCCTATGGAGAAAATTCCTTCATTTTTGTCGTCTGTTTTAGGACATCCAAAAAATCGAGAAAAGTCAAGAATAGAAGAGGAAATCAGCAGATATCAATGTTGTAAGAGCGCATTACCTGCGGCGATTTTCTGGCCAACGCATAAGACTAATTTTCCGTTGTTGTATCCGATAGCTCGAAAAATTTTCGGAGTAGCTACATCAGAAGCTTCGATTGAGCGCCAATTTTCCCTCATAAAAAACATTTACCGGCCTAATAGATATCGTCTTAATTTCGATTTTGCCGAAAAATTATTTTTAGCTTACGAAATCGAAAAAATCCCAACATTATCTTAATTTGTTATGGAATAAATGGTTTTTTTTTCTGGGTATAAATATCATATTTTTAATGGGGCTTTTCTCAAAACTTTTTTTTATTGTCAAAAGGTATGATTTTCACACTTCGGCCGAATCGCGGGCCGAAAATTTGACAGCAAAAAAAGCCGGCCGAAAGCCGGCCTGGGGCCGGCTTTCGGCCGGCCGGGCCCAAAATTTAACAACCCTGCACTCATGAAATATTTCCATCAATGTGAACTTTTCCGGTTTTTAATCGAGAAATTGATAAATGTTTAACTAATTGGGGGTCCGATGCTGCTTCCAAGTATGTATTGAAAGGTTTTTTTTAATTAGCTCATAGGCTTCTAGCATATGGAGTTTTCAAAGAAATATGCTAATAATTAAAAATAATAACATTACAAATTGCGTATAATTTAGGGATTCCATCATTCGATAATAAATATATTAAACCAAAAAAATGGCAAAAAATAATGAATTACTAATAATATAAAATATGATTTATATAGAAAACTGCAGAAAACAGTTAATGAAGGAAATAGAAAGAGTGAATTTAATTTCAGAATAAATTCAAAATATCTGTTAATTTTCAGCACAATTTGTATAAAAAACTGTCTGGAACATTTGAAAAATAAATATTTTGATAATGTTTTTTTTAACCCGTCATTTGTTTAAAAATTGCAGAAATTTGTAGTAAAAATATTAGTAAGAGAAGAAAGAAATTTTTGCCACGATGAGTCATGTTTGCACGTCAGCGAAAAATATTAAAGACTAAAATAAGAAATTTTGCGTTCAAATTTTTTGAATGGAATTGGAAACTGTCCAATTCCATTCAAAATATTTACTTGATTAAAGTGAAATTAACAGAAATTGTGCGTTGGTAGATAACAAAATAGTTGAATAGTCAGTGAAAGGTCAACATAAGTACCTGACGACTGTATAAAATGGTGAAAGCAGCTGTAAAGTGACACCCGATTCACCTATTAGAACAATAGGGATATGATGCGAGCGATTCGGAATAGCAAGTGATGTGGAATGGAAATCTAGACCAGGAATATTTTTACACTTGTGAAAGTTATAATGTTTGAATTGATTGTCATATGAAACCGGGTGTTTTGCAGACAAATTAATTTCAGATGAATTGAAATCTTCTTTTACAATTATTTTGCAATTTTATTTAAAAATCCATTTCTACTATAACTATAACTATAAATATATTTATATTTTATTTCCAGATTACAGATAACAAAAAAAAAATCACGTTTTAAACCATTCGAATTAATTGTTCAAAAATTATGTCAATCTTGACAAAAAATTGTATGTATCGAAGTACGTAATAACTAGTGTTGTATTTGAAATATTAGTGAATCCCTCGCAGCAAATCTGTCCAGCAAACTATCTTGAACGAGCTCGTTTAAATGCTTATGCAAATAAAAAATTGCGCGTTTCACACATTTTCAAACACAAACTAATAATACCATTATGAATTAATTCTGTAGAATTGAGTTTGAAAAAGTTTCAAGAAATAAGAAAATAAATTATTATAGCTGGTAATATTTCAAAGTAAATTTGGATTTTCCCTATAACCTGAAAAATAGAGTTTTCTAATACCGTTTAATATAATATTTTTAAATCGTAAACTTGAAACAATAGAGATTTGACTTCGTAGTTTTTCAAAATGTTTAAATTGTTTTTCAAAAAATGCCAAGATGAGAATATGAGGCGTGACAAGTGATGTGCATTGGTTTGATAGAATGAGTTTTATAAAACATCAGGCGATCTGGAATCCTATGAGAATATTTGCTCGAAAATTGCGTGCTCTTCATGGTATGACATGTTATGCATACATTTGGTGCCAGAAATCGGCTGTATTTGACGGACATACGACGCGCATTTTATCATATTCATGTCCATATTTGACATTAGGCGACACTTCATCTTTTTTCCGAAAATAAAGTGAGCGATTGACTCGAAAGTTTACGAAGAAAAACGATGAGGAAAAAAACAATATGCACGCGGCGTTGTAGTTTTTATGGAAAAAAATAAAGCGGAAATCTTGAAAGGGGGAAATGCCTCTGTTTTAGATTCACACGAATATTTGTTAGCAATGTACTAAGGGTGTTTGCAAAACCTCTCACTCATTAAATTGTCGTTATTTATGTAGCATCTCGACTGAAAAAAAGATGTCTTCATTAGTATTCGAAATTATAGAAAAATAGAAAAATATTCGATATCTGATTTTTAGAAATAAAATTTCGATTCGGAGGAATAAGAATTGTTCTTGTAGGAATAATGTAACATGTTAATAAATTAAAATTCGCCTAAAATATACAAGGCGTAGACCACATAATTATTTCTAATAGATCACATACTAGAGAGAGCATTTATATAAAATTTCGCAATGAATTATAACTATCAAACCAATTTAACGCTCTTTGCCAAGGACTTCCTAGAAAATTCTCAAAAAATGAAATTGATTAATACGAAATATTCATGTAAAAATAGTTGAATATGTATGTGGGTTTCGACTGAAAGAAGCAATCTAAATGTAAATCAGAATTATTGTTGATTTTTTGTGTCTGTCCCATATTTCAGGCCATTGTCTAGGCAAACCCGCCTCTTTTTGAAATGAGACATCAAAAGTTGGATTTGTTCGGTTATCTTTTTTCCCCATTCATTCGTTTACGATTTTTCCATATATTTATTTCATTATTAGTAAAACTATTAATTTCTCACAATTTCTCAAAATTTCAATAGCTGATCACGTGTGCACATTTAAGATTATTCATTGAATTCATAGGAAATTGTCGCGGAACAAAGAAAAATAAATGATACCAAAAAATAGCATTTCAAAAAATAGTGAAAAAAATGAGGGAAATGAAGATGCAAAAAAATGAGTGTTGAATTCTTCTTCAATTTCACACATATCAACATTGAAATCGGATAAACAGCAAGAAGCATTTTTCTTTTTTCACATTTGATTTAAAATAGTAGAGCAGAGATGATCGGTGTTTTTCCATAATGAACATCATTGATTGGACGAGGTAAAAAAAAAGATCTTAAAATTGAAGACAAAACCATATCTCAAAATAATTGAATCTATTCTATAAAAATTGTGAGATAATGTTGTTAATTTTTCCATCCAATAAAGATTCGATATTCGAGGTAGGGTAGTGGTAAATGTCGGAGAGAAGAAGAAGAAGTTTCCCAAATCTGTAATAATATTTGAACGCTTCCTTGTTTCAAATTTCGAACAAACCTTGAAGGATTTGGATGTGTTCGGAAACAGTTTTGTTGTAGAATGCACAACGATTGGTCAAGTTGTTGCTCGAATTGAAACGAGAATTCCTCAGATGCTAAAATTTAATTTTTTTTTTTAAATATTTTTCGATTGTTTCAAGGCCTTCGTATTATATTTCGTCTTTGTTTCAAATCGAAATATGAGTGTGAAACAGCCGCTATAATATTTGTTTAACCTTGAAAATTTTAATCAAAGCGCCTTTATGATTATATCCTGTGATCGCTCAAATTTTTGAGAATAGTCAGAAGCAAATCGAAATTAAAATTATTGATATGAAATTGAAAGCTTTTAACGATTTTAATATGAAAGCATATAATAATAGAAAAAGAAGAGTATAATAGTGAAGTCTGGACAGTTTTCACAGCTTTTTTTGATTCACAATATAAATGTCGGCGATAAATTATTGATAAATTTTAATCATCAAAGAGATCTACTGTCTTTGATAATAATAAAAAATAGTATAATGTGTGTTTATGGTTCCTACTGTCACTACCTTAACAGTTTTTAAATGTTTAAAAACGGAATCTTTCATTGTGATACACATTCGCTTATAAAGTTCCTCCACAGTGTTTAGTATAAAATATCAACTAAAGAGTGATTCTGAATTTCTTCAGTGCTTTGACATTGGCCCATATTACCTTTCACGATAATCCACTTTGTGTACCTCTCATGGTTCATCGTGTCATAATTCCAGTGCAAATCAATCTGTGCCCTCGACATACTTCATTATTTACACGGTGAAATGTATTCTCATTTCATCGAATAGAAATTTGAGTTTGACCAAACAAGCAGTGTCAGGCGCATCTCTATCTCATTTTTTTTGTCGATCGTGGTCCCCGCGAGAAAAAAGACTTCCCAAATTACCTTTTTCGCGCCGTAACTTAACTCGAAACTAGAGATTGTTTGTCGAACGGAAGCACAGATGAGACCCCGGGGACACAGGAGGGTAAAGAGTTAATGGCATGCCGCTGGTGCATCAGACGCGTTTTGGTGGGCTCACCATTCGTCGTAGAGACTGAATGCAACCGAGAGCCGCACGGATAATACAATTGGCCGAAATGGCATCGGAGGCACGAATGAGTGACGCGCGAGTCACTCTTTCCTCTTTCACTCTCGTCACAAAGTGGACTACGGTAGGTTAAGCTACTGGTAGAATCGGAGAATAGAAAACCGCAAACCTCGCATGAAAATTGCCACAGTTTTTAAGCAAGCAAATTCCGCTGAAGTGACTTCGAGATGTTTGAATCGTATCATAACTTGCGACAAGGATTCATCGATGGATATATCTTCGTTCATATTCTCACAAAGAGAGATGCACAAGAGAACTGGCCATTGAGTCAGAATGATTTGTCTCTATAAAACTGGGAGCTTGAAAACATCTCGAAATCCGTTCAAATTACCTTTTCTAAATCTGAAAGAACACAGAACGATGGAATATTGTGTAACCAATTCAGTGCAGATTCTAGAGTTTTCAATGCAATTTCCTGGAAGCTGTCCTTCTGAAACATTCTAAATTTCAGTGATAATTCAAATTGTCTATTACCTTTTCATCTTCAGTTTTTCCGTCACTTGCGCTACCTGGAGAGTCTTCGCGTTTAATAGGTTTCGGATGCCCCATTATAGCAGAAACAGCTCCCGCATATTCTCTAAACGCAAAATTCTCTATATTTCAAAATTTCACATTTGCCTACCGGAAAAAATGTTGGGGATCCATATCCAATGATGGCCTGATTGTAGCAGTATTACGTGGCTGACGCTCATTTTGCACTGCTAGAAAGGGCAAGGAAATGAATCATTTGCGTAAATATTGAAATTCTAACCGTCTTTATTCATTCCCTTTCCAAGACACTTTTTGAGTCGGCATGCTTGGCATTGGTTACGATGGGCTTTGTCGACAATGCAGTTGCCTGTTCCTGCCTGGCATCTGCAAGACAACAAAGGATACCTTATATTCTCATATTTGAATTACCTATAGATAAGTCGCCGTCGAACAGATCGTTTAAAGAATCCGGAACATCCGTTGCATGCAAGAATTCCTAAAAAGTATTTCATTATACATAAGAAAGCAGCGTTGAATTGTTACCGTAATGCTTTCCACTACTCACGTCTCCACAGACTGCACAACACAATGTGGGGGATGAAGCTGTCGGAGGTGTTTCTGATTTAATATTGCTCACGGAAGACGGGTAGCTGTTCACACTAATTGTTGTATGATCCGTGGAAGGAGAAACACTAAATAAAAACTGACAATACATTTATAATAAAGAATTTACCTATTATTCATTCTTTGATGATTTAGCGACATAGCAAGAGCTGCCATAATACTCTGCGGCATCATTCCTGAAACTATATCTAAGTTGTTTCAATTTTGCGGACCTGCGCAACCTGGATTAAAAAACGGCGTCGGAAATATCATTGGGGCGTTGAATATCGAGCGAGGTGTTAGGCTTTCATCATCTTTTGAATCCTCTATAAAACCACTCGTATCAGCCATAATTGGTAGTGGAGCGCGTAAAAATAATTCACAAAATAAATGGAAAATGTCATGTGCATTTGATTCAACGATACATAATTTCCTGTCAGAAGCACAAATAACGCAATTCGCCTCTTCAATGATTGAAAATAAGTTGCATTTTGTGAATTGGACGCAATAAGAGATATCAACAATGATATCAATCCGTCATTTCCGGATTACTTGCATAACGAGTAATTAGTTTTCTCGCAATTTTCAAGATATTGCTGTTACATTTGCGCACGTTGAAAGATATTAGATACATTACGAAAATAATCTCACCGAATAACTTGTTTGTTGAGAAATTGAGGGGCTCGTCTTCGTCGCTCATTGCTTTCGGGACAGAATCTTACAATAATCGCAAAAATATCAAAATGTGCGCGTTGGCAGTGTCTTGACTCCCGCCGCCTCAGGCCACGCCTCCTTCGAGGTCACTGACCCGATGCTTCCACCGCGCACATTCGAACCAGCCAATCGAGGAGTCGACTCCGCCTACTTGTTGCTCGAACTCATTTTTGCCATGAGTCTTCGTGACTGGGTCGGTTACAGAATAAGTGACTAAGCTTGCCATTTCGACGGAAACGATAATGAGCAAATATTTCGAGCCCCAATTTATCAACAAACGCATATTTTGAAATCAGTGCGCGTTAGGATTGCTACTCAAGGTCAGTGCAAATTTTGGCAATAGAAAAAAAAGTTTTATGATTGTGCTATAATTCGGATTTTAACTAGAAAAGATGTTCAGTATCGTCAAATGAATGCAGAAACATTGAACTGAATGACAATATCGCTGCCGGAAAACAAACAAAATAATTTCCAATTGGTTAAATTATTAATAAATGACGATGAACGATGATTCTCTGCTCCATCTTCATTTGAAAATGAACCACGTCAAATTGTGCGACTGTCGACACTTATGAAGGCAATCATGTGGCAATGAGCACCTTTTGCTGCTTGAGTATATCACAGCGTTAATGAGGTGACCGACGGATGCCTGCCATCCAGCATTCTCACTTAAATATCTATTCGAGATATATAAACAAGATGATGTTCTTGCGGATGTTGGCATTAATCCAATTGCGAAAAAGTTATCCAAACAATCTACAGTAATGATAGGTTGTGAACGTCTGCAAGAACAAAAGCGCGCGCGCTAAATTGGATTAATGAAATTGAGCACTGGATGCATGCTGAGTGCACCAATATCTTTTCCATTTATGGTTTTATTGCAACAAATTGGAAACATCATTAGGGCTCATAAGCAAATCCTTTAATTGATTTGAAATTTCCATAACCTTATTCTTTGGATTCATTATCTATATTTCCTTATCTGATATGAATAGATATGATGATAATAGGATCTTTGTGCAATTGTGTATAATAATTTACATTTTTATTCAAAGCCTATTGTGATCATATTCCCCTTTGTTCCTTCAGTTTCCTCCGTTTTTCATTAGCTTTATTAATACGATGTTGTTTTTGCGCATCAAGTACCGTAGTAATATGTGCATCTTGGTTAGGTGGAGGGCCACATCTGCTACGTTGGCAGATCGAATTATCCCATGTTATTGCGGCGACGCTTTTGTGATACTGCTGTAATCCATTTACGGCAATCGAGATACACAAATGGCGGTCCCTCGACGGAAAAGGAAAACGAGAAGATACATTTTTATTGGTCCCTGACTCCCAGTTTGCACTTGTTGAACATTCAACACGCGTATCGAACGGAACGCACAGTGGTAGCATTTGTTTAGAAAAAATGCCGACAACTATTCAAATCTTTCGTCGCAAATATGCCGCATAGCGTTGATTTTGAAATTGTGAACGCCGGTCGGAAATATAATTACATAAAAAAGGAATAAATTTATTCATTCAATGGGTATACTATTTAGAAATGAGTTTCGTCTCAATGTGTTTCCTTGTTTTTCAATGGCAGGCTGCAGATTTTGTCGTCGCCTCGTATTCATCATACTTGTCGGCCATAACCAGCAATATAAAAACAACAACACTAAACGCGAGAATATTCGAAATTTGGTTGACAACGCAAACTCACAAAGAAACAAAACCGCTCCGGCCGCATAACACGCAATCAATACACCAGTTCTCAGCGGATACTCGCAGCAAGTTGGCATTTGTGATCCGAGATAGGGAACGGTGCAACAATATTTGTAACTGGGAGGGTCTCCTGGTCGTGGGCACCTGCCAATTGTACCTGAAACATATTTCCAATGTGTAACAAATACGAATTTGCAAAACTTCTAGTTTAATAATTGGAATTGTGTCGGATAGTGGCACATACATGACAATGAAATATTTGTTTCTTTTCAATTCGAGGCATTTTTATGATTATTCAATTTTGTATTTTGTATTGAATTAATTCTTTAAACATTGTTCATCATTTCTGAAAATGAATGAAATTATTATGACTAAACAACTTAGCACACTATTTCTGCAAACGCAATTTGCGACAAGAAGATGGAAATTTAAAAAGTGTCATAAAAAATTGAATTTTTAACAAAATTAATTTTAAAATGAAGTAGAAGACGGAACAATTTAAAGAAGGGAGAGTGTGTTCCTTAAAATTTGGCCTTGTAGTCATTTTTAATTTGGCAATTTATTAAATACATTGAAAAAGTGTTCATTAAAAGCATATGAAAATATAATCAATTCACGCAAAGATGGAATATTTTTTTAATTTTATTATATTTTAATGGGTTTTCTCTCCGTCAGTTCAATTATAAAATATTTCCTATTTTCCACATTAAAAATTGGATTGATATTCATCCGTAAAAGATTTCACAATTTCTTAAGGTTAGCCATGAAACCAAATAATAATCATAAATTTTAAAATTTCTATTCGTTTAAATTATAATTTTAACAAGCCGTACTATTGGCGAGGTGGCACCTTTGTAATCGCGTTTTATAGAAATCGATACAATAAATATAATGTTAAGCTCACCATCATATCCCTCGCACCAACCCGCATCGCGTTTTGAAATTCGATGAAAAATCTCGCTCATCAAAATCAGGGAGAGCAGAAAAAAAATGCCAAGGTGAAACTATAGGCTAATTTTTATAGTTGGCGTCTTGCAAAACAAACAATAATGGGTGTGCAGATGAGAGGTTGATGCGGAAAAGAAACATAACGGTAAATATATATATATATATATATATATATATATATATATATATATATATATATATATATATATATATATATATATATATATATATCGATTCATTCAATGTTCTATTATTTTACACAAGTTTAACAGAAATGTTGATTATTGCGTGAATTTGTTTCACATTTCTTTTTTTTGGATGGGAACGCAACATTATTGAATAGATGCCCATTTTATTGTTCTGCATGACATTTAACACAAATATTTATTGGCAATGGTGTTTTAAAAAAAGAAAAAAGAAGAAAAACGTGTATAAAAAACTTAATTACAGGGATAATTTTGGTAAACCACATTGAATTAATAAATAAAATGACCTAACATTAAGTATATCTGACATGACACCACCTGTTTCGAAATATAGTCATCATTTGGAGCAACGAGTTCTTATGTTAATAAACATCATAAAAAATTAATTACGCAGATTATGTTTGGCAAAATTGAACCAAGAGAGCAATTAAAATTCATCTAGCACATGTTTAAAAACCCGTTTTAATAATAAGTTAAATAAACATTAAAATATTGGACATTTGAAACTTGAAAATTCATTTAAAGATATCCGCTGCTCCACCGCAGCAAATTGGTGCGCTTCATTCGGTTGAGCTTCTTGGCGGATGGGCCGATTTGAGGAGACGCGCCGCCGCCTATTTTGCCGTCACCGCTTCGTTTTCTGTCATCAAAATGTTCGATACAATCAAATTCTGAACGAAATTACCTTAGCAGCAAATTGAGCATCGGAGACGTTGGATCGGGCGCCATTGCGTAGAATGGATTACAATTATCCGGAAGCACAAACTCGCCGCCACGTGGTAGCAACTGGACGAGCAAGTAATTGCTTTTATTGTCATTTATTAAATGTTTCTCGAGTGCTCGCTCAATTATTTGAGGCATTCGGTCACCATTTTCAATCTGAAATTTGATACATAACCTCTGAATTTTACAAGATCTAATAGAAATTCACAACATTTGTCATTGGTTAGTTTTAGTGAATTATCCGCAAACATGTATAATTGTAGTTTTTTCTCAATTCTCGTCTTACCTTGATGCATTTATAATTAGCACCATCAGTAGTTTGTAAGTCATCATCCAGGCCAACTCTTGCTAGATAGAACGAATTCTGTGTTGAGGCGTTTCCATTGGCTGACACCGATGATGAGGATGAACACGATGATGCGTCGCTGTTCTTTTTCTGATGCGAAAACATTTTTGTGTCAAACACCTCAGCGAGACGATTTCGAATTGGAGTCGCACTTCGCGATAAAGATTGTGTTAAACTCTGAAAATAGGCTTTTACTGGAAATGTCAAGAAAAAAAGAAAAATTAATCTACCGATGCATCTCCACTGGCTCTTGTTGATATAGACGTATTCACTTCTTGCAATGATGATTCTCCACTTTTTGCTTTTTCGTGAGTATATGGGAACAAGTTTGAAGGCGTGAATTCACTTCCTAAACATTTCACTTGAAAAAAAAAATAATATATAATAATTTCAACCTCCAGTCCATGAAACATTTGAGCTAGACGGTGTGTTAGTATTATTGGTTCTTGGTAATGTTGAAGTTCCGGAAAGGGGCACGGGACCTGGCGGACCACCATCAAGTCTACCATCTATCCAATCCTCGCAATGAATTCCATTTTCTTTCGACGGAAGTAGCACTGATGCGTCTGATGACACATTCAACGAACTTCCTAAAATGATTAGACTACTGATTGCGTATTTATTTATTTTAACAATAAAACTCTTATCAAATTGAAAATCAACCTATGTTTAATGAATCACTTCAGTGCATTGCTTAAAAAAACAATACATATAATAAATAAAGAGGTTTGAATGTTTTCCATCTTTGGAAAACAAAAAATATTATATTTGCAAATAAAAAAGTGATAACCTGCTGGTGGTAAATGGGAATTCGACGATGATGAGTATGATTGAGAATGCTGATGATGCCAAGACTGTCCATTTTGCCCTTCTTCGCTATTCCTTGCCGAATTGAACAGACGTGATAAAGTGGAGCTGAACGTAAGAAAGTTAATAGAAACAAATATTGTATTGGTTACTTTTTCACTGGAGCACTTTGAACACCATTGCTTAGGATACTAGTGTTTATTCTAGATGATGAAAGATCCGGAGTGGATAGTACCGGTGGTTTTTCGATTTCCAGCGATCTTTTGAAGCTATAACAATGAAATTAATTAGCAGGATCGCAATAAATTGGCATAATTACCATTCATTTTCGTCGAGACACGGTAGAAAGTAGAACCAGGCGCAGAACATTTTGTCCATCGGAATGTTATATGCCCTTGCCGCTGATTGGAACAATCGAAGTTTGGCTAAAACCTCAAACTCCTTTCTCCGTTTCTCGAAGTTGATCAGATTATCCGATGTGAAATCTGGTGTGCTTTCATCAACCATGGCCAAATCAGTCAAAAAATTGCCAAGATACGGCACGGTTCCTTGACATTCCGCTAGATTCACATCACTTTTGGTTCGTCGACAATTTTGAATTAGCTGTGGCCGTCGTAGAGGTGAACTCTTTGCTGTTCCTTCTTGCTCCAGAATCCTTCGAGCTGTTACCTGATCGCCGTCCTCATCCGTGTCATAAATTGAAGAAAGTTCGCGAAACTGAGCCATAGATCGACTATAAATCAACAAAATTTTCCACGAATTGTTTCGTTTGTTGCCTACTTTGAGACAAAACTCCATGCGCTTTTCAAACGGTGAACTGGCTCGGATTGTAGACTTGATAGTACTGCTTTTAGAGACGAAAAATTCTTGAGGGCGCGAAGTTCCTGAACAATTCTTGTGGCGTTTTACGTTGGTATTGTAATATTTGTTTACCCTGGAAATGTCAATCCATTTGCTGATGATTTTTGCTCGGTATTCCGGTCGGCAATCAGGCAAAACAATACTCGTCATAACTCTTTGCGAAACGGCATTGAATTGATCAATTGTTGCCTTGACAGTATAAACTCGATCCCCCGCAGTTCGCCTCTTTGACCACACGCACCCCTGACATTGATGAATCAAAAGTTCTTTGAACAGCGCCTAAACAATTACATTCTAATTAAAATATGAATAGAATTACTCACAGCATCCCAAAACGTCAGTTGTTCCGCAATCTGCACGCAATTTTCCTTTCCAACATCAAACATTTTTACTCTCTCTTTCAAATTTTTTGGATAATCCATAGGATCAAAGCCCATACTAGCAACGAATTGACCAAGGGACGGGAGTGCAGCTGCAAAAAAAATACGTCGCATGTAATAATTTTCGCTATTTTATTCTACTTACCAATCATACCACCTTCTTCTGTAATCCGATTGAATCGCTCGCGCAGCTTTTTTGATCTGGCCCGCAATTCGGTCAATTTATTGCGGCCACCGAAATCCAATAAATTGGTGAGCATCGCAAAATCTTTATCGGGATCATAAAAGTCCTCCGGATAGGTTTCGAGCCAACACATCAGTATTTGCCGAATCGAACTGCAATCGTTTTTTTTTCCATCGCAAAATTGATTAATTTCCCGAAACTTGTTTTGCGCAAGATAATTTAATAGATAATTTTTTTTCTTCCGTCGAATAAACGAAATTTCAAACTAGATTTGATCGCGATCTAAAAATAGCATTCCGTTTAGTTAAATGTTTTATCTGTTGAGCTCGTTTGGAAAAACGCATTGTACAAAATTTTCAATTTAGATAAAATAATTTAAAGTTGAATATGCCGTAGAGTTATTCTATTAAATGATTTTTCTGTTGTTTGTGAAAATTTATAAAATTTTAAGATTTAATTACATCACAGACTTTCTAAGATTTTAGAAATGATTTTGGATTGGTTTAATTATTATCAAACTCACTTTTGGACCAGTAAGGCTGACGTGCTGCCATTTATTTCATTTTCCAAAGCTTCGTATCGCCGAAGTAAACTGAAAAAATACACAATACAATTTTCCAATATAGTGCAATTTCCGCACCAATCTAATACAATGGGTGCATCAGTGAACGCTCGATACGTTGCAAAAAACACGTTGAAGTGTCGTGAATCCATCAAATCATCTCCTCCGACGAGACATTCCTAATACAGTGAAATTTGTCAAGCAGAACAGTTAATAAAAAAAACATACCACTAAACGTTCGACGCTTCCAGCCTTGATGATTTTTTCCTTCACTGATTCCCATTCCAGATGGTCTGCTCCGGTCATTTCAACCGGCTCAGTTTTTGGTCGATCTGGATCAATTGCTCGATACCTCTGAAATTCGAAACCCGCATATTTATAATTATTATAAACTATATGTAAACAATTGGAACTAACTCCACTCGTTTCCACATTATTATCACTAAATATGTTGGGACTGTACAGTATCATAGTTGGAACTTGGGAAAGTGTGCACACTTCCGTCAATGACGCACCTTTTTCTCTTTTAACGAAGAATGGAAGTAAACACGCGGTTTAAAATGGTAACGTCGATAGGAAAAAAAACATTGGTTTCAAAGCAAATACTATGAAAATTCATTTAGGCTCGCATTACTAGTACGAGAGCAGAAATCTGTACACACCACGTTTTCTACAAGGCAATGACTCAACCCTTTCCATATTTGGCGGTGCGCACGTTTTGAATGAATGCAACAAACTAGTTACTACAAAGATCAGCTGGTGTAGTAGAAGAAGGAAAATCGCAAAATAAAATAAAAATACAAGAGTACTTGTGGGACAAAGCTGAAACACGTCGGGGCATTCACTCTAAACAAAAAAGTGTCACATAACACAGAAACGGGAAAAAAGAATGCGAAATATTGACGGAATTATTCAAACAAAACAAATGTTTTGTTTTCTTTATTTTTGTTAACACGTTTAAAAAAATAAACAGCTCTTATCATGTGATCATGCTGAGGTCACAGTGCAAGTTGCACTCCCAGAAATAAAAACTGCACCGGCTCATACCTTCATCCCTATGAGTTATTTCATAGTATTTCTGTTTCTACCACATTGTCTAAAAAAAAAGAAAAAACCAACCGTCATGATTATATAGATTGACGATGAGCGTAACTTAGACGAAGGCGAATAACCAGTGGAAGATAGAAATCGAGCGAAAGTACGAGTCGTCATACGGCATATATTTTATTTCGAATATGTCGAGCGGATCACAATTGTTCACTTTTTATGGTCTTTGGCGACGAACAAACTGCGAAACAACTAGCGGCGGTCGTCGAGGCTTCCAAAAAATAGGTTGAATAGCTTGGGATTTGAAAAACCGGTACGCCTTTGGTGAGAGAGTGGGGTTGATCGAATCTGATTGGCAAAAGCAAAAGCAAAGCGTTTGACAGATGACGCGCCTAGTGTGTTTTTGGTATGTATGAATATGGCATCTCTACACACTGCTAGCAATACGTTAAAACGTTTCATTCTCCCATTCTTTATCAAATTTGGCAAATAGAAAGTGATAGTGGTCGATGGTAATTAAATAGTGTATTTCTGTATGAACGGAAAACAAAATATTGTTTCAATTTAGCGACGACGCACGAGAATCGTACATTCAGATAATTATGAGAGAAAGAGAGTTAAAAAATGTTTTCTGCTAATATAATATTTTAATTTAATCAAAAAAGTCAGAGACAAAATTTCTTGATTGATACGCAATGAATAATTTTTTTAATATAAAAAATTACCTTGTATTTAAACCCAAAATATTTTAATAGTAGCAATACCATTTTGGTCGTTGAAACTGAAAAGTGAACGAAGAAAAGAATTTTGGGCGATTACCACGCAAATTAGGTTCCATCAATGATTGTTCGTAGAAAATTAGTTTTTTACAACTTGTTGTTTGGTACGGTATGTGATCGTTGCCAATTTGTAGAATGTCATCGAGATTTTTAGTGGACGCCAATTGGGCGTAAAATTGCAATTTTACAATAAAAAAAACGGAAATTCCTTATTATTTCCGCTTGATTTCAAAAAATGATCTGGAAGATGAAAAGGAGATGTAGGCTCTTCATTTTCAATGTGGTTACAGCTTTAATAATAATAATTTATATTTTAGTTGATTATTGCTAGAGAGTAATTACGCAATTCGCGTTTTGAGCCGCCTATTTTTTTTTATCTACCTAATTTATATCAAGTTCTTCTGCAAATATATTTTTATGTGTATCAAAAAAGAGTTAGTGACACGAGAAGAATTCTTTCCATTTTCAAAACGTTCATTCAAATTAATAAGTTGGGTAATCTAGTGAAGTTTCGCAATCTATATCACATATTTCTGCCTCAGTGAGAGATTTGAAAATAACCGTCGTCGAAATTTGATACCATAACTGAAATCGCGCGATTCTCGAAGTTTTTTTTGAACAGACTCATTCATCATTATCTCGAAGTGCGTGGGTTTGATTGATCACTTGCGAACGCAGCCATTTTTCTAAGCTTTTCTCATAACCCTTCCTCAACGCAACACTGATAGCCGCCTTGATAAAAAAAATCGTTTTGTGAACGATAAAAGCGGGCCGCAACAAATTATAATTGACAAAAAACCAAGTTGACAGCTGACGAGAAGCACTAGGAAAGGAACAAATACCATCAAGTCGATTATATCAATTAGGAAGGATTCGCTGCGATTACACACAAAAACTTACAAAAATGCATTGTCTCATGGTAGCGCATTACATAAATAGAAAAAATTGGACAATTGTAAGATGAGATTGAGGTAATAGATAAAATATCGTATTAAACTATCGCTCTATTTTTTGTATTACGAAAAATGGAACGATTCGATGAATTTAATCGAAAAGTCGACTGTAAACACGAATGAATTGTACATACCGGAACACCTTCGTAGCCTTGTGGCGGAACATATCGAACTTTTCTCAAATAAACAGCATAGATAGCGTCCGGATGTTTTTCATCACCCCAATATCGAGAAGCCATACTGTTGAGTGACTGTCGACGATTGAATTATTTCGATTACTGAAGCGACACTCTCAACCCGTCATGCCCTGAAACAATACCACATTTTTATTATTTCGCTGAAAATCGTGTAAGAAATCAAATCAAAAAAACTGAAAGAAAGAAGAAAAAGGAAAAAAGGAAGTGATTGCGGTGGCGAAGAAAGAAGGAAGAAGAATAAGTGTTGTCAAGTGCGAGTATGAAAATTGGTTGGAAAAAAAATTGAAAAATAGTTGGAAGATTGATTGGAAGAAGAACCTGGCACGGTGAAATGAGGTTGACGCGAAGACGGAATACATTCGCAAGGTCACTGCCGCAAGACGTTACTAAAATCGCGGTGTCTTGTGCCAAATCTTCTCCACATCGCTTTCTTGTGTTGTCATGTTACAAGAAAACGATCGCGACAGATTAAATAAGTGCGTTACGAGACCTCCCTCCAGCGAATGAAAATCGCGAAGCTTCGCGGCAAATGAACAAGAGAGAGAAATTCGTTGCGGCGAGGTAAATGAGCGAACAATTATAAACAATCGGTGCAATTGAAAAGTAAACGCAGTCATTCGGTTTGTTTCAGACCCAACAAAAGCGGCGAGTGAATGAATGAGCGAGTGAGTGAATCGCGCCATCAAACGATTATCGGAATAAATTAATGGGGGAGAAATGGACAGAATGAACAGACACCGAAACCCCCCCCCCCCGAGAGAAAGGGTTTTACGATCGCACATTTAAATGGTAATGCTCAGCATGCACCAGAATGGGTTCGAGTGAACACTGCATTTATTGTTGTTGTTGGGATGGTAAGTGACCTTCGTCGGTCGGATCTGCCCCCCCCCCTCTCCACTTGCAAACTGTGTATGTTCGACTGGTATCCGCAGTTGGTCGAGTGTTCGATTACAAAAGAGTCGCAGAGAAATATGAAAACGGGACAACAATAAATTGCGAGCTGATGGTTGCTTGTGTAATGTGAGATGTTGCCAGATGATCTACCTATCAATCTATTGGCACTTGCGGTTTTTCAAAAGCATGCGAATGAAGTCACCCTGGTTACCACACCCTTTTTACAACGCTCAATTCTCTCTTTCTCTCTCTCTTTTTTCAAACGATGTCGTTAGGAAATCTCGGAGAACCGAAGCTTATGTGTTCACAACTGCCGAGGGAATAGTACGTTTTTAAACAAAGATAAGAGCGGCATTAGTAAAAAAATTATAAACCATGAATAGAAGAATACGAAATTGATTCTGAATGTAAATATGCATGTGTACTAAGAAATGATTCAAATCGTTATTTATTTTAACGCAGTTTTCAAGTGGCTTTCTGTCACCTCTTGAGATTTTATTGAATATGAAACATTAAAAAACCAACACCCTTATTAAAAACGTTTAAGTGAAACAAACAATAATTCGTCTTATATAATCTTGCTTTTGTTATTTAAAGCCTAAGACTATTGTTGAAGTATTATGCAAGAAAGCTTTAATGAGAGCATAACGAGATTGTGATGAACCAGCTGTCAGGAAGCTTGATAAATTCTCTTTGTAACTCAGATGTTGCGTGACGTTGAGGTTATTAATCTTAGGAATTGACTGAATTGACATGAATATAAAATTAGCTGATGATGTTTGAATTTTGTTGTTTTAAATTTTGAAATTTTATTTGTTTCTTGCGTCATTATTAGTTGTCAAAAATCGAAAACGCTTGAGCTTTTGTTGCATTGCCGTGTAAGAAAATGGAATAAAACAAAAACAACAACGAAGCGATGGAAACAAAGGCAAACAATACAATAAGAAAAATTCTTAGCAAGCCGAACGAAAAGGAAAAGCGGTTGAGCAGCAATCAGTGCACTTTGAAATGACAGCTTCGGAGCACAGTGTCAACATATGGAAGCTGCCGTTTTTCGGGCCGAGCAACAGTCAAATCAACAAATAGATTTCATGAGATTATTTTAACGGTAAACGATCTTTTGAAATTTTCCACTCGCCACTGATGTCAAAATATATCGATATTGAAATAAAAAAATTTTTCAACAAAAATTGTTGAATTCTCGTTCCAATTTCAAAACAAGACGATCACCCTCATTACTACAAATAAAAAAATCCACGAGTGTGAGATCCGGTACACATCCATATCCGGTACATTGATTCCCACATTTTTTTAAATCAAAATTTGAATAACTTTTCTGAAAACATTGTAACATTCTATGGCCGACCCGTAGACACCCAACGTGCTCGTTTTTTTTGCAAAGGTAATAAATTTAAATATCAAATAAAGGAAAAAACTTTGAATGATTTGTATTATTTCTATAATTAAAACCAATATGGTAAAATTATGATTTGATTTCTCAATTTTGATAACAATACTACTGGAAGATTACAAAACGTTCTTTTGATCTACTTTACCTGAAAACTTTGACAATGCATAAAATTTGCATAAATCTATGCTTTTGAATGAAAGGAAGATTGTATCATATATCATTTGCATATGTTAAACCTGTTTAAAAACTAAGGACAGAAAAAAAAACGTTGTATTTATTCTATTCTAATACAGAAATTATAATATTCATTATATCCGTCATATAAATTCAAGGTGGGTGGTAAAAGTTGGAATTCTGACAAGTGTAAAAAATTTTTTGGTTGTGTGGCAATCTCAATATTTAAAAACATTGGTTTTGTGCTAGTTTTCCGTGAAACCTATGTTGAAAAAAAGTACACTGGGCTGTCAAAAAATAAAAAGATGCAGAAAAAGAAGAAGAGAACGTTGGAACCGATGTGAATAGGAAACGGGAAAAATGAATCGGTGAAGAAAAAATTTGCGAACGGAGTGAGTCGATCGAAACGCAAAAACAGCAAGTTCCTGCGGAAAGCGGAGACACTGATTTCATCGAAGTGGCGCCAATGCAGACTCTTCAGCTCGCAACGGTTATCCGGACGAAAGGTGCGCGCGGGGACAGCACGTTTGTGCGTGTGTTTTGTGTGCACAGAGCAAACAGCCTATCGAATAATCTGACTCGGTCTCATCAAACTATTCACGTTTCTCCGTTTGCATTTCGTTCAGGCGCATCTTGAATTCCATTCAATTTTTGCCTATTCATTCAATGTAACAGTCTTTTGAAAAAAAAAAGACACCAATAAAGGATATATGTGCAATGATATCCTTTTTTTTTGAATACAATAAGCAAAAACAAATAAATTAAATCTACTAAATATTTTTCCTCGAAAGAGACTAAGACATCAACACGTTTCTTGACATTAGAAATCAATTTTGCTTTAAAATTCCAAAAAAGACAAAAGAATGGGCCGAACCGGGGATTGAACCCGGGACCTCTCGCACCCAAAGCGAGAATCATACCACTAGACCATTCGGCCACATTTCTAGGTTAAGCGAATCGCGTATTTCATACGCCGATGCTTTCCTCTCATTGTCTCCGTCTCTTTGCATTTAGATTCTGACTGCACTCCTATGTTTATGTAAACGTTATGTGTTTCATGAAAAATTGAATTTTAACACACGGCAAATTCAATAAATAATTCTTAATCTGTATAAAAATGATTTATTAATTACGTAAAATTAATTAGTTTGACGAACAATAGACGCCTCCGTTGGAACTTAAAAAACGTATATTATAATGCTTGTTGGATCTCTAACTTACTCAGCGCTCATAATCAAACTCTGGATTGGTTTGATTTGATTGTTCAAAGTGGCGAAATCATTCGCAGTGAACGAGCAAGCATTGCCTCCAGAAATAGCCTGAATTTCGAAATTTTTAAGTGTTTGATTTAATTAAACGTACAATAAGCTTGTCATTGGAAACTCCGCTTCCATATCCAACAGTGATGATTCCGTATTGCTTGTTTTGAATAATCGATTTAGCCGTATTAGTCGGATCAGTGTCAAATCTGTTATTTGAATTTTGAATTTTAAAATATTTATCGCTCTTACTCGGTCGTTGCCGTTATGTAGACAATAACATGGTTGTTGATAGTGCTACGGTAACCAGCATCCGGTGAGGTATATTCGGCAGATGATGCAACTTGAAGATAGCTTCAAAATTTGAAAATTAATCGAATTTCTTGGAAATGTTATCCTACAAATTAAGCAGCTGTCCGTCTTGCGAAAAATCTGCATAATACTGCATCGTACTAAGATACCCATTCAAGCTGTCTTGTGAGCCAATTGAATTGAGCTGAGCAACTGGAGGAATATGGCTGTTTGGATCTACGACAATGAGTCCAACACGGGCATTATTTTGAGAAACGGTGAATGTGACCATCATTGTTTGAATGAATTTCGTGAACTGAAATTATCATTGAAGATTTGATGTAGAAGATTAACGCAAACTTGATTAAAGCTATCTGAGGCTGATTTACTTCCATCGATCAGGAAAACAATATCAAATGGTGTGTTAGTGTATCCGCGAGTCGTCGATGGAGCTGGTGTCGTTGTTGTTGAAACAGGTACTCCAGTTTGCACGGTATTCTGAGTTGTGAGATTAATGTCAGTGGGGACTGGGGAATTGGTTGTCTGTGCAATCTGAGTCACAGGATTGGATGTTGGGGTATTAGGGGGATTTGGTGTGTTTTCAGTGATTGGGCTTAAAGTGGTTGGTTTTGGGCTGTTAGTTACCGGCAGAGTGCTTTGGGTTACTGGATTCAATGTTGTGACTGGTGGCACTGGCTTTGGACCTAAATATTTGTACGTTAAACAATACGTATTTTATTTGCGCGAACCATTGCATACAACAACTTCTTGTCTACGGAACTTTTGTCTTGCTTCATCCAAACCATGAATATAAATTGCGAGCACATCAGTATCACAGATGAATGGATCAGAATAATATTCATATGAGCAATCAGCACGACGATACAATTCGGATCGAATAAGGTTCTAAACAAAACCTTACAATTATTTTATTGGCACGATGGTAGTTTTTACCGTAACGTTGGTTGCATCGAAAATTTCAACGTATTGCAGAACTCCTTGATGTCCTGGATGTCCGTTCAAATGGAAAGTAGCAACGTTTTCAACTGTATTTATATTTGGTATTGCAATATCTTTATATAACTCACAGCCTGGAACAGGACGATCTATTCCTCCATCTTGATGTGCGCCAGTTGGATCTTGAATCTTTCCGACTGGATTGGTCAACGCGAATTTTGTGTAAACTTTAGGACCATCCCCAGATGTGTAAATGTGAGCAAGGCAAACACCTGGTGGGCTGGTTAACTGAAATTTAATTGGTTTCTTTGGTTAATAAGCGCGTAGTAACCTGAAGATTCCAAATTCCACCAATACGGTTCACGTCGATTGAATACATCTTCTGATCATTGACATTGTAAATAACATTTGGCGCAATTTTCCCTGAATTCAAAAAATGTAGCTATTTAACTGTCGTAAATTCCTTACTTCCAAGTGGATCAATTGCCGACAGCGATCCGTACTCCGAAGTAGTTGTGATGTAAATTGTAGAAGTGTTCATTGTAACAGGAACGAACCACGGATCTCCGCTGCTGCACGAGAAGTTGCTGATTCCAGTTGGATCTTGAAGCACCGAGGAACCATAGAGCGTTGGCAGATACTTTCCAACGAGCTGAATTTCAATTACGCATAACAGCGAACGCAAAAGTTTCGAATTACATCAATGATGCTGGTTGGGTCAGTAAATAGAATATTTCCTCCAGATCCATATCCGAGCCATGTTAAGCCATAAAGTCCACTAATTCCTGTGTAATCTGGGCAATTTGCCGTCTTTGAATAAATGAGATGAAGCTGAATGATATAATCAAATTTTTATAATGATTTCAACACCCACATGAGCCTGAAGATTGAAGAGTTCATCAACAAGTTCCACGTAGTTCTGGACATCACTTGCACTTGCAGCAGTGAAAAGAAGGAATTCGCTGTTTGGAATTGTCAAGTTCTCGGCATGATGACCAATATGGGCGATGACACTGAAAAGTTATATGAGCGTTTTAAATAATTTTTTTAAACAGTACTCATAGTATGGTAGACTGCATGATCCCGCATCTGTGATAGAAACAGTGTTAGAAGCAATCGCATTGGTCAAAGCATCAATAGAGTCGTAGTTGTAGTTTTCGAATGTACGTCCATTTGCTATAATAAAAATTCTTGTTTAAGAAAGATACATGTCTAAACGAACAGTTGAAAACGACAAGACCGAATTTGCTGAACCAGTTTGGATTAGCAGAAACGGACGATTTTAATACGGCATTCAAATTGGAGTTCAGCTAAAAAATACCAAAATTTCACATTATGAAACTCTGATTATTAAATACTTGGTTAATAGTGTCTTGATTCTGTTGAGTGGCTTCCAAAATGATAATCAAAGTTTTGCCGTCATTGGAGAAGGTTGCCGGAATCTTTGGCTGGCAGACTTCTGCAAAACAAAACGCAAATCGATTACAGCAATTGATTATAATTATGCAGACCATATTGGCAATTAAAGCCAGTGTATCCGTCAGGACAATTACAGGTGGCCTCATTATCATTTCTTGTTCCACCATTGACGCAAATTGGGACAGTACATCTTGAGCCAGTCCAGTAATCGTTGCAAATACATTTTCCGTCTTGTCGAACTCCACCGTTTCCACACACAATTTCTATAAATCAATGTTTCTAGACAGAAAAAATTACCAAAAAAATAGTACCGGCTTTGGAACAATGTCCATATGTGATACGTTGGAATGTGTTTCCAAACTCGTCTTCTCCGATATGCTTAAAAAATAACTCTAGTAGTGTTCAGTTGTTTTCAAACGTTGACATACAACAACTCCAAATTCGTTGTTATCCGATAATCCATTTGGACAAGCAAAATCTTGTGAAACCCATCCGTATTGGCAAGCGAAACGCGGTCCATACTTGAGTCCGTTGTAGAATGTTCCGTTGTATGCATCCCAGAGAACGGCGTCTGTGAGAATTGGCGAGCGATTCTCATTATCCAGAGAGTGAATGTAAGTGATGAGACGATTATCTTCTGGAACTCATTAGACTCAAACTTCAAAAGTATAGAAAAGCCCTACTTGAATCTTGGATTGGATCAATTTCTGGGAAGTCGCTACCAATGTTGGTAACATAACCAGTAACAATTTGAAGGTTAGATTGAACACGGATTCCGAGACTGCAGAATCTTGGGTTGTCTCCTTGTGGCGAAGTCTTGAGCGTGGCGTACCAATTACCAGCAGGAAGGTCATCTGAATAGTTAAATATGTCTATTTAAATCAAATTTTTCTTTCCAACCATCGCCGATGGTATTTGGCCGATGGTCCGCGTCGTATCGGTGCTTTTGACAAACAAATGGACGGGGTGTTGAACAAGTGTCGTCCTTCCAAACTCTATTCTTATCCGATGATTGACCATCGAAGTAAACACATTGATCAGTTGTTCCTGGCTGATGTGGAACATCTTCCCAGAAGTTGTTCTGTTGGTTTAACGGATCCGGATTTGCATTATTTCCACGGTCCCAAACGTAAGCCCCGTTTGTCTCATAGAGACCAATCCAGAATTGAGTCTTAGAGGACGCTTCTAAAATACAAAATGGTATAATGAAGTCGATTATAAACGCACGATAAAGGAAATCATTCTTGTCCTGTGTCAAATCGTCGACCAAGAATCCTCCAGCGTTCGCGCAGAATTTCTTTGCTTCTGGCATCGGCAAAATCGAATCAGTATCGCTGATGAACTTAACACAATATTGGCCGAGCGGCTCCCAATCTTCGTCACATGCTTTTCTGATTTCATAAACACTTTCTCCAGTAAAATCATCGGCAAACAGTTGAAGAACTTCTTGCTTATTACCTAAACGCAGCATTTCACAAAATCAACTATCATTATTGCCTACCGGCTCCATCATACACTTCAAGAACTGATCCAAATCCGTAAGCATTCAATTGAATAGTTTGAGAGTAAGCGTCAATGGGGAAATAAGTCTTAAAATTTTTTCATAAAAAGGGATTAGATTGTTAGGTTGTTGAAAACATACGATCATTGGTTCGAATCTACAATCTTGTTCGTAATTAAAGTTGACCAAACCGTTCGAATATTGAAGAGGAATAAGCCTCACAGCCTGAAATTTTTGCATTTGTTCAATATTGAATGTATTCAAATCTTACATTTTCAATTTCAGCCGCTTGCAGAGAGTACGTAATACCATTTGATCCACTCACTAATCCAAGTAATGTATAGAAATTTTCCTAAAATTCTATTTAGTTTCTATTATTTTAATATTTAATACTATTGTAGCGTTGCATGCATATCCATTAGGTTGATTTCGTGGACTAAGTGTTAAGAAACCGTACAAAATCACTTCCATTCTTCGGGTCATATCATAGAAAATACCAAGAGAGCGTGCATCAGTATCATCTTCCGGTGTTGTCTAAAAAAGCAATACAATTTCAAAACTATTTCAGAATAATGGTACTTGGAAGATCTCAATGTAAGATCCAGGAGCGACCTCTCTGCTGAAGATGGCATGGTTTAGTGCGTCCCAAAGCTGAACGTTTCCGCATGTGTTATCAGTTGGCACACTCTTTGCAAGTGTGTTCATGGCATCAATAATTGCCGAGAGATTATTAGCTGGCGACTCAGCAATTGGTCCTCCCCAGGTTGAATTGAATCCAACGAGAACGAAGTTGCGAATCCACTGGTTATTCTGCATAACCACATCGCGAAGAATCTCTTGGAAATTATTATTCAAGTACACCAAGGATCCGAGTGAATTTGCAGTGATTTCAACCGCGAAAATCATGTCGACGCCAGTACGGAGGAACTCAGGTGCCGGTCCCTCTTCGGTACAACGTGCAAGTTCGCAATTTTCTCCAGCAAATCCTGGTGGGCAGACACAGTGATCGCCATTATTGGTTGCTCCATTGAAGCAGACAATGTTCTGGCAATAGGTTCCAGTAAACTCTGGTGGGCAGAAGCAAGTTGTGTTCGATGGATTCATTACACCTCCATTCTGGCATTGATGATCTGGTATTGGCGTTGGGTGAACTGAAAAGAATTATTGGTTCGAAATGTTTTAAATCGAATAGTTACTGTATGAGCAGTACATTGTTCCAGCACGTTGAATGCTCATGTCGAACCGATCGCGAGCGTAGAACTAAATAATTGAAATTCAATGAGTTCTGTGGCTGATATCTTACGTTGAAGTAAAGGGTTTCCTCGGGTACTCGGCAGGTGAATGGTGGGAAATAGAATTGAAGACTGCAAGCATCTCTCCATATTCCGTTCGATCCGTACACTTCGACTTGTCTTCCTTCGCGAATTGCATAAATTTCAAGAGCAGCATGGACACGATCCATTGACAGAAATTGTGGATAATCCGTAACGTGGAAGACTGGCGACGAGTCAAGTCCAAAGATTGGCTGACGAAGTGCTCCATCGTTGACCAAATCGGTCGAGAATCCCCAGAAGATGTCATAATCAGGACTGTAGGTAGATGATGCTATAATGTTGATATTATGGGAACATAATTTACTGTTAGCTTACGAAGACTGTTGAATCGCTTTCTGTAAACCTTGAATGTGCAAGCATCGCTGTCATGGTCTGATAAAATAGTGAAGAACCATTGCCCGGAGACAGCTCCTCGCTTTGTCCTTAAATCAAAACCGTCATTGATATTCAAGCAACAATGTCTTTACCATATAAAGTTCTGGCCATCCTGATAAACAACATAAAATTCTGGCCGGTTGACAAATGGATCGGTCACAAGGAGCTTCAAGTTTGATCCAGTAGCGACGACAACAATCATATCAGTATCAGCATCAAATGAAACAGTCTTGTACAAGTTTTGTTGTCCGCAGTGAGTGTAATCTCCGGATATGGCCAGCTGCGAACGGTAGATAGTTGAAGTAATATGATTAAACATGAACTGAAAAGATTGAAGTTAAATTTCTAACAAATTTTAAGTCTTAAACATTCTTAATGTTCCTTCTATCAGAGAAATAGAAAGTGTTTCCGCTGGTTCTTCCGGCAATATCAATATAGTCGCGGTATCCGGATGAATCTGGTGATGAGTTACATCCATCTCCAGGAGCTGGTTGAACGTAAACGAAATAGAGCTTCAATGCAGTTTATAATATAAATAATTTTTGATAACTCTACCGGAGCTCTCCAATAAGATTCCAAGTGGAACACCGTTTCTTTCTCATTGCTATCATTCGGGTTAGCATCAGTGATAATGTAAAGCGGAGACTTGTTGTTGGGGTAAAGAGACAAAGCAGATCTGAAAATTATCAAAAACAGTCAGACACATTTGAATTCCTATTACGAAATCGCGGAGAACACGGCGTCCTCGCATCCGCCATCGGAAGGAGCTGAGTTAATTGCCTTGTTCAAATCGGTAACCGCATCATTCCATGATGTGTAACGCTTATTCAGTAATATCTCTGCAATATTATGCCTTTGATCATAGAAATTGTCAGTTCTTATCATTCAAACGTCATGAATATTTGCGTAATAAAAATTTTATGCAAAATTAGCCAATAAAACTTACGGTTGTTATCAAAGAGCACAACGATAAAGCTGGCCAAATAATTTGGATCAAAGCTTAATGAATCGATGGCTTCTTGAATTCCGTCGACAGCCTAATATGACTTTATTGTATTGAAATTCGATACGGATTGCATTTACCGATTTAATAACTTCAGACAATTGGGTGCGGCTTCTGATAACAAGAGTCAATGTTGGATGTTCGGCATCGAAATCGCGTCCAGAGTGCTCAGTGCAAATAACTAAATTTTTTGTTCAATTGGCGCGATAATCTAAAAATCGATTACTATTTTCGCAATGGAATCCTGAGAATCCATCAGGGCATTCGCATCGCTTGCTGGTGGGCGTTGGAAGATATCCTGTAGTCATTATTTACAACTACGAAAAGCCAATTTTAAAATACCTCCATTTGCGCAAACCATTTGTGTGCAATCATCTCCAGTGAAATAACCGAAACAGTAGCAATACGGTTGATTATTGGTATCGTTAAGCAATTGGCCACCATTCGCACAATACGTAATTGGTCCTGGTGTTGGTTTTGGAGCTGAAGTTGTAGTAGTGACAGCTGGGGGCACTGTAACAAAATTTATATTGTCATGAATAATTTGATCAAAAATATTTACCGATACAACTGAACGGGACAATTCTGCGGAATTTATAGCCATTTTCTGAGACTCCTTCGACCTAGGAATCCATTATGTGTTGTTATTTTAGGACATTGTATACCTGCATAAACATATGTCCAACATCTGTGTCGGCATTCTTGTCGCAAACATATCTCTCATGAAGATATGGATAGGTACAATTGTAACGGTGAGAAATCTCTACGAATCTTGAAATGTGCTGAAAATAACAAAATTGAAGAATGAGATAATTTGTGTTTGACATTACATTTAGAGTTCCAGTAAATCCAATAGCTTGAATTTCAGCTGGATAGGTCATTCCTTGAGGACGAAGAATTACACTGGACTTTGTGTCGAAGTAGGCGTACTTCTGTGGAAAGTCGTTTCTCTCGTTGTAATCACCTGATGTGAATCCTCCAGTGACATGCATTTTAGTACGTGCCTAAATTTTTCAACGTAGATTTTTCAATTCATGATTTCTTTTTTACGCTCATGAGCATTGAACAGAATTCATCGGGAAGATCGGCAATTGGTCCGAGAATGTATTGTCCTGGTTGAAGGAAATCATACTTGGCTGAATATTCCGTTGGTGTTGCTCGATCACTCGAAGGTGTAATTATTGATCCATCTTCATATTGCAAATAAAAGTTAGGATTCAATGGCGATTCGCTTTCCAAATTAATCGTTATATCCCACATGGTTTCGTCAACCAAGATAACCATTGTTTCGGAGCAATTCGCCAAGTTCGCCGCATCAATAGCCACGGAGCTTTCGATTTGGTCGTCAGGAACATATGGATTCTTTTGGGCACACAATGGATATTGGCAAGTTTCGCCAGTATATCCGGGTAGGTTGCATCCGCGTGAAACTGGAATCGAATTAAACATGTTCACCGAGCGCTTAGAAATTTGATGAATGTCTTCGAGAAATTCTGAAGATCGTGGAATCTTCGAATCTTGGATGTCAATAAATTTTATATCCTGGCGAGGGTCCCATGTTTTCAACACGCTTCTGATATGATCAAAATGATCAGAAGCATTGCAAATTGCGGCCAGTGCCGCAATAAGCAACCACGTCCGCATTACTGAAAATTGTATGATCGTAGTAAGTTGAACTGAATTCGGAATGAAATGTGCAGAAATTGAAACCAAAATGAGTGAAATTTTTATCAAAATTGCCATTACTTCGTGGCAAACCGTCTTATCATCTTCTCGCAACCATCAAATTTGCTCGTTTAATATGCTTAGGCGTGGCGTTTCGCATTCCGTCAAAGGGTTCCCCCCCCCTTCATTTGCACTGATAACTTTTATTTGCTCTTTGAATGCCTCATCATTTTATTGCCATACCATTCTGATAAAAATAAAACACAAAATTCAATTAACAGTAAAAATGATCATTTAACCGTTTTTGGCAACGTGTGACCCAAAGCGTGTTAATAATGAAGATAATGCATCAGTGGATAATATGATAGGCTACAAATATTCCAGGGTATTTCACAAAAAATAAAATGACAATTCGTAAGACAATGAGTTAGTTAAAAATTATGAGATTCAAATCAAAATAAAAAAATAGGTTTAGATAATTTCAACAAAAAGTAGCAATGTCATTGAGAAACAGAATGAGATCTAACACCAATCTCGTTGAGTTAACCATGACTACGGCTAAATTGAATTCAAAACACAATATTTAGATGTTCAATTCCTAATTTTCCTTACTAGCAAATAGGCACCACTAGGTTCAATTCGATAATAGTTGTCCACCATTTCGACAATATCAAAACCGTTGCGCTTATAGAAGTTCAGAGCCGTGTCATTGTTGATCTAAAGCAATGAAGTTATGATATGTATGCTTTTGTCTGAATCAAACGACTTGACGAAATTTAAAATATTATTGGCTATGTTCCAATATGTCTTGAGGCAGCCAGAAATGCGTGAGACTGAGTACACGCGAATTTAATATTCAGTCAATGAAAAATTTAAATTTACACTAATTTGTATTAAAATAATCCATTATCATTGGTTTCAAAAAAAAACACGGATTGATTTCTGATTATCAAAACTGGTAACAGTTTTTCCTTTCTATATCGTGAAAAGTTATATATATATATCCGCAAAAAGTTTCTTTGTTCTCACCTGAACATGAAGGCACACCGTCTTGATTTGATCATCCATAACACAAAGATGGAAAACATGATTGATGAGCACAGTACCAATTCCAAATCTGCAAAAATATTGAATTGTTGTTGTTTTGTTAATTATTTTCACTGTCTGTATGGCGCCAAGGTTCCTAACGTCATGATGTAGAGCGATTTTTCTCCATTTACTATATCAACTCGACAGCACACTGCCCCAACCACAACATCGTTGAAGTATGCAAGTTTGGCTAATTCTCCAGCAGATCGAACCTTTAAATAGATTTTACTTTTATTATGAAACACTCTTTGTTAAACTGCTTACCTCAACGTAAAATTTGTCATTGTACGTAATCGGGAAGACCGCTTCGTTTAGCTTTTTCAATTGCTACAACGATAAATTTTAGAAAATATTATTTTTTTTTTTCTGAATACCAAAACATTATGTGGCGTTACAATTCCCAGCACTACATTGAAGTTTCCGGCCACTTTTCTAATCACTTTTCCATTCACATCCATCTTTTTCAGCTTTTGTTGTACTTCTTCGACCGCCATATTGATAGCTGTAATCTTAATATGATAAGAAGATTTTAAAAAACGGGGGGTGGGGGTTGAATGAACGGGAATACAACAAGTGAAATGCCGGGAACAATGAATAATTAACAACTAATGGGATGTGCGCGCGATGACGCAAACGGACAACAAAAAATTTGAATATGTGCACAGTTTAACCGACGTAAAGTGGAGCGTCGTAGTAATTACAAGTCGTCGACATAAATAATAAATGCCGCAAATCCTTTTATTTTCTTGGAGATTTGCTTTGGTATTAGCACGACCAAAGAATAATATGTAATTATTTTGTTAGAATATTTTTAAGGGCAGCGATTTATTGAAAAAAAAAAGATAATTTTTTCACAACTATTAAAAAAAACATGATAATGGGTCATCATTCAATGAGATCTATTGAAGAATTTGAAGAATTCCCACCGTGAGTCACCAATTGAACAAAGATGTAATAATGTGCGTTCGGCAAACGTGGGAAATGAAAACAACGCATATATTTTTTTAAACGAAAAGAAGAAGAAAGATTTCGCCGAAAGTTGAGGGAATCGTTCATTTGCGAAGAAAACGGGTGATAAAATTGAGAGATAAAGTTTTATGAGCTTGCAGAAAACAGAAATTTTCGCTGATAAATGTTTGGGTAAACTAGCACAATGAAAATGAAAACCGCAATAATTAGAAATCAATAATTTTTGTTTATTTTTTGCCGCCAATGACGAGCGAATGAATTTCGGTCCCAGCGCGAACCCGACAATCGCAACATGTTGCCGTCGTTATTACTGTCGGAATCCAACGACCGTTTTCTCTTCGCAATACATCAACGTTTCTAAACTGCTGTACACACTCTCCCCATCCTGAAACCTCCTCATTTATCATTTTTTTTTATTGCGTCCGGTTTTACCTGATAGGCAAAAATCATCCTTCCTGCAACTGAGTTCGTTAATTATTCGCGGAAAATAGTTCTCCGGCAATTGTCTCCATGTCCAGCAGGAGCCTTTGAAAAAATAATTCAATATCCATGAATAAAAATACTAATCTACCACATAGTGACATCATATCATCTTCGGAGTCTCCTCGCTCGTTGCAACTGATTTCGAATCGTTTGCCGATAACAGTTGAAGCTTGTCTTTTATGCCTAGCTAAACAAAATTTGTATGCCATTGATACGCATAAACTTTTTTCAAAATTATAATGTTATTCTTTTTTGCTCAAAACTTATTGCCAGTTAGCAAAAGTGTTAGTAGTTAAAAACTGTATAAATAAGTTTTAAAAACACCGGCCACTTGCAAACATTGGAATTTCTCTTGACTTTGCGCTGAATCGTCGATTGTTCTACCTTTCAGTCCAATGCCTAATTGGCGTAACCAAGGATGGTTTGGAAGTCTGGGTAATGTCCCGCCACCACCTCCACCAGTATCCGCAAATGGGTGAATAAGTGAGTGACCAAGACTACTAAACAAATTGCTAAATAGCCCTAAAAACCAAAAAAATAACTAAAAGCGATAAGTGAAATGATAACACACCAGCACCAAAGCTATGATGAGTCGTTTGATCAACCGGCGGACTCACAGTCGGCTGCCAAAATTGGCCTACTTCAAATTGTTCTTTTCTAAACTTAATAAAAAACTGTGTATGTACTTACCATTCCATTGTGGCTGTGGAGGAATGAAGTTTTGAAGTGGACGAGGTTGTGGCATTTGCGGCCAATTTTGTTGTTGTTGAAAATTTGGCGGTTGATTAATGAAATTTTGGCGCTGTTGAGCAAGAATTCGATTCTGGATTGCGACGTTATTTCGGAATTGGATACGTTGCTGATTCAGCACATTGTTACGGAAGTTGTTGTTGTTGTTGTCATGATTGTTATTATTAATACGATTGGCAAAGTTCTGAAATATAACAGTTCCTAATCTTCTTCAATTGATTATATACTCTGTTTAGTTGCTGTGGTATTGGCTGAGGGCTCTGAAATGATGATTGATTACATCTTCAAGAATAATTCAAGAATGTTAGTCATCTTACTGATGTAATTAAAAGTTTATTTGGATATTTTGAATTATCAGGAATATTTTATTAAGCATTTCTCAAAATCACTCCTCTTATTGAAAAAAAAGAGATACCTGATTTTGATTGTCATTATGATTATTAATATTATTATTATTGTTCTGCGAAGGTCTGCGATTATTCTAAAAAGATTGTGAATTTTGAAAAGAGAAAACTATTGTCTCACAAATGAAAACGGACTAATTGCAGGTGCATGATTTTCATTCCGATTTCGGTTTCTAGAGATTTCTGAATGGAATTGTCTTCCAGCTGATATGAGAGGTGTGAGGTATGAAGGAACATTTGCGGGTGGGGATGGTGCCTGAAAACATGATTAAAGATTTTCTAATTCTTTGATTCGAGATTTTTAAAATACCAGCCGCCCATGTTGAAAGCGAAATCTCGGACATGCGTTGGGGTTAACCCGGTTTCGAGGTAGAGGCATTATAGACGATCTAGTAAAAATTCAAAAAATGAAATAAACCAAATTTATTGGCAATTACCTATAGTTTTGTGGTAAGAACCCAATATCAAGCAGTTTATGATAAAGTAAAGAGAAACATTGTTGACACTCTGACGTCACGCATGAAAATGTGTTAGAATTCTAAAAGAAATTGATTTTTAAAATACATATTTCAAGTCCATAACCAACTATTATGGGAACATGATAATGTGGATTTGAGAGCTCTACAAAGGATAATATAGCTTCTTCATAGCTAGAAGCAACGTATCTTGAATCATATGAAATGCATTGACGGGATTCTGGGTGAATCACACAAGGACACTGAAATTTCAATATCTTGCTCATAATGAAAATCATGTTATATACTTGGGGTATATGATTGCCTCGAGTTTTCTGCCAAACAATTTCTTGAAAACTGTTTAGCTGCTTGTCAATGTGGACTGAATTTCGAATGGGAATGAGACACGTAAGAACGGCAATCAGAACTTTGTGCAATGCAAGCGTCATCTACATTTACGCAGGTATTGAGCGTTCAAAATTTGTTTAGTCTGCAAAAACGGAGGTCAAAAACAATCTGATGTGTGCGAGACAAAGGAAGCGAGGCTGGAGAATATGTAAGTTTGCATAAGTACTACCTGAGGTCTGACAATGAACTCCCTAATAAACTGGAATTTCTGTACTTTGCCATTCAGAGACGGAGGAAGTGTAAATCAACTGTGGTTTCAATGCCAAGTTTTTCGATTGTGCCGTCAAAAAATCAGATGAACACGTGTGAGAACCCACCGCAATATGTCATAAATTCACACATACACCGTGCTTCAACATTGTAGCCGAAACCGCCCAAATATGTTTTTATTATTGACGTCTAGTGAAATCAAGCAGGTTCGAAGTATTATAAAGTGGTAGTAAAAACATATTATTGAAGAAGTCATAAGATAAAAAATCGGTCGGTCTATTTCAAAAAAATTAAAAAAAAAACAATTTTGAGGCACCCACTATTAATATTAATCTTACTTGTGAAGAATGGCTATATATCTATTTAAACAGTAACGTATTTGAAAAACGTTCCAATAGTGTAGTTTACAAATTGAATTTCAGTTTCTTCCTGTTTTCCTAATACGGAATTTGTTTGTTGCCTCACATTTTTAAGGGTTAAAAGGCTATTGAATAGAATATGCGAAACCAGTTTCGTTGCAGCCAAACCAAACACTTCTAAATTTATCGAAAATGAAAAAAAAGTAGCCAATTTTGGACTTTAGAGCTGTTTCCTCAACAAATAATTGGGAACAAGGTAATTGAATGTTCAAAGATCAACCGTTTTCATTGTAATTGAAAACACTATCCACATGTATTCATAGGACAGACGACCTGTGAAAAATCAAATTCAAAATAGCGAATGGATAAGTATTGCGCATACCAAGTTCTCCGAAAATCAGACATGGACATATCCAATTTTTGGCAAACACAGATATTCTCAAAATTTTTCTCAAATTTTGAAAGACTTTACAAATGTTTATCAGTCATGAGATGATAACACATTAATATCTAATTATTGTGTTTTAATCTATCTAGGACGATTTTTTTCATATATCATTTTTGTGTAATAGGAATCTTGAGAGAAGACGGCTTTGACGGCGCCAAGTGCATATCATTCCGCGCATCATTGTAATCAGTTTAATACGTCGATTAATCGCGTCAATGATATTTCAACAATCTGGTTCATTACCGTAACAATAATAATTCAACAAGCTGGTTCAGTTCCGTTTAGACAAAATTGGACTATTGGTCTTTTTCGAATCACGCTGACTGATTTGTTTGAAAAACATTTATTAGCTAGGAATTAGCGGTTTAGACGAATGAACTGTCCCCGCTCCATGGGCCCGATCGACGTTACTTCTCCACGCGGACTAAAATAATCTGGGACTATTGAAAAATTAAAATGAAACTTACTCGTTATAATTATTTTGGTGATCTTTATTCGTGTCGACGCATTTGGCGGCGGAGTTCATTGATCCAGAACAATTGGAAGTCGTAGCTTCCATGATACACTCAGTAAAATATGTTGAAGCTGTTAGAAAATTTTTGATGATGAAGCTGTTCGAAAGTTTACCAGAGCACAGGATGGATGGAAAGTTGTTGTTCTGTTCCCTGAGAATACGTCGCAACTGCTGAAGGAGCGCGTTTTTATATTTTTCAAAATCACATTACTTCCAATTATTTTAATGTTATGAGTTTTTTGTATTATAAAAGAAAATAAAAATCGCATTATTGCCCAATTCATTTGTCAATTAATTTAAATTGCTTTATCATTTAATGTGCAAAGTCTAGATCGAAATGTATGCAACTTATTAATGTTTTTGGATTATACATAGACGCATCATCAAAGATTTATCAGCTTTAGATGTTTACGAAGCATCCCGATGTATCCGGTGTATTAAATATTGAAAGCAAAATTTGTATCCGCCGGTGAGCAGCGTTTTCCTAAAAAGATGAAGAGAAATAGGGAAAAGATGAATATAGTAGGAAGGGACTCTGCGAGCCTCGCCAAAAACGATTACCTGCGCTTGTGACCCATCAAGAAACGCCCGCGCTTTCTTTCATTGCTCCTCCATTCCACTTTTGTTGATTCTCAAGCTCTACAACGATGGTTAATAATCGCTCGGTAAGATTTAATTTAAAAAAATAGAAACATGAAAAATGTTTTTGATACCCATCATAACCTGTTCTTAAAAATTATTTTCTTTTTATAATTTTTCAATGAAGTATACTTTAGTATTTAAAATTAATGAAGTTAAACAATCTCTTATGATGCTGCAAAATAAAAGAAAGTACATGGCTTAGAAATGATTTAAAAAATCATTACTCCCATTAGCTTTATCTCTTTATCTTTTATAGATTATATCAGTTACTTGTAACCACAAACAATTTATTTAATATTTTATATTGATTCTTAAATTTCAGCGCGAAGTAATATCCATTCATGTCGGTCAAGCTGGTGTTCAAATGGGCAATGCCTGTTGGGAACTCTATTGCCTCGAACATGGCATTATGCCGGATGGAATAATGTCCGAAGAGGATAGCTTGGGTACCTACAAGACTTCATAAAATCCGTTTCACGACAATTCTATATAGGTGTGGAAGACGACTCATTCAACACATTTTTCTCGGAGACTATGTCTGGCAAACATGTGCCACGAGCAATTATGGTCGATCTCGAGCCTACTCCAATTGGTACGAAGAATTGCATTGTAAAAGAATGTGGGACTCGAAAACATTTTAACGTTCAGCTGGAAACAAAAAATCAACAATTCATATAAGCAAAGTTAAAAATGGGAATCATTTAAAAGTTTAATACTGCATTGATATTACCAATTAGGGTAGAAGAAGTTTTAGACACTTTAAACAAAAAACTCTAAAACTGTCCACAATACCTTGATTTTTTCAATTTTTATTAGATAATTATCCGGTTCCCGAAAATCGACATGTTTCCTATTATTCTTTGAAGCATTTGTCAAAGCGGTCGCTCGTATGCGGAAACCGATAATTGCCTAGGCAATACTGGTGTTGATTGGTGCTATTACAAGTATAATGCGTATTTCTTGTTTAATAGCCGAGCAAAATTGCTCTCGAGTTTTGAAGGTTGACGAGAACAGAAAGAGCACATTTTCAGATGAAATTCGTACGGGAACTTACAAGAACTTGTTTCATCCGGAGCAGTTACTAACTGGAAAGGATGATGCTGCCAATAATTATGCTCGCGGTCATTACACCATTGGAAAGGAAATAATTGACGTTGTGATGGATCGTGTCCGAAGGCTTGTTGAAGCTTGCCGAGGTCTTCAGGTAAATTTTACTAATTGTATTATTTACATCCAAATTTATAAATGATAATGTAGGGATTTCTTGTTTTCCACTCATTTGGCGGAGGCACTGGAAGTGGATTCACTGCTTTGCTTATGGAAAGACTTTCTGTGGATTATGGAAAGAAAAGCAAATTGGAATTCTGCATTTATCCCGCTCCCCAGGTCTCCACTTCAATGGTCGAACCGTACAATTCTATTCTGACGACTCACACCACATTGGAGCATTCGGACTGTTCATTTATGGTAGATAATGAGGCTATTTATGACATCTGCCGTCGTAATTTGGATCTTGCAAGACCAACGTATACAAACTTGAACCGTTTGATCGCCCAGGTTTGAATAAACAAATCGCGTAATTGTTGTAAAGCAAAGTGTTCAAGGTTATCAGTTCGGTAACAGCTTCATTGCGATTCGATGGTGCGTTGAATGTGGATCTCACCGAATTTCAAGTAAATTTTGTGTTCAACAGAAAATTAAACATTTCGATTTCAAGACCAACTTGGTTCCATATCCGCGGATTCACTTCCCTTTGACAACCTATGCACCAGTGATTTCTGCAGAAAAAGCTTACCATGAGCAGATGACGGTTGGCGGACAATAAAAAAACTAATAATGAATAATGTGAAACAGGTGGCGGAAATTACACAACAATGCTTTGAGCCGGGTGCGCAGATGGTGAAATGTGACCCAAGACGTGGAAAATATATGGTATACATATGTCACGCTGTAGTTTATATCTGAAAATATGCAATAGCAAAACTCTAAGAGATCTATGGGCAAGCTAATATATTTTGAAATTGCTAAAAACTCAATCACCATACAATGTGGACCATTCGCGATTTTCTGCGAAAATATTGTTATACTCAAATGTTCAGGCTTGTTGTTTGCTTTTCCGTGGTGATGTTGTACCAAAAGATGTGAACGCGGCAATTGCCGCTGTAAAAACGAAACGCTCAATCCAATTCGTCGATTGGTGCCCCACAGGATTTAAAGTGTGCTCATCGTTTGAAAATGTTTCTGTCATCTTGTTCAGGTCGGCATCAATTATCAGCCTCCCACCGTGGTTCCGGGCGCCGATCTCGCGAAGCTACAGCGTGCCGTATGTATGTTGTCGAACACAACGGCGATTGCAGAAGCTTGGGCGCGTCTTGATCATAAATTCGATTTGATGTACGCGAAAAGAGCATTTGTTCATTGGTACATTGACCCGGACTCGGCGGCAAAGAGAGAAATCTCATTAATTTTTAGGTACGTCGGCGAAGGAATGGATGAAGGCGAGTTTAGCGAGGCTCGCGAGGATTTGGCAGCATTGGAGAAGGATTATGAGGAAGTTGGACTCGATGCTGGAGAGCCTGATGATGAAGACGATTACAGCCAATATTGAAAAATTGCAATATACACTTTAATGAAATCAATAAATATTGTAGATTGGATTGATTTTGTTTCGAAAAAATGTTTTTCCCTAGCTTTTAAATTATGTACAGTTCCACGAATGAAATCAATTTCGGTAGTCATTTAATCTTGAAGTATCATATTATGCAATTCTCGTTAACAAGGCCAAAAACAATGATAAGGAATGGCCAACTGATAAAGTTTTCGCTTTCGACACTGTCATTCCTCTCAGATTGAGTTTATGAACACTAATTGCCTTTGCATCATAATTATTAATGGTTTTTTGTCGGTTTGAGTGACGACACAGTTGTTTGATGATGGATATCTCACCATCATCCGACATTCTGTGCACACTTTGGAACCCAATTATCACATCAACCTGAGCCGCTGCCCGCCTGACGAAATCGCTGTTGCGTGCCAAGATGCGTTTGAATATTCTTATTTTAGTTGGTTTCTGTATTTTTACACTTGCAATGGGAGAGGATATTCCAAACAAATTTTTCGGAAAGTTCACACTTGAAAAAAGCGAGAACTTTGACGAATTTCTTGCTGCAAAAGGTATTAACATTTTTTTAATTATTAAATTTTCAAAAATTATTTTTTAGGAGTTTCCTGGTTTGTTCGTCAAATGATCAAGTTGGCCAGCGTTACTAAAGTCATTGGAAAAAACGAAGCTCCTGGAAAGTAATTGTTTCCTTTAAACGCTGCTTTTCAGCAAACAAATTTCAGGTACAATATGGAAAATTTGACGTCGAAAAAAAATACTATCTATCATGGATGGGAGCTCGGAAAAACTTTTGAAGCTGAGGGTCTTGACGGTGTTCAACATAAGGTAGTTAATTTCATAATATCATCATTATTTAAAAATTTGCAGATTACTTTCAACTTCAAGGATGGCGTCCTTTCTGAGCATCATATTCGTCTAAACGATCCCGAGCACAGTGCTGAAACTTATTACTACACTATTGATGAGAATGATAAGCTTGTTTTGGTAACAATTCGATTTTTCCAAGAAGTTGAAAATATCGGTTTTGCAGACTATGAAGGCTAATGGCATCACTTGCAAGCGTTGGTTCAAACGCTCAAATAAATAAATAATTTTCCTTGTAGTTTTTTTTTACTCATTGTTTATATAATCGAAAATCTATATAAACATTTTCAATCATGACTTGATCGTTTATAAAATTGAAAAAATTTGTTAATGTAAACAGTTGTCGACTCCATGGGATTTGTCATTTTGTGGGTGCAATCTCGGCATAACCCGTATTGTTTTCAAATCAGCGTAAAGTTCTTGAGCCCTTAGTCATGATTTCTCGTGTAAAAGCTGAATTATCGGAAAATGATCAGCACAGTTTATTTCAAGCGAAGAATTGTGAGAGGTAAAAATGGGTAGATATTCCTACTCATCGCCTTAAAAAAACGGCGCCATCTCTCGTTCATTGGGATTACAAACTTGTTTTGATTTAATTAACAAACTTACAGGAATAGAACTCGGAGCACAGTGATTCACGCAGAGAGCACAGAAGTTGTTCGAACGGAACGCTCTGCTAATTGAGAAAATCGTAAACAAGTATTGCACATTTCTAATTAGAAGTAATTCTAGAAAAATTAGTCAGCACTAATTGTCCGAAATTTTCAATAATAAATGTAGTTTTTTTTGTTTGTAGAACACATAGTATGTTCACCATGATTCTTTGAAGTATTCAAAGTAATCAAAGTATTGGATGCAATAGAATTAATTCAACACCTTGTATAAAGATCAATCTTTGAAACGAAGAGGAGAATGAAAAAATAAAATTTTTCCAAATCTAGTATTTTAGGCAGCGCCTAAATTGAATGAAATGTTCTGATAAATATAAACTAAACATATTATTCAGGATTTCCTTCAGACGTTAATCTTCCCAGCGGCTATAGTGTTATGAGCAAATCCCACTATTTTCTATTAGCCAACTATCGCGCCATTTATTCGACGACACGTGATGTTTTTTCGTTGATCGATCGGCTCACCATAAATCTGGAATGTGTTATTTCTTTGTTGTCATTTGGTGGGGTCATATTGTGGGCGTGTCCCGAAAAAAAGCGGGTCACCGAGCTAGTCGCGTCTCACCGCTCAGTCTTGTGCCGCATTCGACCGAACAATGTCGACCATCTCCTACTGCCTTCTCTTCGTGTGCATTGCTGCCGCTGTCTCCGCTGACGTTCTTCCGGACAAATTCTATGGAACCTTTGACTTGGAGCGATCGGAGAACTTTGACGAATACCTCAGCGCTAAAGGTAATTCAGAAACCATGAAGCATTAAATCTTAAACAATTTTCAGGTTATGGATGGTTCACGCGCAAGCTCGTAACCTTCGCTACCTTCAAGAAAGTCTTCGCCAAGTCTACATTCGCAAACAAGTTTGACTACTCCAACTTGACATCGAAGAAGGACGTCATCTACAGAGCAGTTGAGCTCGGAAAAACCTTCAAGGGAGAAGGATTAGACAGCACTCTTCATGCGGTTTGCTAATAACTTCGAATTCTTGAATACAATATACACATAATTCCAGATCACCTTCACTCTTAAGGACGGACATCTCTTCGAGCACCACCAGCCCCTCGAAACTGGAGAGAATTCGAAGGAAGAGACTTATGAATACTACTTTGAAGGAGATACCCTTGTTGTCCGCATGAGCTACAATGGAGTTGAGGGACGCCGTTATTACAAGCGTATTTCTGCTTAATTGAATTGAAAACGATTAATTTGAATAAAAACTTTTGGCATCAATCCATTCGAATTAAAAAATGAAAGTTTACGCTAAAAGTCTTCTGGGAATGACGAATGATTTGAAAAATAACACGAAACTTTCACAACAACTTCTTACATTTTAAAAATTCGAGTTTATAATATTGATAATAGATTTTTTTTGCATTCTTATATTGAAAAATTTTTTCCACTGTATTAAAGTCCAATATACGAGAGACAATCCGACATTTTTTTCGGCTGACGTGGAAACCCTTGCCATCACAAATAATCATAAGATCATATAAAGGTGAGACGCGATAATGGTCCGAGATCGCAACAATTCGGGTGCAAACTCGCATTCACTTTGCCACGAGGCCATTCGCATATAGATTTGTTTTCCAATCTGGCATGTCGAAACGTGTTCTAATATATATATATATATAAATTTTACTGTCTTTTTAATGGAAATCAGAAAAATTTGAATGAAACGACAAGAGTCGAAGAATAAAGAAGCTTTCAAATCCCGCTATGAATTTCCAATTGTGAATTTATAATCATCAAAATATAAAGCCCAATTCTACATTTTGCATTTACGAATCGCACAATATTGTGCGTGTTAAGAATGCATTTAGTTGAATGTAATTTTTTAAGCAAAGCGATGACGTCTTTAAACGGTTGAAAGTCGTTTTAGTGGCTGCGCTCAATGTTTTGTATAATATAAAATATCGAAAATCGTTCTCTATCAAAACTCTAATAAAAATAAACATCTTTGGGATGCATGGATGAACAATTACACATGTATCTAATGACCATATCATTTACCTTAACTCCCCCATTTATAAATTATCTGTGTTTGTTTCAAATTATTTAATGATCGCAATAGTGTCTTATTCTCCTCGAAAGCGCAGCATAAGATTGCAAACGGCCCCGTGAGTATTCCCCGCCCTCTCCCAAATTTTAATTAGCTGCCTGATACGAGCTGTTACAGCCGCGCACACTCGCCGTTGAATAAGCCCAACCCACCTCGGCACACTCACCGCGCTTCAGTGATTTAGCCTATATAAAGACGTCGTGAAACAATGATTCTCATTATACTACTCTCGCTCAAACATCTCTCTACTTTTCAGTTTCAACACTTATATTTCTCCTTATTAGACACATTTTGAACAATAGTTTTCAGATGGATAACTTTGTTTACAATTACCTGGACTCACGCAATAATACCATGCCGGCTTTCGATTTTATGGACCTCGTGCAAGTCACTGGTTGTTGCTTTCTTATCGCGTTTGGGATCATTTTGGCCAATGCGGTGCACACAACTGCGTGGTTGCATCCCCACCTGCGTGTCATATATATGGTAAAAGTTTTTCTTGGGATTTTGATCGCACTCTTCTATATAAATGACATTTTGGTAATACTTGAACAAAATAAACTTTTGTAAAATATTACATTATAGCCAACTGTCTAGTGTCGTGTTAGTTTTCTCGACAATGGGATTTGGAGTCGCGTTAAAAAATGCACAAGGAAATGTGGCGACCACAGTATTAACCATGGTTTATTTGTTGGAAACGATGCTCACGATGTGGCTTCTTCTTACCCGCTTATGTCCAGTGTCAGACGTAAACAGGAAACGTTTAATAAAATTAGCTAGAGATTTCAATTGCAGAATTATTTAAAATTTGATGGAGACGAATATTTGGAGAATAGAGTAATTGCGCGCAAAGATTTTTGCAGCTTCATTCAGTCTACAATAATTTGTTTAATACAAGTTGTCTACTTCGCTCTTTTCAGCATCAAAAATAAAAACTTTGCGGTAATGTTTTTTTTTATTAAAATAGTTTACAAATTGTTTTTTTTTTCAGATTATTGTCCACCAAAACCATTCAATGCCTTTTCTTCATCGATCCTAATAATGAGTCTGTTAATTAAGTAATGAAAGTTTCTGAATATAGTTTTTCAGTTATTTAACGAATCCAAATATAGACGGACTGAGGTATCAAAATCGTCTTAGTGAGGAATGGGAAACAGCCAGTAAACAGCGATTGAGAGTTTCCCGTTTGGAAGCCCTTTGGTCGGCGTATTATCGTCTATCGGTGGTGCTTAACCAACTCAAACGAGCGGTTCGTGCAGAAGCTGTTCCGCATCCTGCAATCGCAGTCAACACATTCTCCACTGCGCAAGAAATTTCGGTAATTACTGTGAATGAGGAAACTGCGGCAAAACGAGATGAATCGGAATCATCGGATATTGACCGGCAAGAAAATATTGGAAAAACGAGCTGTTCGGAAGTAGGCAAATTGGAAGCAGTCTATAACTTCGTAAACTACATTTTTTGAGGGGGTAAGCACAACGGTTAAGGAATTAAAAGCCATGCAAGGAAAGGAAGAAATGCTTGCATTAGACACGGAGTTCTCCGAAGATAAGAAAGAGGAACTATCAAAAGAATGTGGCACGGTATGAGAAGAAATAAATAATGTAAGAGTTTCGTAAATTATTTTTTTCAGCAAGCCGTATTTCTAAAAATGGAAGATGGGGTCAATCTTCTTCAAAGATAGTGGCGACATCAGAAATTTTACGTAGCAAAGCGGTAAAAGCTGAGAAGAAAAAGCGACTTTATTTAATATTTTAAGCAATGAAAGAATGAAGAAATCCTACATTGATGCGAAAAAAAAGAATCAATAGGAAAAAAATTAATTATTTTACAATAATTACTAGAATAAGAAATAAATATTTTCTACTTTATTTTCCTATTTGCGGTGTGCATTGTATTTTAATTGCTGGCAATAAACGATTCGGATTTGTTCAGTGATTTCCTGGTCTTCTATCATTTTCTTCGAAGTTTTGCAAAAAACAAATTCTGGGTCGCAAATAATTATTTTTTCGCTAATTGGGAATTGTTTTTTTTTTATCAGAATTGTTATTCATAACAAAACTAGCTGAACCCGTAAATTATTGAAATTTGATGTGAAACGAATGTCATGTTGGAATATGCATTGGCGAATTATTTGGAAATACGCCAGCATTTTTAGGCATTCTCGACGAGCTCCATATCTCACACTGCTTGTTTTTGCACTTCCTTAGCTGCTTCAACTGATCGCTGAGCTGCTCCAATATCCCAATCTCCAAAGAATAGACTTGGTTGATCAACTGAAAAAAAACAGGTTTCACTCGTGAGCTATTGCACGCAGAGGCGTTGTAACTACAATTATGAGCTTGTGTCGTTTCTGACCATGGCACCGATACAAAATCATTTAATTTTATTGATAATAATACACCAATTGCGATTTCAAGATATTTCTTGTTTAACAAGCGTGAGGTTAGAAACGTGTTTCGGATAAACGAATTTCTTCAAGATCGGGTGGAATAAAATTAGTTTTCACTGTGCATCGCTGAATCTTATCGGAGTTTTACGGAAGACATTTTTTTTCAAGAAACAGATGATTAACATCATTAGAAAATCACGTCATTTTCAAGAGAATATTCATATCATTCGTCAATCTCTCACACTAAATTTAATACAGTACTGTATGTATAACTGTAATCAATTGTAGTCGTTTGTTTTGATTATGATCATAGTTCACATTTCTTCTCACGACAATTTCATTAAAATAAATTTGTTTTCAATAACCAAATTCATAGAAAAATATGAAAAATGAAGATTACTCATTGATAAATTGGAGTTCATTAATTATAGTCTTTTGGAGGATTTTGAGTGGAAAGGCTTAGCAGAAAAAATGGGGGTTTGGAAAATTGAAATAATAGCAGCTTGACGAAATTAGCAACAGATTGACAGAAGCACAGAATTTAAAATTTTGTAAGGTTTTAATTTTCACGTTACAATAAATGTTATAAAATGTTTTAATTCAAATTCAAACCTTTCTACACAATCCGTAAAAAATCAAAACTAATAAAGGTGCGACATAGTAGAAGCAGCCGTTGAAAAGGGGGTTTCAAGTGTTAATGTCTATTATTAGATTCGTACGGGCCGTGAGTAAAAACTTTTCGACGAAACAAAAGTAACGAATTAAGGACAGAAATAAAAACTGGTATGTTAGATTAATCTTATAGAAAATGAACATTGTGCCATGTAAAACTAGCGACTTACTAAAAGAAGAAAATGAAGAAATATAATTTTTTCATATGTATACTTTTGGTAAAATTTGGATTTTTTTTAATGTAAAAAATTGGAAATGAAAAAATTCAAAACGGCGGTTTCTATTTTAATTCAGGTTTTATAAGTATTTGGAGTTTTTCACAAATTTCGTTTCACACAAATAAATTTTCTTTTAAAATATTTTTTATCCATTTAGCAAATATCTCTGATATTTGGTTCCATGTTTTTTCATATTAATTACTCGTACAATTGATTTATGAGACACTCACGTGTCTATCGTATTCAATAAAAAAAGTATACCTGGTACGGGTCTGTGTTGAAATCGTAAAAGCTAATGAATTCTGTGACAAACTCGCAGTAAAGAAAATTGTGGGTCTCATTTTTGGTTCGCAGACACCAATATGTATTACTGAAATGACTACATCATACACATTCTATATTTGGTTAATACTTGTTGCAATTCTGACAAAAACAGAATTCTCCAAGAGCTTCTGGCCATAGTGGCGGTGTTCGCCAATGGGACGATGAATGCACAAAGCAATTCATTTGAGGTTGTGAGCAATTCTGCGTTTTTTCACTCTGGGTTACCCTAAAATATAAAATGAAAAGTTAAGGTGGATGCGTTGTGTTAAACTTCATCGTCTTCTTTTCTTTCGAATATTCCAGCTTTTTCAGATTTTTCATTTCAAACAATTTTCTGAAATGTATATAATTTAATTGAAGACAAATGTATTGATGCATTATTACATTGGATGGGTCATGTTCTTCAAGCATTTGCAGCTCTGATAAATGTCTCGCTTTTCCCTTATAGTGTCAAGAGATGTCTTAATTTTTTATTTAGTTCAAAAATTTAGTCTATATGAGTAAACTTACATTATTGTAAACCTCTTCAAGGGCACCAATGTGCTCTAGAAACTCGTCTTTTTCATCAAGAACTTCAAGTACATCTTAAAGAAAACTACATTTTCTGATTAATATTACTATTTATTTATTTTCTACCTCGTTTCACTCTACACGGGCAGTTAAAGCTCCAATTATCGCGACATTTGTAGATTCTCCAGCGGCCTTCATCGGTAAAATGACATTTCCAGAACTGTCCATCAACACAGTCGCGTTGCCATTTACGGCGTTTGCATTCCTTGGAAATTCGATTCTCCTTGTTGTATTTAACTTTTTGTTTCATCCAACGCTCTCGAATTTTCTTCAGCTTTGGCATTTTTCTAAAATTATTTAAACAGTTTGAGTCTGACATGACCACCTTACCCTCTTTCAATTAAAATCGTATCTCTCCATGGCTTCAGCTTTTTCGCTTTTTTGTTATTCTTCTTCAATATGAACAACTCAAGTAAGCTTCTGCCGTTCATTCGCGCTGGCTTACCCAGACCTGCTATATCCAGCAAAGTAGGCGCAATATCGATGTTTGAGACAATTTCATGAATTCTGGAAATATTTGAAATTCTAATAATGGGTTCTCATTGCATTAGGTTATCTTACAAGGTATTTCGTGGTATTCCGGGACCTCTCATGAAAAACGGAACTCGAATATCAAACTCGTAAGGCATATTCTTTCCTTTGACTAATCCAAACTGTCCCAAATGATAGCCATGATCCGACGTGTAAATCGCGAATGTGTTCCATAATTGATTGAGGTCGCGAAGTAAATTGAACAACTGTTACGCAGAAATTTTTCAAACAATTTTGATTCATCAAACCTTCGAAACACCATCATCAACGCTTTGAAGTGTCTGCAATCTCCTACGATGTAGCATGTCAGTGAATGTAATGTGAATGTCCTTCATTTTTCCAGTGTTTTGAAGCAGCCACTGTTTATCATAATTTGGTGCAAAATTCCAGCTAAGTGTTCTGAAAAAAAAATTGAAAAAGTTCGAGCTTTTCATACTGTCACGTTCTTTTTTTTTACCTATGACTGAGCTCATTTTCAAATAAATGTGAATATTGTGGAGCAGGATCTTCTGGGCCATGTGGCGCTGGATAACTGATGATGAGCGCAAACGGTTGCCATGATTTTGTTTTGATGTGGTTTTCTACAAACTGAAGAGATCGATTTGTGACCAAATCCGTGAAATAATCCTGAAAATTACGAAAAATGAGAAACAAAACTAAAATTTCCAATAAACCTTCGAATAATTGTTCCCGAATCGTTGTTTTTTACCATTCGCATTCATTGTGTAGTTATAAAATTTACTATTTTTTACAATTGCATGCCATTCATCCCATCCAGGTGGTATATAAGACCTGAAAAGCAAGTTCCCATTAAATTAGAATTTTTTTAATTTCAACTAACCCGTCATATTCATTTAAGTATTTTCCAATATAAGCTGTTCGATAGCCGGCATCTTGTAAGTAAACGCCAATGGACTTCTTCTCATGAACTTTTCTAAAACAAATTGAGAATTTCAAGGAAATTTAAATTTCGGCATTTTTTTCGACATTGGTGACAATTTGAAATTTTCCACTTACTTCCATTCTGGTCCAGTACAGTTTTGATTATTAGTATGAACATGATGGTTGTGAACGTATAATCCCGTTAGTATTGAGGAGCGACTGGGACAACAAATTGGTGTTGTCACATATCTAAAAGACTTCCTTAGAAGACCGAAGCTTAATCAAAAATTACCCAGACACAAATTCCACTCCTTTGTCTTTCATTATTTTCAAAGTCTTCGGCATGAAGTTCATTGATCCGAGCTCGATATCTTGATCATCGGTGAGTATCAAGATCACATTGTGTTGTCTAAAAAAATATGTTTAATCAACGAATATCAGCAATAAAAAAATCTCACGCGTTGAAATAGCTTCCGGTCGACCATCGTAATAAAAAAAGAAGGGGGAAATAAATTAATAGCATTAGTCGTGCAAAAAAAAGCTCGTTCGTTGAGAGAAGAAATGTAATAACGCAAAGCGTGCGTAGACACTTGCGACTCCTCTAATGAAGTGCCAATCGAACACGTTTTTTATTTCTTTGAGTTATTCACGATCAAGTGTAGTGGGTCTTGGGTGCATTGAGCACTTGCACATTTATTACACACCACTCTCAACAAAAGGGTGACACACTTTTCTGGCACCTCAAATGCACATTACTCATTCAATGTGAGACAAATCGCTGTTTTTATTTTTCCAACAAAATCTGATAAACCCATTTTATAAAGAAAAAAGAGCCCAGAACATTCAATAAATAAAAAACGCATAAAGCTTACATGACTCATTACATCTCAAAAACATTGCTGAATAAATCAGAGCACAATTATGACAATTGCTTGGCAAGATTGTACTTCGAATCACTCGAGATCTCGTCAAGATCGGGTCATCAGATGATAAGCAAAAATGTGATTAGGAAACAGGAAAAAAAAGTGGAAAAGAAAGAACAAAAACAAATTCCAAAAATTAAAAAAAAAACTGAGGAAAAATTTACCCGGAGGATGGACAAAAATATGTCACATCTGCGAGGCTGCAACCGGTTGAAACATTGGTGATAGATCAAGAAAGGAAGGTAAAATATTAATGTTGGTGCAATGAGCATATTATCAATGAAAATATCTACTTGGGGGTTATTAAGAATGTGTTATTTAAAATTTTAATTAAAAAATGATACGTAGTAGAAAGTTTCGATGAAATGCCAACTAAATTGCGATGATGCTGAATGAAAAATTAAAACAATTGCTTTGGGCACAACATGTTAAAGACAATGAAAAAAATAAATAAAGTAGGAGGAAAAAAATGAAAAAAAAAAAACATAAGCCCTAGATTTTACATATGAGGAAGAAGTAAATACAATTTCTGGCATATTGATCTGTATTTTACATTTTCTCGTTTTCTCGTAGTAAGCTCGTCATTTTTTTTTCGAGCATTTTGAACTTGAAAGACAGTGCCGTTTTGCATCAATAATTGTAAAAATTTCTATACGCTTGTCTTGAATTAAACTTGAAAAAAAAATCTGTAACTATAAAATGACACCATTTCAAGTCTTCAAAATGATTGTAATAATTATGCGAATTCTCATCGATAAAAAATTATGAACTATCGAGCTTATTAAGGACCAAATTTGTTCGTGCCGGTACTGTAGCTATTGAAAAAAGTTGCTAAGAATAAATAAAAAATGAGCAATGTTTGAAAAAAAAAGCTGTTAGGTTTAGGTGATTTCAAAGAAAAATGATTAAAACCTGTGTACTAGGTTTTAAATATCTATTTCTTTTTTGGACGACGGAATGGAACAGAGTTCGCAGCTTGCTGTAGAGCTCTTCTACAAATTAAATTATTCGACGGTTAGTAATTTATAATTGATTACCCTCGGCTCCTCGTGATCATGTGAAACGGAGGGAGAGACGGTTTGGCGTCTATTTTCTCCGGAACTTCTTTTTTTACTTTTCCTATATCAAACTTGATTTTAGTTTGCTCTACTTTTTTCGTTCTGTCCTCGGACTTTTTCTTTGCAGGAGATTTTGTCAGACTCTTCTTCTTGTCGGCATTCTTCATTTTGCCTTCAGCGACTTGTTTCTGATTAACTTCTGCAGTTTTTCTTTTATTTGCAACAATTTTCTTTTTGTCATCAGCTATTTGTTTGGCTTCTGCTGCCTTCCTCTCCGCGAGCTCTTTCTTTAGCGCTGCCTTTTTCTGAATTCTTTCTGATCTCTTCGGTACTTTTGGCCTAAATTGTAATATTTGATTTGCAGCATGTGAAAGTTATCTTACTTCTCTTCGACCTCTATGACTTCTTTTTTGATTCGCATTGATCGTCTTGGCGCGAAAGATTGATCTTCTTGGCGCATTGCTTTAATTGGTATCTCTACTTTTTTCTCCACTGCTGCGGATGTTGTCGCCTAATTTTAAAAAAACTATATTTTTTCAGCATGGTCAATCACATACCTCGTTTCTAAGATTATTCATGAACACGACGTGTTCGACGCAAGCAAGGCGATATTTTCTGTCCGATTCTCGAAGAAATAGTTTTGCGTGATTACGCGTTCGACATAATTTGATGACTTTATCAACGTCAAACTCGTAGAACGCCAGCATCTCCAGCGACTGGAAAATACATTGCAATAACTATTTTTTCATAGAAACTATTTTTCGAATACCGTCTCAATAGAGATATGCGCTGTCTCGCTCTTGAATCTCTGCAATTCCGCCTCAGAAATGTCAGCATCAGTGAACGGTAACAGAATGGGCAAGTCCCGATCAGGTTCAACTATCTGCGATGGTTCTGCTTCTCTAAAAATTATAAATTATATAACTTTTCTATGTAAATACTAACATATTTCGTTGTGGAATCTTAACGCAGTCCGAAAGCGCTGTTGTGCTGTTTCCGTTGCTTAAAAAGTTTCATTTAATTAATCATCATATAATTAATTTTCATACCAAAGCTTGTACGGCTCATGATTCTCCAAAGGGTCTACTGGCGATAAATCGGTCTCCTCAATTTCCTGCTTTACTGTGATCATCGCTTCCTTGAAAATGAGATGTATTTAAATTTAAACTGGTTAATATCACAATTTTTCAAAGTGTATATTGCTATTGAAAACGTGTAATATCAGAGATATAAGGAACTGTGAAAGTGTGTATATCTAGAAATCTATAAAAGAAAAAGGATTTTTGTCTAAATACGAAAACAAATAAACCAAAGTGCATAAGAATGTTTTTTATGAAGAATTTCTGGGTTGGATGATAATGGATGACGAACTATTGAACCAAATAAATTGCCAATAACAATTGTAAAATATTAAATACTTTGTGCTTGTATATTCAAAATATCATCAATACATAAAAAGTCTGTAAATAATACGCTTTTTCAATTTTAGTTTAAATTGTATTTTTTACTCCATCTCATCCTGGAAAGCAGAAGTGTTGCCGAGAAATGTTTCTCATATTCCACCGAGTAAACTGAAATTCATCAGCGCGAATTGAAATCTTTGGCTTCAAAACAGCAGGCCTGACTAAAAGCCAGACGTGTTTTCCCAATTAACTTTATTTTTTATGTTAATAAGTAATTACATATATAATAGTTTATTAACTTTGAATGCCAATCATTTTAATTTAAATGCTTATATTGTAGCTTTTGATGATCGAAAATGTTCTCAAAATTAACGCGATATGCTTATAATTACCAGGGAACATCATTAACACGGCATCATTAACTTTCAATTCCATGAGCTGTGTCGTTTAATGTTGAGTCCAACAGCGATATATCACTTCACTTGGCTTTTCTACTGCGAATATTTGACTGGGGTAACATTGTGTTTATTGGACCTGCCTCGCACAAATATGAGTATATATGTATATAAATACAAAATGGTATCAAAAATTGTATCATATGACTCCTGTACAATATGGATAAGCAATCTTATAGGAATTGTATTTGTTTCGTCATAAGATCGCGTTTTCCGTTGAATTTCCAACAAATGATGCTGGAAATTGCGTTTACTTTTTCGTTTTTCCTCGCAAGTGAAGATGCAAGAAAACCAATGAAAATAAAATTTATGAACATGAAATGACCGGAATTTCTAAAGTAGCTACAAGGAGAAACGATGTATTTCAGATTTGAGACGCTATTATACTTCTGGATGAAATAACATTTAAAAATAATCTATGGTAAACAAAACAGATATATGCTGAATGGCAGTTTAGTTGTTCGGAGTATCATCGTGATATCAATTTCGCTCCTTACGATTCTTGATGTGGGTTTATCTCTGAAGTTTATTCCTGCTCATAATGCCTTGGAGATTTCCCGAGATAACGTTGGCGATTAGAAGAAACATCTGCTAGCAGCGTGAGATACATATTTGAGTTCCGTGATAGGTCACGTGTCGGCGCAAAGGCACATTTTCTTCGGAGCACTCATTGTGTCGCATTTTGGGCAATGCTCGTATCATTGATCTACCGACTCGTTAAACTGTGGTAATGTGTACATCGATTTGACACTACGTCACAACTTGATAGTCGACTTGGAGACTAAGGTAGCAGATTCATCAGATTGTACATTACAATTAGCTTACTTCAAAACAAAACGTTTCCAACTCTCCGGAAGACTTCGAATCATTCCAGACGTTTCGCGAAACATGACAATTCAGACGAACAAATAGATTCCCATTTTTTATTAATAAAATAATTGCAGCGTAAAAGTATGAAAAAACTGAAAAGAAAATTTAAAAAATTGAAATGATGACTTGATATTTCGATCAGCGCAGTATTACTCCAATACTTTCTCAGCATCAGCTAATAAAACAAATGCACAACATAGCAAATGAAGATCGAGGACTTCATTTTTTAAGAGAAATGTTGGACGATCCGTCATTTAATATCCATTCATGATTAACCGTTTCCCGCTCAAGGAACCATCACCATTAGTGAGAAATTATGATATTATTTACGTAAGGACAGGTGAAAACAGCTTAAACTTAAAGTAAATTCTAAGTTTCAACATTTCGTTGATATATATATATATATATATATAAGGTTTGTGAGCATGCCGAGAAGAACGATAACGAACGAGAAACAAATGGCGAGATGTGAGCAACAGTCTTGACATTGTGAGCAACGGCCGAGGCACATCTCCCTGCCGGACGGTTACGCCAAATGGTTGTGCTGCACGCCACATGTGGTGGTGTCGAAGTGTCAAGGCGACATTATAAATATATAATAAAAAATGTGCACGATAACAGCAATAATGTTTACTTTTAACTGGAATGTGGAATGAATCTTGCGAGAAAACAATATATTACAAATGTATAACAATGCTACAGTAACATGAGAAGAAAATTCGGTAAAGCTTCTGGCGGATCAAACTTTTATACTGGAGTATTTTCTCATTTTTTGGTTACATCATCATATAAAAATCACCAAGATCTAAGATAATAATATATTACTAATATTCAGAACCTACTAAACCTACTGTTTGAATCATATGGGATTTTAGATTGCATGTTTTTTCCTATCATTTACTTTTTAATTTTTATACATCTGTAGAATGTAGCTTGTAAACTCCTCTATCAATTTATTCCAAACAAAATTTACAAAATAGACAAGAAAAATTAATCAACAATTAAAAAAAACATTTTAAATCAACTGCTAACCTTTCACATTATTGTTCAGTGGAGCACACTTGATGCAAAACGCGTAGAAAATAGGCTCGTTTAATTTGACATCCTACTTTTTGACGAAATTTTGTGAACTTTTGATAAGTGCTCTTAGAAATGTGAGAAGGACTACCTATAAACGTCTAGTACAAAATAATGGACAACAAGGCTGAAAATCTATTTGTGGTTGAAAGCACAGAACGCGTGCTGATGAAGTGTTTGTTGTCCTGGAGACCTCGCTACAAAATTTTCTAAAATGTAAAGAGGGGTATCGATGGTGGCCATACAATTGTCGTCCGATAATCAAGAGACATGTGCTATTTCAAAAATATTAGATTGATGCTAATTTTTGGAGAACATGGATGTTTTCACAACATTCAAGCCAAATATATTGCAAAGCTTCAACACCTCTTCTTTGCGATATTTCCTGAAAAACATAGTCTAAACTAAAGAAAGGGGAAAATTCATGTCTATAAACATAACATCTCGTTTCGAAAATTAGGCCTACAAAAGTCCAATATTATTATACTGCCTACGTGGAATTGACAGGGCCGATTATCAATGCGGGTCCCGTAGCCACCAAGTTGTCGCAGTTGCCCTAGGCATATGCAATTTGCACGCATTTTCAAAATATGACAAAAAATCTGATTTCGATGGATACGATTTTCAAAATAAAATGAAGGAGGGAGTACCAAAAATGTTTATTTACGGCCAGCAAAATGAATAGTTATTTTCATGTTCAAAATTTGAAATCTTGGGTCGAACAGCCCCGGTTTCGTTTATGTGTCTGAAAATCTATAATTCAAGCAAAGACTTGAATAAATGCGCGAGTCGTGTGACTAAACCGAATGCATTTTATTTGACAAAAATAATAATACGTGTAATTTCCACGAGATTGAAACATTGTGAATGCAAAATTTTAGTATTTCAAGGCTATAGAGATGCTAGCGATGACTGCGTTTGAAAAATCCCAAAAAATATTAAAAACAAGCAAAATTTAAATTATTACGAGTAATGCCTTTTATTTGCCGAAATTATACGTGATATTCACATTGCGATCATTTTTTCTTCACAACCAAATAACTTAGTATTTTCCTTCTTCTTTGATTTGGAACGCCAATTAATATCCGAAAAAACAACCACTGCTATGTCGTTGTTAATTTGTAATTTTATCTTATGTTCTCTTGTTTCTTTTTTTTCGAAAGCAATTTTGATAGAAATTTCATCAACTCTTTTTGATTATAAAGAAATGATTTTTTTATATAAAAATGCGAAAATGAAATGAATTCAATCAAAAAGCTAACGAGACCCTCAAATAAATAATGCGATTGACTCTCCCAATTCGCTAATAGATGTTGCGGATGTAATAAAAATCATAAATAAAGTCACTGTTCATCACCTTTTAGGCTCTTATACATTTAAACACTTAAGAGCCTGAACGTTATATCCACAAAATTGCAATAAGCAACCCATATTTGGTTACTTACTAAGTTACTTATTTGATCGAGAATCCACTAAATGTTTTCGAAATAAAAACCTCAACAATTTCTTGAATAAAATGTGATTAACTTCTCAATTTATCATACGAAAATCGTGTTTAATTTGAACTTAGTATAAACGTTTTGAAGTTGAAAATTTTTCGAAAACTATAATTGCACTGAAGTTTCTCCCCATTGAAAGTAATTAAAAAACGAAATTAAAAAATTGATGACAATTCTGTGGAAGCTGGCCTAAAATAGATGAACGTGCAATCCCGGCACGCTTTTTTTCACGATGCCGCAAAATCGCCATTATCCGTGTTTCCAAAAAATTCAAATTTTATGGGCTCTTTGTCCTAAATTTTTTCAATTTGCTAGTGTCTTGATGCAATTGTCATCAATTTTCGATTTGCACTCTTATTTCTGATTAATTTATCGGTTTCGAGCTGCGAATTCGCACAATGTTTGAGTATCGAATACATGTTCGGTAGAGCGATATTGTTGTACCACAAGCGCTGTGGGATGGTATGCATGTCTTCGAAAATGTTTTTTTTTTCATTAGCCCCAATTTTTTCTTGTATTTTGCTTTAATTTTCTAGTATTTTTCCTTTATCACAAAATTTTTAATATCGGATTGAATTCTTACAGGTAATATGAGTTATCAATTGCAACGAACTTATGGAATTGACTCGACATACTGGTATACTCCTGAAGTGAGTTTTTAAACGTTATTCTTATTTGTAATATTTAATTATAGAATGCAATGCCACCGATGGTGGGCCAGCTGTTCATGAAATCAGATCCAGATGAAGTTACGCAGGCCTTTTTGGATCAATCGGCGAGCATTTCGGGTAATTACTTTTGGCAGGTGACTTATTACGATATCGGCGTTCACAAAACCAATTGCAACACGTTTAGACCATTCGCAATGTCAGCGTTATGGTACTGGGACTGATTTATACTAAAACGGATATCAATGGTTTCACAGGATTCGGAAATATGTTCCTGTTTAGCGAAAATCAAATGGCTAAATTCTTGGGTATCGATCGTCAAACATGGAGTAGCAATGGAAAAAAGGTATCGAGTTGAGAACAATTGCAAATAATTTTTCCATTCCAAATCAATTATTTATACAAGCATTACCAGCGTATCTTAAAACGCACATATTGCAAAAATTCACCACGACTATATTTAGATGATTATTGCAAATCATTTTAGATTCTCGATCTAGGAGCTGGCAATGGAGATATCACGGCACATTTGAAACCGCTTTTTGATACGGTGTACGCTACAGAGCTGTCAAAGGTTATTATTGCAGTTTAATCACTTGAAAAATTTTTCATGTTTTGGAATTCTCTTAAAAATCATAATTTCTACTGAGAAAATTATTTTAAGTATCGTTGTTTTTATTTCGAACATAATTGGCAATAAGCGACATTATAATCCTTTTTTTAAATAAGAAAAAAATATATACATGTATATATGTTTCTATGGGAGTACATAGTTAACCAACAATGCAAATACCATAATTAATATCAATTTTAAAGTCTATGCGCCGTCGATTGACATCAAAAGGATATAAACTGCTTAACGCTGTTGACTGGGCAACTACCGACGAGAAATTTGATTTGATCACGGCTTTTAATCTCCTGGACAGGTATAATTATTCCAGCAATATTTTAAAACTATCCAGCATTGGTTCAGACATTATTCTCCACGCAAACTACTTCGGGATTTGTGGAAGAAGTCTCACGAATCGAACTGCTACGTTGTTTTGTCGTTGGTCCTTCCTATCAGCCATTATGTTGAATTCAATCCAATTGGAACTGGTACCTGGCCAGGTAAAATTTCATAAGTAATTCTCGAAGATATGAAATTCTAAAAATTTCAGATGCATTCCTCAATGTTCGTGGGCGCACTTATACCGAGCACTTGGAAACATTGATTGTTAATGAAATCATCCCTGCCAATTTTGAAGTTATACGTTGGACTCGCTTACCCTATCTTTGCGAAGGCGATATGCACAATGTAAGATTCTTTAAAACATTCGTTATGCAGCAACAAATTTGAATTACGTAGCATAACATCAAATGAGCTAATCATTTAATGAAAATAAGTTTTATTGGCATAGTTTTGTCAAAAGATGAAAAAAATGAAAATTTCGCTAGGTTACGCTACGTTTAAGATTTCAAATATCGAATTTGACAAGCCTTTAAAATTAACAACTTGCACATTTTCAGTCCGCTTACTATCTCTCCGACGCGGTTTTCCTTCTCAAACCACTTCCGTCAAAGGAAACTATCACTCCACCTTCAGACGGCATGAATAGAGAACAGTATGCAAACACTCACCAAGAATTGTAATTGACAATTTATTTTTTTGTCATATGAATGCTACTGCTGAGACCGGTCAATGACGATTATATATTATATATTACAAGTAACTCTTTTAAAACCTCACTATTATCATGAATTTTTTTTCAAATATTACAACCCAATCATCCTTCTTTTTACTGCACGTTTTTTTATTAATGGCCAAACTTGATCTTCAAATAATATCGAGCAATGTTTTTCAAGTGCAATTTTGTTCAATATTTATTAAATAAATGATTCGTGATGAGTATTTAGAAAAGTCGGGACTTGGAACTGTTACGACTGTTGCTTCGCATCTGGGATAAACGAGTATCTTTCTCAGGAGTGTCTGCATTCCGCGATTTTAAGTTGCTACGGGGCGGAGCGCTAAAAAATTTTTGAAATAAAAGACAGACTAATTGAAATTCTCAAAACTTGCCTTAACCAAACAATTATGTCAATCATAAATACAAACATAAAAGGAAAACCAGCAAAAATAATATTAGAAAAGCAATGGGTCAATGATTGAGGCTCATTTTCGCCATTTTAGTTGCCAGTGGGACGCTGGAATCGTAACATAAGAATCGAGCAGGTTAACTGAGGAGCATGCAAATTGTTTGATATTCAAACTTACGGAGTTTTTATGCGATGCTGCGCCGAACTTCTTGATGCTGAAGTACTGCGCCTGAAAATTATCAATGAACATTACTTGGTTTTATATTGCTCTACTTCTCTCGACTAGACGGAGGCAGGGTCCCTGGCCGATTTCCAGCTGAAAAGGATGTATTCCGAGTTTGCAATGTGTTTACACTGGAACGAGTTTCGACGGATCTAGAGGAAGTTGTTTTTCTTAAATTAATGAAACCTGTTGGCCTACCGACGGCGTTGTTTCAATTCATCAGCCGTTTCAGAGCGATTTCGAGACAAACTTCCATCACGAGTACGAGTGGATGAATGACGACTCGGTGAACTGTCGCGGGACAGAATATCACGATTCTTTCCCTAAATTATGTTATGAACGACAATTTATTTTGTTGCTGAATCGAAACCTCGTGTTTCGTTGGTAGATTTTTAATATTAGCCGCCGCCATTCGGCTCTGCGATAAGCTGCGCGAGTTTGGCTGTTTTCTTGAAGACTGCTCGCTGAATAGATTAATCAAAAATCATCAAGGAGGTTTTGTTATACCGGCAAAATGGAATATGACGTTCGGCAGCCTGAGCGTTGAAATTTCTTCCGCAATATTCGCATTGAACGTAGTCTGAAATAAGCAAATGCAGATTAATTAAAGTTATGTTTCATATGCTAAATGAATGCCAAGAATAAATTTGGGTTGAAGGTTTCATTTGTTTCTATTCTATTTTGGTGCACTCTGGTCGTTTTTGATCGGATTGGAGCAAAAAGGGCAAGCAGTAATTATTGGCTTATCACGCCTCAATGCTCATGACCCAGGTGTATGGCCAATTGTTGGTTGGAAAAGAGCCGCAATTAGATACCACTTGGAACTGCAGTGCGCGGTGGAGGCGGCAGTGGTGCGCCCGTTTTAAGAGCATAGTCCACACGTTTCGACGACGATACCGCATCAATGAAATTCCCATGACGTTCTTTCCAATTCGTTTGAGGTCGAGGAAATACACCGCCAACCTGGAAAATAATATGGTATACCCAAAAAATTGAAACATATGCCATCTACCTTGGCTTTCTCTCTCTGTGCTCGTTTCACATCATCATATGAAATGTCGCTGCCGGTTGCACGCTGTTTACCCGAATCGAATGGCTTCCTGTGGAGTGTGGCGAGCTTTTTGCACGCGGACTCGTGCTTTCCCTGGACAATAATGCATGCATATATATGCGTTAAACAACAATACTAGTGCTGTAGCAATATTGCTCGTTTTAATCAATATTGACATTTGACAAAAAATAAACTATGTTTTGACATTTTGGAATAATTGATTAAAAATAATCCCTTGAGAAAAAGTAAAATTTTAATTAATTGAACAACAGAATTTGTCTGTCTGTTTAGTGTTGATTAACATTTGTCAACTAGTAGTGGTTGTTGACGGAAGTTGGACATTAGTGAATGTTCTAGCAATAATACTATCTTAATTTCTAGAAACATCGATCTGAAATTATTGAAACGTCGGCTAATTGAGTATACGGATTATAACAGCTGAAATAATCCCATTCGAGAATTTTTTCTTTTTTTATTGAAAATACGCAAAACAAAAAATTGTTAGCTAAATTTTCATGAACGTTGTGCATTTTTTATCATGGCTTTTTAGTTTCTTAACTTTTTTCTAAAATTTGAAAAATACGACTAACCAGACTTGATCTGATAAATTTCCGGCCGCAATTACTGCACGGAAACGTCGGCTCAATAACAGAATCTTCTGGAATCGTGAGGTTTTGGACTTGAATCGTGTTGCGTGGGCGAAACAAACCTGGTGGCAACGACATGTGGCGCAGTAAATTGTTTGAGTATTGCTTCAACGCACCAAAAGTGTTCTCACTAATAATGGCTCGGCGGGCCACAACTCAACGCGCAGAGCTTCTTGTTGTTTCCAAGCAAAAATGGTTGCTAAGCGTTTTTCGACGCGCATGCACATATACAAGATCTGTTGAAGAGTACGAATAATATGCGCAAATTTTCGTTTTTTAACGAAAAATGAGTTTGAAACGACCAGAAAAATGTGATGAATTTTGAAACACAAATGACGAGCCCTGAATTAATGACGGTTATTTTCTGTCGACATAAAGAGGGAAATGAAAAATAATATTGGGTGTATCTTTTAAACGAACATAGAAAAACGTTCATTCATTTTTTGAGCTTGAAACCAATATTTAATGCATGGTGAGTATTCTGAGTTTAATGCCAAACATTTTTCTTCAATTTTTCATATTAGTTTCTGCATCGGTGTTTTTCGAAATTTCGCAGGAAAAAAATCGTGTAATATATCAAAAAATTTTCCACTTGGCCTACGCTCGAACGTGATTTTCGTTTTCATCCTTTAAAATTTTTTTCTGACACAGATTGCATGTCTCATTTTTAATGAAAAATTAATGAAAATTCAGTCATGCTACAAAAATTCTATATTTTCCAGTATTATCGGTGCCATTGGTGTCTTCGGCAGACATTTCCTACTCTGATGTAGGTGCTGAAATTAATTTTTTGTTTTGATCAAATTTTCATGGCCAATATATATTTTTTACTTGTTAAATGAAATTTAGATCAAATCCAGTAAAGTAAAAAATGCAATCTAATTTAAATTTTTTTTCCGACTTAAATAATCTCCAGAAATTCAAAAGAAATATGTTTCTTTAAGTTATGCAATTTTTCAGCTACACTTTTCAAATTTGACATTTTACGATCGGCTTCCTTATACAAGAAACATTTTCGCATTTTACTTTGGCTGATGAGCTAAAGAAGAATCTTACTACAAAAAATCATTAATTTTCGTACCGAGTGTCAAACAATTTTTATTTGGATTTTTCTTAATTTTTTTCTTAATACTGCTTCATATGATGTTATCGCTGGTGTCATTTGATGTTTTTACAAATTCTGAGCTGTAACACCAGAAAGATTTATTTTAACGGTTTGCAAGCAAGAACATTTGTATGTAATTGATTTAGAAGGTCATAATGCAATTATGATCTATTTTTATCTTTTGTTACACACTCTCTCAATTTAATTTATGTGTTTTGTCGTTTTTAAACTTTTTGACGGTTTAACAATTTTTTTCAAAATCTACTAAAACTCCCCCATTTCTCATTTTATTAATTCAAATTGCGTCATTTCAAAATGATATATTCGAAAATTTATTTTATTTTCATTTTAATGAGCAGCAACTTCTTGGATTACCACTTTCTATTAATGAGAAGCACCATTCGATTTTGAGTGTGACATGCTTTAGCATGACATGTTTCAGAATTACAGAATTCCATGATATCCGGTGTACACTTTGCATATTCATTGCAAAACTTAATTAGTTTTTCTTTGAGTGAATACTGCTTGAATCTCAGTTGTGTAAATGAGACATACAATGTTTGAGAATGAAAAGCGTTGGTAAGAAAAGAGGAAAAAAGAGGATGAAAAATGAGATATAAAGAAGAATCCCTTTTGACGTTTTGTGTCTTTTTCTGCTATTGTGCTTTTTTTGGGTATCAATGATGATTTGTGATTTTAAATATTCTTGTCTAACTTCAGACCTTCGTGAAGACTAATTCAAATTGTTGCGCCAAAACAGCCATCACGCTGAATAACTTATGACGGAATAAGAAAGCAAATTTATTATGAAAATTGCGACACACTTGGCGTAAGTTTCTACCCATTCTGAGGACTTTTATGAGAATGATCTACACATGACTTTGCTGATCACAATTACGATTTCTCTGCTATACGGTATATTTTGAGTTTCTAATTTTCAATTTAATTGCGAATTTCAGCAAGAAGTGGTGATTCAAGTTACTGCACGGCAGCATGCTTAACAAAGTTCCAAAAAGTGGTCTTAGCAACTACAGGTTAAATTACAAATAATATTTTAAAGTCTCTTCACATTATATATAACCGCTATTATTTTCTAACTTTATTTCAAACTTTTTCTCACTTTTATGTTTTTAAATATAATTATTCTGTCTCTTTAATTTGCTAGTATCGATTTTTATAGGAGCAACTGATACTTCATCTTTAATGGCGCCATTCCATCAGATCATTGGAACCTCTGACGACAACGACCAAGCTTACCGGCAGTTTCGAACGCTTTGCCAGTAAGACATTTTAATTTTTTTCTCTTCTTCTTGTTTAATTATAGCGCTGTTAAACACTGGGATACTTGCATTAAATCTTGCTCAAACGATAACGCAAAGGCTGTTTTTCTCTCGTCAATGGAGCAATGGAAGAAATTTTGTGCGGTGATGCGTAAACCAACTCGAGGCAAGTTTCGCAACAAGCATCCATGTCGTTTCCGGTGTAAAATTCACGCTCTGACAATAGAAGCGCATTGCTAATTCCTAGTACTTTTTGTGAAAATGGATAATTTCTTTTTCAGAAAATAATGAGTATCTCTACTGTGAGCGAGAATACAGGCAGCAAGTTAAGCGAAATTGTGAAGTATATTTGCCTCCAACATATTCAGTTGCCATATTCTGCAAGTATGAATAAATAATCCGAAAATGAGTGAGCAAAGTATTTCAGATCCCTAGAAAAGTATCGAAATTGCTCGGATAGATACAAATATAGATGTAGCGACGCAGCATTGCAGGTAAAATAAGGCCGACTAATTGGCCCCAATTTGGACAACCAAATTTTTGTTTTCCATAATACTCTGACAGGTGCAGAGAATTAATGGCTAAATGGGTACATAACCCATTAAGGCGAGATAAATACTCATTGGTTTGTAGTGAAAAACAACGATGAAATATTTTGGCCAAAAATTAAGAACTACTACTAAAGCCATTGTTTTACTTCCAAAAGTGCATAGATTGAAGTTCATCATATCTTAATGCGTAAACTGCGACGTATACGATTAAATGTTTTGCTCAATTAAAATTTACCGTAATATTTATCTTTTAAAAAATATTGCTTTAAAATTATTATTGTTTAAATTCTAAATAAATGCATTGAGACCAAATTTGCTCATTAGTAAAAAGTGATTTTACCACATTTTATCCAACATTTATTTTTTTATTAGCAACACTCCGTGGAACGAAGGGAATTATTTTCTCAAATGTGCGAATATTTCAATTTGAGTTTATTTATCGATCCCCTAAAATTAATGATAATTTGATAGTTCGAAAAATGATACACGGTATTTGGTTATTGGTTTTGAATTGCCATCTAATGCGATAAGGGTTTCCACAGCGCGTATGGATTTTTTCCATTGAAACACTTGACGAAACGCAGAACCGTGTATTTGTCTGAAAAACTGGTTATGTCATTATTATATCAAACCACCTTGGTCAAATTATCGAGGAAATCAGTTTCATTTGGCAGTTTTCATCAAGATGATGCAATCCGACTGAATCAGGAACTGATTTTCTTGAAAAATTGGCAGCGACGAAACCCAATGAGCGACAGTTTTCATCAGAACCGTCAAAGTTGCAGATTAAAAATGAAATCGAGGAAGCAGTGCAGAACAGTTTCTCGAAACTTATACGACTTGCCGGCAACCGCATACGACTTCCAGATAAGTATGCGTGATTGCATGAAGGAATAAGGAAGCTTCATTTAAATTTAGATGCAATATGTGGCAAAACAATCATCGGCATCGCGGAAAGCATGTTCGCGGAGAAGTGTTGCATCGAACCAATCTTCTTATTACAACCACTCCGACTTTAACAACAACTACTACTACAACAACGGAATCGCCGGGATCATGCGTCAATTGCAACTGCGTGGATGCGAAATGTGATACTACATTGGAAGAATCTTACACAACGGCAGAAATTCTAGACACATCAAATTCAGAGCTGCTCATTAAGTCATATCCTCACGTTTCAATTCATCACATTATTGGGATCATTTTATTCATTTATTTATATTGAAATGGAATGTTTTTTGAAATAAAGACCCATCCAAATTGGACCCAAAAAAGAGAAAAAAGATACAAAAGAAGTCGACTTAATTTAAGCGACTAATTATTCAAATGACAGCATAACAATAAATAACAACAAAATTCCCCGCATTTTTAATTCGTCAATATTGGTAGTGGGTGTCCTTCGGTATTGAATACCCATTTATCCAGAGGTAATAATGATTTGTCATCATCGAAGAGCAGATAGAGATACTTCAAGGTTTCTGCTAATAAGAAGGATTCCATCAAATCCCTGAATATTTGAAAAATTATAATGTAAACATGCTTAAAATCCAACCTATAAGATACGTTTATCTTTTTGACGTTTGAAATTGATGAATATCCACCGGAAGGGATCTTCGCATACTTTTCTATTGCTTGGAATGCTTCCCAACCCCATTCCTGGTATTTTTTATCTCCTTAAAAATATTTAAATAAATTTAAATTTAAATTGATGAAACCTGTGAAACGATAGAGATAGAACCATCCTTCAATTGCTTCTGGCCTCAAAAGACAATGTGCATCAAGTGGCTAAAAAATGAGTTTGTCTTTTGAACCAATGGGATGTAATATATCTGCTAGAGTCAACGTTTTTAAAAACTAACCTTAACGTATAAATCTTCTTTTCCTGGAATCATGTTGAAATGAGCAATCTCTGGCCCCAAGCCGGTTGGATTGTTATACATTTCGTGGCATGTCTCTCCAATTTTCTGAAACCACGTTTGATCATACTATTTAGATAACACGAAAAATCAAAAAAAAAGTAAAAATTTTAAAGAAAAACACTCTAAATACCCTATACAGGTTTCGCAAAAATTGTACTTTTTTGTAGTTATTCGAGTTTTCTTATCCAAAATCTGCACATCACTATAATTGAATCAACCATTACCTTCGCCATTTCCAAATGATGTGCGGGAAGTCCATTTACAGATCCATGGGCCAATGTTCCGGCAATGAAACAAACAAGATGATCCTCAACCATTCACATTTATCATATGTAGTTTAATTATCTGCAAATTACCATTTTTGGCGAATATGTATCGCCGCTTAGCAATTCTCCAATGAACCAGAAATTATTTGGCTCCGTCTTTCGATATAAATATTTTTCCATAGCTTCAATGGATTTTGCATAATCTTCTTTCAGCCTGAAAATTCTCGTTTATAAATATGTCATTCTTTCGAATTTTTAGAATTCCTACCAATCGATTGTTTTTCCCGTTTGAATCCACTGCTTGAACAAATATTCATAATAACTGTCCGCTCGTGCACCAAATGTAATCGTCGTTTTGGCTGAAAAAAAAAACAGATTTGATTTGTATCATATATTATTCTACTTTTAAATTTTCCTGTGTTCGCGTTCACAAACATCCCACATAGACCTTCAAATTCGTCACAGCCAATCTCATGAATATGCTTTGACGTCTTGAATGCTAACTCCTTAACAAATTTATTTATAACATTAATTTAAAAAAAAATTTCAACCTCATATGTTGAATTTCCAGTGGCTCGCGACAAATCACGATACTCGAGCTGCACCGTAGTTACTTCAGACAATGAAGAATCTGCTCCCCATTGCGGATTTGTGCCGATCCTAAATAACAGTTCAATATAAAAGTTTTTATAAGAAAAATGCCTTCAAAATTATTTTATGTTACAAGTATATCATTTTGATAACTTATTTTCCACTCGATAAACGTGTTTTTATTATTTTATTAAATACCATATTCAGAGTTTAACTCGCAACATTTCAAAATAGTTGATTGTCTCAAATTGTGTTCGCCCGATCACGTACCTTTTCAACAAGTTAACATCACTAAATGGAATTGGCGATGATGATTTGTAAGCTGATAAAAGACGATCTCCAACATCCGCCGCTTTATACAGAAACATCTGCGGAATATATTCATAATAAACCATTTTGTTAAAATTTTGAAATTACCTTGTCCCCTGTTAAATGATATGCGCTCAAAAGTCCTCCCAATACACGAATAGTGCATTCAAAGAAGTTCACAGTTCGATCTTTTTCGAAATTCAGTTCGTTTTTAATCCATTCTGTGGCCTCGGATACTTCTACATATAATATTAGTTAAATTTTGTATATGAATGTAAATTCACAACCTTTATCAAGACCCATTATGATAGCAGTATCAATTCCGTCAGTAATTGTCAAACCAGTGTCGAACCAATCCGAGAAAGACTGCAACACTTCAATTGTTTATGTTACTCCTTATACATCAAAATTACCTTGCTAACCGGCTTCAGTTGATCATGACCCCAGGCATATTTCTTATATCCTTCCCAGGCATGCTGGAATGCTTTTACAACTGCTCGTTGCTTCTCATTTTTTGGACCTTAATCAAATTCATTGAAAGCTAATTTCATAATCTGCGGCACCTGGAAATAGTTTTGATGTTGCTGCCGCATTTTCCTTGTCTTCAATTACATCCTCATCGATATTATCCTCGGCTTGTTTTGGATCTTGTTCTACTGCTAATGCCACTGGGACGACTTCCCTTAAGTCATCGTCCTGTAAAAAGTTATTCTTAAAAATTTGCTGAAAAATAAACTCACATCAGTTGGCAAACCATCGGTTATTAATCCCAAAACGAATATAAAAAATAGGAATAGAAAAATTAGGCATATCAGCTTGAACATTCCTCCTTTTGTTTTAAACCACTGAAAAAAAGTGGTGGCCAGGTTATTATAATATTATGAATATGTTCGTATTTAGTGTAATAATGGAGCGAATGACGAAAAAAACCTACATGATAAAAGCGGAGATAAAGTCTCCGAGTCGATACATTTGCGATCTTCTGCCGATTATACAACGGCAACTCCATGATGAGACAATTTGATTGCCCAAATATTTGTAATCCAGTTTTGTTACCCACAAGCTTTTCTAAAAAAAATCAAAGACTAAGAATTTATATTTTCTTCAATTTCTGAAGTGAATAATTAAAAAGAAACGTAATAATAAATAACATAACAATTGTTTGGTGATGCCACCATTTATTTGTCTGACGTTTATTCATAAACGCGCTAACCTCCTGACACTGGCGCTTATCGCGTGCACACCCATTGTTGTCTATGGCTCAGTTTATTCCAGCGGAAATATTTCAAGAAAGGAGAATTTTGCAAAATTCCGAGGAAAAAATATATTTATAAAAATAAGACATGTTTCTTAATGTTCCAAAACATATTTTTTTTCGAAAACAAAATGTTTCTCTGAAAACCGATTAATCTTTTCATTAGTACACAAACGTCATAAAACAATTTTGTGCACTATTTTTCAAGGAATTGTGGGTAGGTAATCTTTTGGGAGTAGATCATTGCAAATTTATGGAAAAAGCAATTATGCTCTAAAACATGTATGTAATTGGTATTAGCTGGGGGTGTTCTGATAACGGGATTTAGTATTAGGGAACCATACAATTATTGATACTCATTAGAATCAGTATCTAGTCATTTCCCCGAAAAACTATTTTCTGACTTTATATTGATAATCGTACTATGAACTCAATAGAGGGCTCATTTACATTATCTTTACTTGTCCTAGGTTTATCAGGTTTATCGCATTTGTACTGCTTCAAACAAAGTTGAACAAATTTCAAATCCTGTTTATGGAGCATTTATAAACTATTTATATGAAACATAAAAGCACGTGATAACATTGAATTGTTCATTAAAAATATGTCAACAAATATAAATACACAGTTTTATGAACAAGTTGAGTTACGGGTTACTTAGATGAGGATTTCTTCGTTTTTATATCGAGGTGTTATGGTTTTGGAATGAATCGCACATTCTCCATGTATCTTCTGTATCGTTCGGCTTGTGATGATGTAAAACATCCCGACATTGTCATTACACACGTCATACCAAAAGATCGTTTGAATTTTCCAATTCTGAAATTTGCGCAATCTTGAAGCAATCCCAATTTTAAACAACTTACTCAGAGGGGACAATAAGGAAATTCTCGTAAGTACCAACGCCTTGCTGATTCATAAACCGATTATCCTGCAATAATATTGTAATATATTTCAAATAAATTGTTTTCCTCGACGAACCTCGTTTGAGTATACGACAGCATTCACAAATGCCATTGTTACGACAATAATTGCAAACGAAGAAAGGAGAGACATACCTGAACCTGCAAATATTCGATCACATGAAATCAAAAAGGAAATTCGAAGATCTTTCAATATCAAGAAATACGTGAGTTTTTGGTGGAGGATTAAAATATCAAAAATGAGTCGGAGCCACCAAAAATAGCAAAAAGACTTGCCGTAATTGACTTACAGTTAGTTTATAGGATGTTTAAAGTAGTTCTGCGCAGCATGGATTCTAAACGTGTTTTGCAGGAGCGCACAGAAAATCCTAATCACTATAATGGTACACATAGGGACATATTTAGATTTTTTTTTGGGGGGGGGTGGGAAGTATAGGAGAGAGATTTACGATGTAACCCCAAATTACGAATCAAATTTGAATGGAATGCAAAGCAGGCATGCGCACATTTCACCTGCGAAGACTGAAGAATTCAGAATACGATCGGCTCCATGGAAGCCATATGATTTTGGAAATATGTGCTGATGCTTAGGAATAGGGCGGATAAAGAAAATTGAAAAACCAAAGTTACTTCTTATTCCTGGTTTGGGATTTTGAAATGCCTAACATCCGTGAGCGCAATTAAAATCACCGCTGTTGAGCCTCAAAATAGCTCACACCCCACCCAATTATGAATATTTCAGTGGGCCGGAATATTTGTTCAAGAAACATTTCCATAATGAGAGAAATACCAGTTGTAATAAAGTATCAATAATTACAAAAGGGTATCAAATTGCATATGGCGAATAAAGAGACTAAGACTTAAGTAATTTTTAAAATGATTCCGAAAACACATAAAGTCACACATGTAAAAATAAATAATGCCATTTATTTGAACATGACGAGCTTTATTATACGTGTTTTCGGAGTTAAAGTGCCAAACGCAATTACGTTTCATAGATAGTTGACACCAATGGCACAGCTATAGTTTGTATTCATTTTTGCCTCTATTTAGGCAATTCACCAAAAAATCGCTTGGAAAATTTCTTGCTGAAAAACACATTTTGACCACACTCGAAATTGAGAATTAACTATGCGTAAATACAACAAAAAAAGGATCCGTTTTAATATGCCAAATTGCGAAATTGAGAAATTGAACAAAGTGGATTTTGTAAATTTAAAATCAAACTCAAAAACCAATTTTTCGTTGAGAAAAATTTTGAAGGAATGTTTTTTATCTTAAAATTTCGGAATTGATTGTCTACTTCTAATATATTTATGTCTAAAATTTAAAGAAATTTCATGAAAAACGTTCACGAAAATATGCCCACCCGCCCCTCGTACGATATTTTCTTGTTTTGCTATCTAAGAAAGTTTTTAATTTACTTGTCATCATATGTTTTTATCGGTTTATACAACATTTATCAGTGACTTGGAGATTTTCAAAGTTTTATCCATACTAACCGTCATCATTTCAGATTTCTAGAAAACAGTTTTCACGTGTCAAAAAGAAAAGCATAAACCCAAAACATGAAGATTTTCTATAATGAGACAATTTTAATCAATGAGTTCACATATATTATTGCCTTTGAACATGTAATCTAATCTTTAACAGTACATTGATGATTAATGCCCTCTTACAAACATTTTAAGTAGTAGGGAAGATTGAAAGATATTTAAAAAAAAATCACACGTTGAAAATCTTCACGTAAAATTTTCAAACAAAATCGATTAAAATGAAGATAAGTAAACATGAATAATATGTTCTATATTGCGATATTTTATGGAACAGCCACCAATTTTTTCTAGTAAATACTAAATGAAATTAAACATATTTCACAAAAGCTGCACAGCGTAATCATATCTTAAATAAACCAAGAAACATGATTTTCTTTATTTCACTTTTTGACAACTGCACGTTTCAATTAACAGCTTAGTGTGATCTGTGGTATTATTGAATCGTCGCGCTGTTTGTGTCCTTTGTTAAGTGTATAGCATCATAATTTTTTGCACACTTATATTCTTTGTTTGAAAATCAAACAAATTTATTATTAAAATTATGACTTCATTTCAATTTCACAGAAATATCCGAAAATGGATATGTAAATTAATGCAGGTGAATTTGGCAGCTGCTTTGAAAAAGGTTTTTCTTAGGTCGGGGCTGATTTGGAAACCACAAGCTGAAATTAGCCAAAAATATTTTGCAGCTGATTCCATTAATAATTATATGATCAAATGATTCCTGTATTCAATAATGCGAATATTTATGGACCACTTTAGCATCATACAAAATAATCGACAAATAGATATGAAAAATATTAAAAAAAATGTTTAGAGTCAAATTTTTGAAATTTTTCGCAATAACATTTTCAATTTTTTTTGATTACATCTTTAAAGCATCCATTACGGGCTCAAAATTTTGCTGAAAACCTTTATTGTCTAGGAAAGCGTGATCTTAATATTTTCATATTTCCAATACCCAAGAAAGTAATTTTTTGAAAGTCAATTTAGGAAAACTTCAACTTATCAGACATGTCTGTAGTCGGAAACGTGAATTCTATCAAGTGATTTTCATGAAAAATACTCAGAAAATCACATCACTATATTAATCATAAACAAGGAAGCAGATGATTTGAATCACGACGTTAAATACCGGATTTATTTCTTTGATCTAGATCTACAGGTGAAAACGCAAATTATTTATATTTACCTGTGAAGATTTCTGGAAGGTATTAGGTAATGACAAAGAAACTAGGTATTTTGGTTTTCATGATTTCATCGCTATTCAGACCAACCAAATAGTTGCTTGAAGCTTTATAGAGGCAAATCCTTTCAAAACAAACAAATTTATGCGAAAAACATTTAAATAATGACGAATGGGTAAAATACCCAAAATTGTAGGCGGCTGCTCACATGGGAAAGTGCTTGGGATATTTAGATGTTAGTTAGTAATCACTATGATAGTGTTTTTCTCAAAACAACCGAATTAATATATTACAACGATTTTTAATGAAAGAAAGAAAGATATCTTTCAGAGTTCTGGCCAGACAGATTTCGACGAAATACTCAAATCATCGTTTAAAATAAACCAGGGCTTTTAGCATTTTATTTTTAAAGAGGTTTGTAGTTTTTTTTGAGTTTTCTTTTATCAAAATCTGCAAAGTACCAATATTTATAAAAAAATGAACATTTAAATAAAAATTTATATATAACTTTTAACTTTAGAAATTTTCATGTAAAATGAAAATTATAATAATTATTAGACGTTTATGTTCTTTATTGAAAAAATTTTTGATGATTGATTCTTTCAGCCTACTGGTTCCTCAAACCCCCTAATAGGATATAATTAAATACGAATCATCGTCTGGAATTAAAAAAAAAATCCAATACACGGTTGGAACGAATCTTTTATTATACTTTATAGATTTAAAAAAAACTGCAAAGAATATCAAGAACATAAGATAACATTTGTAATAGATGGACAGTTACGTTTTAGCACATCTAAGATGAGCCAATTGCGTTGGCCTCTCCAAAAAAAGGCGTGAACTGGGAAAACACACTCACTTGAACTGATTGTCATTGATTCTTTTCATTCTACTAGTTACGCTCCTAATTAACAAAAGAAATTATGTGAAAACTGTTGAAAATTTTCAATGCACCATGTCAATCTAAAAAAAACCTTAATTCATATCTTTTATGTTCGCTACAACCCAAATATATATGACATGAGTAGACTATTAAATTATAAGTTACAAAATATTTATTTACAATTTGAACATGACACTTATGCTGTGTAGAATCCTCAATTAAGCGGATAGGAACTCAGCACTTTCTTCTTCATATCTCCAAACATGGAGGTTTCCACTTTTCTGAAATTATTATAACCATTTCATTTGAAACAATTTTTTTCGAAATATACATCAACGGTGACGATTTCATTCTGAACAGGGTTCCATTCGAATCCATCCAATTTTATTTGATAAAATTGGTATATCTGCACTACCTTCAGCGTGAGCAAATCAAATACTGCAAATCAAATATCGTTAATCATGCATATTAAATATTGAAACATACATAACAGTTTTCCCGATCCCATACAAAACCCTGCGTATCTTCTACCAGTTCTCTCTGGCGATATCTTAAAACTTTTGATGTCTGGTCTTGTGGTATCTGGCCAGGTAAAATCCGGCATATCGAATTTCAGTTTGAATGTTGATCCCTAAAAAACATTACCATTTTTCTGATTTTGTAAAACAAAGGTTTCAATAAGTGAATTAAGTGTGATAATTTACCAATTTGCGTAAATCCCACAATTCGATTGGCAAAAAAGCGCGACGACCTGTCGTAATAAAATAAATATCGTCCTTTCTAGATTCGCAATAAAATCGTTCAGCCATTTTTTCCTCTTTATATATCGGAGTTGGCGGGCATCTCACATCGTACAACTAACATTTTCCACATTATTTACCGATCTTAAACAACAATCTTACTTTTACGTGTCCATATACAGAAGAAGTGAACAGCAAATTGCATTCGATGTCTACATAGCGTGAGCATTCTATCTCGTATTCTGGATCGATACGAATACTCTCACTTTCTGTTTCGATATCAAGGATGTGGGCCCATTTTTTTGACTGCGCAATTATCGAATTTCCATCGTACTTGAAACCGACATAAAACCAGCTATCCACATCACTATAATTAACGTCAATAATATAATTTGAAAACAATTTTTTAGCCAACATACTCAACCCTGATTTGATCAAAATCACTTTCGTCAGTTCTATATCGCGGTAAATGCCTAAAATAAAATATAAAAATATTTAATTGAACTTGAGAAAATTACAGAGTGTAATGAACGTGTGGATCATATGTTCGCACAAAACACAATTTTTCGCCATCATCCAAGTCATAACACGTAATTCTAGAGCCATGAAAGAAATCCTATAAAAAAAACATTAGTTTTGGTTTTAAAAAATTGTCATACCTCGCGTTTAATCAAAGAGAAATTGCTAGAATTATCCTTAGAATAATATGATATGTAGCTTTCTAAAATTAAATATAAAATAATTTCAAAATAATCAGCTACCAAGTAATTCCCCACAGTCTTCGTTGATTTCGTTTATGGCATTCCATAAATTGCACGCGGTACCGGACAAAACAAAGTACTTTCCATCACCACTAAATCGAATGCTGGTGGAACTCAGATACGCGCGTGTTTTGCCAATATGAAAACTTGTATTTGGTATACAGCGGTTCGTCAGTCGAATTTTCTCGCTTTCAAGAAACGATCTGCGGTTCTTTGAGCTCAACCCGTTAATGTCCAGCAATCCGTGTCCAAAGCGGAACTTTTCATGCGCCCCACTGCGTTTCTCAATATCGTATCGGAGATCGTATGGAATCTGTTGTTATTACTTTCATTACTTGTTAAAAAAAATTCTTAACACTTACAACTTCATTTTTTCTTTCTACTTTTTGTTCTGCAGGCGCCTTTTTGAAAAAATATTCGGCGTTTGGCATTCTGCAAGTTGTTTTAACTCTGTTGAAGTAATAATTTTTTGTATATAACATATGCAACGAATAAAAATTGAAAAAAGAAAACATAATCAATATGCAAAACAAATATTTCGAAAATGGCAGAGGCGTCGATTTCCAATTGTGTCAGTGGTGTCTCTCACTGGCATTTTTCGCGATCACGCTGCTGACGCCGTTAGGAAATTGAGATCTGTGACCTTGTATAGTGAATATGTAATTGCTTCCTTGTTTCAAAACATTTAGATGAAACCTTTTCAGAGTATTTATGAAAAATTTCACATTTTGTTTTCGTCGAATCTGTTTTTGATTACTTAATAGAATTGAGAAATACGCCAGCGAAAACGCAGTAATTAACGATGAAATCTCTTCCACTTAAACATTTTTATTCATTGGAAAATTTTCCCTCAATTTTATTTAGAAATAGTTTTTCAGTCTACGATATTTTAAAGTAAATACTGATAAATTCGGTTATAATGATTTTTTGTTTGGAGTTACAAAGAATTAAAAAAACTGTAGAAGATCTTCTTTTAGTTTTTTGCTTTTCACCATTTGCATATAGTCAAAAAATGTTACAACATGATTCAAGCACTCATTTGTTTGACTGAAATGACGGATGACACACTTGGAGAATCAACAACTAATTATTCTACATATTATATTTTCCTATATAATGAACTATAAAAAGACTTGTGAATGCTCGGAAAATGGAAAACTCGACAAATTCCTAATGGGATCTGAAAAACGGAGTCAAGAAGAAGCCAAGTGGCAAATAGGGGCAAAGTGACGAATGGCTACAAAGATTGAATGTTTTGAATGCATGTGTAAATAATTAACGGCAATTATATTAAGTGTTTGATATGCTTACTCACATACTTTCGGAATTGAATCTTCGCATTTCATTGATTTCGGTGAAACTACTTCAAAATTTAACAATCTTTTTAAATTCGTGGGCTGGTTGTTTCAGTCGTCTCATGTTTGGAGATCGGAGGAGGAAATTATTGAGTTTATAATGGATCTGCTTAATAATTATGCCTCATAAGTGCTTTGTTTGAATTGTGAATAAATGTTTTTAAACCTTAAACTTTCCCATATCACTTTTTTGGAGAGCGTGTAAATAACTTGAAACTAAATTTAATCAATTAGTCTATCGATTGCTATTTCAATATTATCAAGCTTCACAAAAATTTGTTTTTTCTGACAAAATGAAATGTGGCTAGCAAAAAGAAAAAAAATAATATAAACTAGTAATTGATAAACCGTAAAAAAAATTTGATACACACGTACCTAAAGTATTCGGCATTCAGTGATTTCACATTAATTTCTGCCAATTTTAAGAAATCAGATAATTTGCAGGCAATGTGAAATGTTAAAAAAAAGCGCAAACAAAAAATATTTATTTTCACATTTCTTGAAAAATAAACAGAAACTGTGTGGCTAGAATCTAAAAAATTACACTAGGCTTGATATATCGTTTATTTGAAATTAACTCGCAATTAAGCGGCATTAATAATTTCAACTATATGGTTTCATTTTTACTCCTTCTGAATGCTGTTTTTAAGGTCTTCTGCTGGAATAGCCTGATTTTTTTTTCATATCGATGGTTGCAATGGTCCTAGAATTCAAAGCGTAACCCAAATTTTGGTAATCAAAACGAGGCGTGAGAACGATCCTAGTCGAAAATCGGCTCCGCAAATTTATCCAGTGTTGAATTTTGCCTAGATTCCGTAGAAGTATGTTCACTGGGTTGGACGTACAAGGTGTCATTTTATTCCTTCTTGATTGAGTCACTGAAATGTTAATCGGAACTACGAGCATTTCCAAGTTTATATGTTTGATGTGGTCTATATTATTTACTAACAGTCCTTTCAAAGAGCGATTGCATTTTCTCTTAATATGGTAGTTTTACGTTTATTTATATAGTAAAATGATTTTTGCATCGATCACTCACAAAATTACACCAGACACGGAAGCATTTTTGAAATGTCAGCTAAGAAGAATTAGTTGTCCTAGACACCTTCACATATCATAGATTTGCTGAGTTTCAAAGATCATAAATGGGCGAATCGCTTCCGCATTGAGTTAAAAGAATGCATGTCGGGGACACCCAATTTGGAATAATTGAATAAAAGATAAACCAAACCACCTGTCTAGGTAGTCGTATAAATATGAGTGAGATTGCAAAAGCCATATTTTCATTTCATTTTCGAGAATTGATAATGAGTTTTATCATTTATCGTGATGACGCAATCAAACTTAGATAGAGAAATTGAAATATTAGAGGTAGAATTTAAGGCAAATACAGAGAAAATAAGTAAAAATAAAATAAAGAAAATTTCGTCGTAGAAAATAAAAGAATGTTCTTTATTTTCTTTTTTAATTTCTCCGCATGTGCCCTTAATATTAAATTTTTTATATTCCTGTTTCATCTTATAAATTATTTTTCTAGGTACACCTTTTTACTCATTTATTTATTTAGGTTTTTCTTTAATATTAATCCTACGTGTTACTATATTCAACTCAAATTTTTTCGGTCTGAACTATTTTGAAAGCAACAGTGACCTTGGCAATATTTTCTTCAAACGTTCTTTGTGCGTTGTTTTGTATTAGCCACAGTGTGTTATGTAGCTGATAAGATCTTGCAAAGTTCTAGTTTTGTGACCTTCATTGTTTGTTCGCATTTTGATTTTGTTGTCACTCCTTTCTCTCGTTGTTCTGATGTTGAACGTTTTCTAGACAAACTGTGCATCAAAAGAAGTATAACTCACAACGTGCTTCAATGGAACATATTTTTTAAGAGTCAAAATTACAAATTTTTCTACTAATTGTTTTCACTAACCCTTTTTGGAAACCTGCGTGTCGAATGCATACATGATTTTTTTAATAATCGACTTTCCATCACAAAAAGAACATGATAATAAAACAAATTCGTTTCGTTGATTTGGTTTGCATCAAAGTACGCATCACCTTTTTCATTGCCACGAATGCAATCTCCCAAATTCTCCGATTTATAGAATGAGTATTTCATCTATCCACCATTTGCAATTCATTGTTTCAAACGCAAAACAATCTGCTTTCTGGTACAGCAGTAATTTTGGATTCCATAAGTTTGCTGAAAAATTAACTGCGGATTCGACGAGTATTGCACTAAAAAATGGGACTGTGAGTTGAGTTAAAAAAAATAAAGGGAAATCGTATTTTCAGGCAATTGTTATAATCACTTCATTCAATGGACCGAATAAATATTCGAAACAATTGATCCACCATGGCGATTTCATTCATGACGTAGCGTTTCGAGTCGATTATTTGGATCCTGTGCTCGAGGTTCGTTTTGCATTATTCGATATACATATTCTTTTATTTTCTCTCAGAATTTGCGACAAAATGACATCAGGCTTCTGAATCAAGGCGATATTGAAACCAAAGAAGGAACTGTGCGGATTGCTACTCTCTTAGCCGATGTAAGATTACGATTAGTTATAGTCGGCGTCCGGTGACTGCTGTACGCGGGTAGATTTACGGGAATGCGTCTTTCGAAATGGTCTCGCAAGGACTAACAGGTTATTTCAAATTTTATGGACCGGTTCAATAATTTTTAATGGAACAACGTTGGAAAATCAAGGAAATGCGGAACTCATCAAGAAAAAATAAATCGTTCACGCGAAAACAGCAAAATAAGCGTTCACACGTGGCGAGATCTTTTCAAGGCACATGCGCGTAAATCGACCCGCATACAGCAGTCGCCGGACATCGACTATATTGCTTTATAATATTCACAGAATCTTTCAGGGTAGTGATGTAACTCACACGCTTTATGAGTTTAAGAATTATCATGGTTTTTTCCTGCCTGGTTTTTCGCCATGTGAAGACTTTGAGATGTATAGGAATATGTAAGAGTGTTTTTATTCTTCCCTCATAAAAGACTACAATATCAAACGAAATTATTTCAAAGGAATCGAAAATGAAGCATCAGATTATAAAACATTAAAATGTGTTTTGAAAGTATTTAAATAATCTTCTTTGCCCAATGTTAAATGTGGTTTTAAAATTTAAAAAAAAGCTATTCGTAATATGAAATTCATTTTTTCAGGCCAAGAATGTCTGCAATTTTAATGGATCATGTTGTTCAAAACTATCCTATCGGTGAAATGGAATCGGCTGCTGAATGGTACAACAAAACAATGGGATTGAAACGCTTCTGGTAAAAAAAACAAATTCAACTTTTGTTTCAAAAATTGATCAAAGTGGTTATTAACAGGTCCATTGATGACAAAATAGCAACGTCTGAGTTCTCGGCAATGTCTGCTTGGCTACTAGTGAATGAGGATCACTCCGTGCAAATGACATTGGCTGAAGGAGTCAAAGGACGCAAAGGGAAAAGCCAAATTGAAGTATTAATTACTCCCAACAAGCCACGTTATTTACAACTTTTTTTGTAGGAATTCATCAGCTTCCATGGTGGCTCGGGTGTTCAACACTTTGCTCTTTTGGTAACTGATATTATTTCTGCAGTTCAGCTTATGAAATCCAGGTAATTTTTGAAATGCCATCTGTTTTATATTTACCAATTTAGAAGTGTGGAATTTTTGACAATTCCCGATTCATATTATGATATTCTTGAAGAGAGACTCAAGCCAACTAAGCTCAATATCAAGGAAGACCTTGAGATGGTGGGGCTTCTTTTGAATTTTTGATTATTTATTTAATTTATGAAATTTTCAGATTCGTAAATTGAATATTCTGATGGATTTTGATGAGAATGGATATCTTCTTCAAATTTTCACAAAACCCGTGCAGGATCGTCCAACTTTGTTCGTCGAGATTATTCAGCGCGAAAACTTTCGTGGCTTTGGAGCTGGCAACTTCAAAGCTTTATTTGATGCTGTTGAATTAGAGCAAGCCAAGCGCGGAACTCTTTTCTAAATCAACACTATTCATAATATATTGTTGTTATGATTTAACATTATATATTCCATTCATATCTCATAGTTCCAACGAACTTTTATTTTGATTATACCTCCTCGTGCTGAAACGATATTGCCGCTTGAATGCCATAAAAATTTTATTTGGAAAACAATAAAGCTTTCAATAAAATCTTTGACTCCAAAAGCATGAGATATTCTCATTGGACCTGAAGATATGCTGAACGGAGTGTATTTTAAAGTAAAATAGTCTGCGAGCTGTAAGAAAATCAGAAAAATTTCACGCAAAGTCGAAATGATTTGATGAAAATTAAGTACTACAAAAGTATTTTCAATTAAACTTAAAGCATGATTAATTTCCAATTATACTTCACATATTAGAAGAAAAACGCGGCCTTTGTTTTTTTTAAACAAAATTTCAAAAACATTACTCAGTAATGTTTGAATACATCATTAAAATTCTACATTCAGATATAATTAATCCGAAATAACATTGAACGTGTGAGTATTAATATCAATGAGATAATCCAAAACGAATAGGCTTATACGGAATGATATTTATTTCATGCTTCATTTATTCACATTGTTAAAATCGCAAGACGATTCAAAAAATATTTTTATATCAACATTTTTATTCATTTCAAATTCAGTCATCATTTCAGATGGGTCTCTTTAGAGCCCCTAACAATAAATATGATATTTATTAACTATAAGCTTTTTTTGTTTACTAAAAACCGTGAGGTAATAATTTGCATCGTCAATTTTTCACAATACGCATATTCCCAGTAAGAAATGCTAACATTTCAAAAGATCACATTTCTGAAAGTTCGCCTAATTGGCGGATTTGCGCCACTTCTCAAATATGTTGATTTTTTTCATAGCTGAAAAGTTTATTTTAAAGTTTGGAATGTCGTATGTGTTTGCTGATCAACAAATCTAACACTCACCTAGTGCGAAAAAGTGGAACGTTCTGATATGTTTGGAAATTAATAGTGCATAAAGAGTTTGAAAACAGGTCATTAATCGGATTGTGTGCTCAAATATGTATAACTATTTATGCTCACATCATAAGTCTTTTAACAATATGTGATAATTTCTATTGAGATAAGATATCACACTTTCAATAAATGCATTTTTGTTAATTCGGATAAGCTTCTTTGTTATGAAAATTATATTATTCAAATCCGAAGCCGTCGTTACTGATAACAACAAACAATTGCCGTATAAATATGAGTCGAAGATTCATTTCATTGAACAATTTAGCTGTCTCGCGTGAAATAAGAATAAGCACTGCGGTTGGAATCGTTGTGTCTTCAAGAGACATTTCCCATTTTTTTGTTTCGACTTCCTTTTATTTTTCAACTGCTCCATATTGAATGATTAAACCGTTTATTTAGAGTTTTAAAATTGAAATGAGTGAGGAAAACTTGACAACAATTGCACCGCATCGCGGATTCAATCAAAAAGCACGAGATATTCTCATTGGACCTGAAGATATGCCGAACGGAGTGTATTTTAAAGGTCAGTTTTATAACCAAAATCAAGTTTTGAAATACAGTATTGACTTTTTACTTGGCGAAATTTACTCACAAGTTTAAAATATCCTCAAGATATTTTCGTCATATTTCACTGCAAAGATAATCCCATGACGCAGTTATACACTATTTGAGTATTAGCAAACGTTTTAAGCTAATCTTTAATTGATACTTTGGAAATGTGCACACCCAAATTAATGAAAAATAATTAGCATTATGATGATTATTTACTTCTCGTTATCAAACAAAAAACCGTTGAGTTATATACTCAACCAATCTAGAAATAAAACAAGCACTAGTTGCCCTAATTACGCCATTAGAAAAATAGTTTTTTCTATTATTTATGGTTTTGGTAAACCATATCAAAAAGTGTGCTGCTATAAATCATTTCTATCAAATGATCTTTATATTTCCTAAATATTTCCCAATTTTGATTGAAAACATCAATTCTTTTAAATTATTGAAAAAAAAATTTTGAAAAAATTTTAAATTATTGTTTTTTTTTTTAAATTATTGTTAAAACAATTAGAAATTACATCGGGATGTTTCATTATTTTCAAAAGTACAAACATTATATTCCGTGAGCTTATTTTCTAAAATTAAACATCATTACAAATAATTCTTTTCTTCCCGGATGTTAATCCGATCGCTTTTCGATATTTGTTCCCAAGCGATTATTTTTTGAACAATGGAATCGTATAATGTTTTTTTTTTATTTTTTGTGTTTTTCTAGAAACTGAAAACAATATATTGAAATCATTTTAATTAATAAGCAATAGATTAATGTGAGAGATTTCCCTGAGGCATTTATATTGGTATATTCTAGACATAATATTATATCATATTCGTATAAATGAATTCATATGATTATAATCAAGCTTGACATATTTGTAACGCATTTCAGATTTATAGAAAATTTTAGTCATCTTTCATTTCGAACAACGAACTGCATCAATCATTAAAAAAGGCGTTCTAACAACGTCGGTTGAAAATTTTCTGTCAAAGTATTGCTCTTCCGGAAATATCATGCTTTGGATGAAAAATTCAAAGCATAATTTCCTGTTCGATTTTTTGCTTACAATATTTACGGAGATTTTTTTGGCCGGTGTAAGTAATCAAAGAAATGAATATATTTGTTGACTGCCACGTTGCAAATTTTATACTTGAAGGCTATACTTTTCGGATATCTCTTAAATTATAGGGTTAGATGGATGGAGGTTGATTCGCTGGTTTAATATATATGTATACATATATACATATACATATATATGTATATATAAATATTTCGTTGGGGGAATATTTTTCAGTAAACACGTTCATATTCCGTTAGCTTGTCTATTCAGAATAACAATGATTTCCTGTTGAATTAATATTATAAGAAAGGTTCTGTAACATGCTAATTAGCTTTGTTTTTCGCATTCAACCATTTGTTATCCTCTAGTGATCAATATCATATTATATCAATCATATTTCAGGTATGCCGTTCAAATCGAGCAGTGAATTCGATCTTCGCAAGAAGATTCAGTCTAGCTTCAAAAAGGGGAGCAATAACAGCTCACCAAAATCTCAATCCTCAACGCATTTGATTCCGGAGCATCGTTAGCTCATTTTAATTCGATATCGTGTTCAATTTAATTTTTGATATTCAGCGGTTTTCGACACTATTGGAGAAGAATCAAAAGTGAAGAAGCATCTCAAGCTATCGGAGATTGGAAAAGCGCGCTCATGCGCTGAGCTAAAGTCAGATAAACGACTTATTCGCACTTTCCAAGAAGACAACATTTTGAAAATGCCCAGCATTGATTCGGACATTGGACTTGTTGGTCCGATGCCGGAGATTGATAGTCTCTGCATTGGATTTGAAGGACTTGGAAAGGTAACGACAATTTTAATCTACATATTTTATTACTTTCTTCTTATAGTCTGTCATTTATTCTGCTGACACCAAACAACCCAACAAGAACAAGGAGGTCAAGAAATGGCTCAACAAAAATAACAACCAGTAGATCGTTCTGCTCTTTGTGATACTTTTGTGACACTATCATTCTTTAATCATCATTGTAGTCAATGCGTTTTTTGTATTCATTGAAGTAGTGATTAATAAATATGTGTAGAATAATTCAATTCAATTCACATTTAAATGTCATCACTATAACAATGATATTTGACACTATGTGCAACTGAACAAATCGATTTATGGTGCGAAGCGTTAATATCAGAGAAGGCTGATAATTGCTATTTAACTCCAACATTTTTGTGGCGATAACATAATTGCAAAAAATCGAAAGTCACACGCGAAAGGGAAAATCGTTGAGCGATAGTGACCCGAAAAAATGAGAGAAAATCCCGATATGTAATCCAAGAATGCTTTCCTTACCCAGTTTTTCCTAATGACCTATATTGGCCGCTTAATATAAATTCTACGGATTGAGTGATACTGAGCGATATCGCGGATGAACTTTTCTTTCAATTTCTCCACAACTTTTTTTCGATTTACGTTTCTGTTTGCTTTTCAGAATGAAGGTAAGGACTCGAGACCCTTTCCGTGACATAGCCGTGGCAACTATTGTATTGTCAACATTTACCATCTTTACCGCCATTTTCTGTACACCAATGTTGTTTGCCAAATCTGAAAATGTTATGATGGAAATTGAGGTGACATCCGATATGATTAAGGTACATTCCTTATTGTCTTTAATTAACTACAATAGCACTATTTTTAGGCAAAGACTAATTCGATTTGGAACGAATTCATCCGTTTGACTCAAGTCGATGTCGCACGAGGAGTTCAATTCTTTTCACGTAAGCCAAGAAACAGTTGGACCGGTGGCGCATTCTGCAAAGGTATTTCAATTTGATCCCCTTTTCAATAAAATCATCTCTCTTCTTATAGGATGTTTCATGCTTTCCTGTCCGGGTGGACCGCCTGGACCACCAGGACCGCCAGGACCAGATGGTCAACCTGGAGATGCTGGACGCCAAGGAAGGTCTGGAGATGATGGATTCGATATTCAACCTGAGTCTGAGCCGGAACTTCCATGTGTCATTTGCCCTGCTGGACCACCAGGACCACGGGGAGCTCAAGGAGAACGCGGAATGACAGGCAATCCAGGAACACCAGGAATGCAAGGACCGAATGGAATGGAAGGCGTTGATGGGGCTCCAGGTCTTCCTGGACCTCCGGGAGGCAAAGGGGATAAAGGACCATTGGGACCACGCGGACCACCAGGAGATACCGTTATTGCAGGAGTTGGAATTAAGGGACCACCAGGACCAGCTGGACCACAAGGCATGAAAGGACCACCTGGACCATCTGGTAAAGGGTCTAACATGCCAGGACAACCTGGAGAGCCCGGTGAAATTGGATCCATTGGAATAACCGGAAGAATGGGAGGACCAGGAATGGAAGGACCAGCAGGACCACCAGGAGACCCAGGAATGCCAGCTTCTTATTGCCCGTCTGACTGTGGAGTGCAGCCAATTCTAACAGAAATGTTCCCAACCCCATTTACACCAGTCAGCGGCTACTCTCAAATGAATCGACCAGCACCAGCCTCACCGGGTGATGGAGATAAAGCTGGCGAAATCGGCTCAGCACCAGCTCCACGGCCACACCACAGAAAGCATCATCGCGAACATCACGCACCAGCCCCACAAGAAGGACAATAGTAAGAATATTTGAACTTGTTCATAGACATTGACTAATTGATTTCAGCGGCAACCACGTCTCCCAACAAGCTGCCGAGGATGCCTATTCTAACAGAATGGAAGACTTTCAAGAGTTCGAGAGGAAATGGCGCAGAAAGCTTCTCCAGAAGAGAATGAGAATGATGCAAAGACAATAAATATTTATTTCGCGACTAATAAACAATTTTTGAAAATAATCTTCTATGAGCTCTTTGTTACGATTTCAAACTTTTCAAAAATTTTAGTACGATTTCAAACTTCAGACATTCTAAAAGTTTGAATCTTGAAAATTTTTGCTAACTGAACGATCTAAAAAATTGCAAATTTACGTTTATATGTCTGAAAGAAACACTTACAACACACAAATCTTGCGCTGTTAAGTATGATCTAAATGAACTCTGTATTAGAATCGGTCGTTTCCTAACGATTTATTGAAGGAGCAGTAATAACGTGGTGATGGTGAGGGCGGTAGTCTTGAGAGCTTGGAACGTGGCTTTCCAGGGGAGCAAGATCAGCAATTGATCGGCCAGCGAAACGGAACTTGATCGTTCGTGAAAGGTGGCAAAATCGTTCTTGTCAATCTGAAGCAGAAAAGATTACGTTCAGCAAGTACGGTGACTTACCGAAAATCAACGGAATGACGACGCTGCTTTCAATATTTCACGAAAATTTATCATTTTATGGACATGGCCGGAAAAAGTACAAAAAAACGTGTCACAAAATGAATGTTACGAATTACATATTCAATTGAGATGATTAACGTTTTTTTTAAATAATTTTTGAGAAACGTAGTATACCGCAATTAGAAAATTAAACCATATGAATGATGCTTTGCAAATTTTGGAGAAAAAAAACTGAAAAAAGAGATTTTGCAAAATTTGCACGGGTTCTTAGAGTTCTTAATAATTCTTACTGGTTTTTAAGTTTTTTTTTGAAATCTAGTACCATAGGATAACTGCGTACTTTTAACAAAATTCATGTTTAGCAAACTTTTTTTGTTTTTTTTTCTGAGGTTTTTGAGAACTTTAAACTTTATCGTTATTGGTGTTATTACAAAAACTTTATTGAAAATCAAATCACAAATTTAAAAGAAATACAGAATAAATTGAACTCACTAAAACAACAATTTTTTGGTATGGGTAAACATGGTTGAAGAACTTAGAAACGGGGGACCCGCTCTAGTCAAAAAAAATATTCAATTCACATTTGGCCTCTATTGATGGATTCAGTTAACACCGTGCGGGGCATCGTTTAAAATCCGGCGAGAAAAGAACGTAAATGATCTACATTGACTGGTTACAGCATTAAAGCAACTACGACAGAGCAAGAAACGAAATAATGAGGTATCATTTTTTTGGGTTTTCATTTTTTTGTGGATTACCTAAACATAAATAGTATGAGTATATAAGTACTTTGGATATTTGGAAAATGATTTGAATGAACATACCGAAATTGATCGACTAGAAATGGAATGTGGTGAAAAAGTGAATTTGTGACACTACAAAAAGGTTTGAAAAAATTATTAACAATAACATATAATACTATGGTAAGAATTGACAAGAAGAAGCTTTTGAAAAACTTCAAAAATGACATCAAATAATTCCTATTAGATGATAAGTTGGATTTTGAAAAATTGAACATATTCAATCACTGGATGGAACATCAAAAACTTCCAGCTCATAAATATCGAAGGCTTCTGCTTTACAAAGTGGTGGACTGTTGAATGTCTGACAACCGGTGCTCATTCCATGCGTGAGCTCTTCGCTGATTCTAATAGCATCACCTCCTCCAGATCCAATCTGAATGTTATTGATTAGTACGAAAAACATAGATTGTTAGTTACCACAAGCGATCTATCAGTTGCGGTCATAAAGTATTGCAGGTTTTTATCACTGCTAGCATCTCCAACCGCACCAACCCAAAGGAACACTTCCGGAAGATTCAAATCAAAGTTCATTCGGAAGACGTATGATTCGCCTGTCCCCCAATACCTATAGCTAAAAAGTTGAAATGAAAAAAGAGAGCATGCAAAGAAAGTACTTTGAACGAGATCGCTCTTTTCGATCGTGACGCTCCGCCCAAGATGAGCTCAAATATGCTCCGAATACTTCTCCTTTAGTTGTTTTGATTATGAGTATCGACTGCTCGCACGAATCAACCCTGGATGTAAAATTTGTTACTTTGGAACGAAGGCTTTTTCACTTACTTGCTCCAGAAATGTGTGAAACTTGCGCCGTCCTGGCTTAATTTGAATGCTAATGTTGGAGTTATCAATTGTAGCCTCGGAGGCATGTAAGACATAATCTCAATGGCCGATTCTAAATACAATTTACTTTATTAGTTCGTATAAGATATTCTTACCATTATCAACAATGGAGGAGTTGAATGCTTCGCAGAAAATAGTTCTTCGAACCTTCTTAATTGGTCTAGGTTGAGCAGATTCAGAACGAAGCTGAAATTGATATTTGTTAACATTCAATGCTATGACTTTGGATGAAACCTCGTCTTCATATTGCGTTTGAAGGCGGGAAATAGTTGATGATTGTAAGTTGCGAATCTTCACTGCCGTAGCCATAAATGTGCTGGTGCTGATTTGGAACTAAAAAGAATATTCTTGAAAAGTTACAAATGCTTACTACCTCAATATGAGTTGCAGTATCTCTAAGCTCTCTTTTCACAGCATCAACCTTATCGTCAATTGTCATGTTGGCGGTTTCTGAATCTTGATTTTTGATGCTCTGAAATTAAACTCAATTGAATCAATACTATATTGCTACAACTCGTACCTTCTGAATCTTAGACCATATATAGATAATGGAGATTGCAGAACGTATCAAAAACTTATGTCCTTCAGCCACATAGCAGTCAACGACTCTGCATGCGTAAGCCAATGGCAAACACTGGAAGATCCAGCTAAGCCAATCGCTGACCTAAATTTTCTTCTTAAACCCCTTAATTTTTTAGTTATTTCTTACACATTTGACTAGAACTGTGTCGTCAGATGTTCCAATACGCTTCTTCAACATATTGTACGCAAACGACTTGTGCTTCTTAACAAGGCTAAGGATGGTTCGCGATGAAGCAGCCCATTGAATTGGAGTGATCATCATATAACCCTGAAGCAATACCTTCAAATTACAACCGATTTTAAAGAGTTACTTTGTTGCTCAACAAATAATTGACACAAGCGAAGCAATCAGCGTCATCGTCCATGAAATGGAGAAGAAGAGCGCAAATTGGATAGATAAGCTGGAATTGTAAGAAATAAAGAATCATAAAAATTGTTTTGACTCATACTGGTGCATAGACAATTTCCGGGCGAAGTCTCTCAATAACTGTAAGAAGGCGAACCAATTTGAGGGTTCCTTGTTCCCTAAGGTCGAAGTTGTTCACAACCGCTCCGTCCTCCGTCAAAACACAAGGAGTTATAGGTTTTCCTAAATTAATCGATGTTTTTTATTCATTCTCATTTCATTAGATATTTTTAAAACTTTTAAAGACTAGTTTATAACTGATTGATTAGTTAGGTCAAATATCAAATAAAGTTTTTGATTCAATCATAGTCTTGATTTATTGAACCTTAACCAACCCGGTTATAATATTTTCTTTTCGTTTTGTTGGCAAAGCGAAGCAGCACTAAAAGTAGAATTATTTCTTTACTCCTCTCGCGTGCCCCTTTGATTTCGAGGTGTTTATATTTTGCGCGGCATGATCGCAAATAAACCATGTGCACGTATGTTCTCGATCAAGTAGTGAAAAAAAACTGCACGAGAAGTTATTGGTGTCAAGCCTTTTCATGTTTACTCACAATTTTTGGGAAGCAAATTGAAAAATTTCAACATGCTTTGTAAATACAGATGATCGACTCAATACGATGGAATTGAACGGATATCATGTTTATCTACGAAGGAAATTCCATAGGAATTTGTTATCAGCCGAAATCATAAAAAAGAATCTATAAATAACTAGGATTTCAAAAATATATAGAATTATAAAACGCATCCGCAATTTCAATTACCTCTAGCGACGTTATAAAAGACGTAAGTAGATGCTACCCCAACAAAGGAAAAATAGACTAGTATTCTCCATAAACTCCAAAATTATCTAGACTATTTTATCAGATTTTTTAAATGATATTGTATTTATTGGCATTTTATCTAAAACTAGGTGAAAAACAAACGAATTTGTATATTTCTCCAAATACCAATTCTCAGTTTACATAGTATGATTACCTTGATTGATTCTCTCGAGCTCAGCAAGCTCATCTCGATAAAGCAATCGGCTGCTGTTGAAATCTTTGTTGCTGCACAACTCCTTCCAAAGGGATCCACGAGCCTCGTGGGTTACCGGCCAATCAGTTTTACGAAGTATTTTCTTGACCTGAAAAATATTGAATTTAATGTATGAATAGACGGGCTTGAGTTTTGTTGCAAATGAGGTTTGCTATAGCCTACCGGGAGTTTTTCATAATAGTTAGATGTCGATGCTTCTGAAACATCAGAATCGGATTCTAAACCGGAATCACTTTGCGAGCGATCACATTTTAGAAGAATGCGAAGAATTTCAGATCTTTTCGATTCCAAAACACTACTCATTCGGGTTTCGTTTATTTCACGATACTCTGATCCAGAGTATGGATTATGTTGGGGATTGAATCCCATATCGTCGACTGGCAAGGCGAAAAATTAAAGAATAACACTTGCACGAATTGCAAAAAGAGAAATGCCTTCACAAATATTGAGAAGTTTCCTCTCTTGTGTTTTCTCTCGCCTCTTATTGAGCCGTCAAAACTCCACCCCATCGAACAAATTCATCGCTGGCTGTGCAAGCAAAACATTTCTGTTGAACACACCATTCAGAATCAGGCTCAAAAATTGAAAAATCAAACTTTTGATCTTGTATCTGTTGGTCAAACATTTGAAAGCATTAATCGTTGTTTTCGCGAAAGCCTATGTCTAATGTGTACTTTTTTGTTTGTTATATGCATTAAGTCGGGGGTTGGCAGTTCATAATACAAACTGACCTTGTCAGGACGGTTCAACCTCTTGTTCTCTTTGATTTCTTCGATCCGACTTGGCACTGATGACGGCAAAATATGAGTCTGCCTTGTATTCTTCGAGAAGTAGGGGGCGTCCTGAAATTTAAATTTGATAGAATTTTGTATTCGCCGAAAATTGCCACAACAACAACAACCAAATTGTAATCACATCAGTGCTTCTCAAAACATTGAATTTCACTCTCAAAACATTCCCGTATTTTTTTCAATTCTATGTAGTGAGAAATACACTATATTTTTGAAATTATGTCACAATCACCACATTACAACTTACCTCCGCCATATCGTAATAAATTTATTCGATGTCTAAAATTTACAGGTAAATAATATATATATATTTTTTTTTGAGGAAGAAATTTCAATTTTTCCGAAATCTATTAAAATTATATTATTTTTTCGCAATACTCGATTCCATTATTTTTTATATGAGTGAATTTGATAATGGAGAATATATTAGAATTAAAAAAAAAACTTATATAAAATTTTTAATTTTGGTGCTATTTACGTTCACTCACCGATTGGACAAATAATAAACAATAGAATAACTGGAAGAAAATGAAGGGAATTCAAAAACTAGAGGACGTGGTTTCGCATCGATTGGCCGAAGCGCTAGCCGCCGGTCAACACACTGCTTGCCCGCCTTGCGTGCTCCGGCTCTTGAATAAAAGGGTGCAAATGGTGTGATGCGAGAAACATACACAGCTGTCAATACTGGTGCTCACGCAGTGCTAGACACATGAACGAATCGAACACCAGTTTTCGGCGTTTATTTTGTTTAACAAATGAGATTGGATTGCGTTTTGATATTCGCGAAACGCGAAATTTCAAATGTCCGAAATGTGTAATCGAATTGAGATTGAGGAGCGCTGTGTGTGTTGTATTGACCATCTGGCTCGCATGCGGCCCATAATTAGCGACTTGCAAAGGTTCTCTCAGCAAAGAACGAACTCGTATTACTATTTGTTTTGGCAGGTCATCCTATCATTAAAGTTTGCTCAGTAACGTATTTTAGAACATTGATATAACGTATTTCCATAAGTTTCTTAGATTCCGGTAGGCAAAATAAGACTCGTTGTGATATGCAATGAAAAGCACTAACCAAAAAAAGCTTCTTCATATTAAAAAATTATTTTTTTGTAGAATTCATTCTCATGGTATTTTTGTTTATTTGGCTATTCGACGGTTCAAATTGATAACTTCAGATACGAATCTCTTTCGCTATCAGTTTCTATGTATGATGGTTTGATTGCGTTTCGCCTAACCTTTGCAATTCATCATTTTAATTTAATGGCTTTCTCGATATCCCTTGAGTGATTGGTGGCGTCTTTTCAAGTTTTTTTTTTAATGAAATGATGTTTCTTTGATCACCCGCCTCTCGTAACTGTAGAGAACAATTAGCTATGGAAATTAATTGCAAAAATTCGACACTAAAAATCTATAAATAAAACATTGTTTTCTGCTAAAAACGTTTGCTGAATGTTTTCCGTTTCCCTATCAAAAGATGAGTAACTTACAAAGTCCTCATCTTCCAACATCAACTTCCTTTGTTCTCTCTCTTCTCTCTCTTTCTGCATTCTGGCCTCTGATCTTCTTGGAAGTCGTAATGAGCGGCGTATAGCCATTGAGAGTCTTCTGAAAGAAAGACATTGATAATGACGTTCTTTTGAAGATTTGAACTTACGCAATCGAGCTAGTCGTACGGCGAATACCGCCATTTGCGTTCTCTTGGTTCTGCTTTATCACTCTAGCTAACATCGCTCTCTGAAGCAGATATTTTATTGAATTATATATGAATTGACTAACTCTAAAATGGCTTCCTTCCCCTTCTTCATCAATTTCTGGTCCGATCGATCGACCAGCGGCTTCACCGACCCGTGCTGGGACCACTTCGTCTTCATCGCCGCTAGTGTCACTAAGATCTGCTCCCGCACGGAACATTGGTCGTCCTACCCGTTTTACTGAAAAAAAAATAATTTATCAAGAGACATCAAAACAAAACAACAAGCGCAAAGGAAGTATCGAATGTCAAAAGTTCAGCGGTATTACTACAGGGCGCGGACAGTAACGTTCTGATAAACGGTCTCAATAGAGATGAAATCATACCTCGAATAAATCGAGTGTGTTTTCTTGGAGGATTGGGTTCTAGAGCAAAATGAATGAATGAATATGAAGCAATGTCTTGTGAATGCGAGCACAAATTAATGAACCGCTTCGTACAAAACTAAGTGGCAGGTTCCTAAAACTTGACGAAATGGTATGTGCGTGTCGTCTATATACTCGCAGCGCCCGCCCAACTCTACCCTATCATGTTCTATTTTTTGCAGTGACGGTACGCAAAGGTCTACGGTATTTTTTTGGTGCATTGGCGACGATATTAAACACGTTATGCTAGTCCGTGATATGAGACCACCCATAATCCTAGCGAGGAACGATGGTGGGAGGAAAAACGAAAGTGTGACCGCGTTGTGGTTTCCATTAAAAAAAAAACGAAGGGCTTTTTGATGATTATGCGGTATTATATTTTTGATGTAACGGTCATTTAAAAAATTACGCGTGAGCGAAGAGTTGCAACAAAATGTGCGCAACAATGTTGAGGGTCATATGGCCAACAGATGCAGACCCCGCTTGTTTACACCAACATGAATCATTTCAATAGTACCCATCTCTCGCCAATTTTGAATTGTTCTCTGAATTCAGCAGTTCTAAACGAATGATCGGATTATCATAATTTTTGGTTATTAAAAGTCGCTGCATGTCTGCTGCTATTTCTGCCATCACCGCCGTTATGTAAATATTCAATATGTCACAATACACACAGTTTTCGTCGCAAATTCAAAAGAAAAGTGGGTTACGCACATTGACAAACATTATTATTGTTCTTATTATTGAAGACAAATAATTTTTTTGCAAAAAATGGAGGGAAATATGACTACTGGCAATCTGTAAGCTCCTCGCAACCTCATTAAAACAAATTTATTAGGCATAAAAAGTGATAGTGCTTGGCAAGGAAATGAAATGTGCCCGTTATCATGAACGTCCTTATCATAATTCGTCTAGATAGAACGTACAATGGTTTTGCCCCTCCCCTCGCCATACATCCCAATTTTTGAGAGAATTAGAAGTAGGAGAATATAATAAAAGAGTAACAACAAAACTTTGAAACCAATGTTTATCAATCAATGTGAAGAGAAAAAACGACTGATCCGGCCATATTTTGGTTATGATTCGACGACGAAGTCTGTGCGAATTGTCAAAGCTGAACAGGTTTCTGTCAGTTTCAATTGATTGGAAAGCGTCGCATCAAATGAAATCAATGGATTATCGCTTTAATGAACGCATTCGCTAAGAAAACGATTCACAAAGTTGAAACAAAAATTGTTTATTCGAAATCGCCAGAATGCGAAGGCCTTCAAAACCTCAAAATAAATTTCACTGCGGAACAGATCGGCATATTTCACTAGTTGTGAAAAGAGTATTGCGCGGCGAGAGAAAGTGAAATTATTCACGCGCGAATAAGTTTGCCGATATATCGATTTGTTCGGGGGCATCTTGATCCCTCCCGTCTCAATTTGAAACATCTTTGTGCTTTTTTAGTTTAATTAAGTTTTGCGAAAGAAAAGGAAACGTTCATCATATAGTTTGCGGTCAATTAATATTAGTGAAATACCACTAATAATCTCTCTGATTCGTTGTCTTTCCGCACATCAAATTGCTACTTCTTCAGCAACACACCAACCAACAAATTTAGAAATTATTTAATCTTATCACTATAGTAGATACGTACACATTATCGGTCAATTGTAGTTGGATACTGAGTGGAAAAATCAAAAATTGAAGACGCAAACTAAAAAAAAATTGGTTTTGTGACAATCATCAGTCATCCGATTTTTTGTAGGCCGATGAGGGTTGTGGACAAAAAAGTTACAAAGACAATAGTAAAATTCAGCAAGACAATATAAATATTTAAAATTTTCACACCAAGAACCTTTTTTGAGGATCGATCTCTGTTTTTCCATTCTTTTGGCTACGGAAAAAAACGATTTTCTAGCGTCTTAAACTGCGAGTAATCGACAGGATGAATCAAAGATGATTCACGTGATGAACTACCAATTTGGTCTCGCAAGGAACCAAGTCGTAGAAGGTATTTTTTTCATATACCATATTGATAAGATTTCAAGAAATGCCTATCAGAGTTGGGTGAATTGACGAAGATACGGTACAAAATAATATTTTTTCGATGATTTTTGGAATCACTAGAGAGAACTAACTAGAAAATAAGTGGCACGCACTGCCAAGGTTGTACACATAAGAAACTTTTGTTTACTTCAATCTGAGTAAATACTATATGGCTTTTAATAATAATGGTTCTATGAAAACGATTCGTGAAATAGAAATACGGTGTTAAGTCGAATGTTTACTTGATTTTATTGCCCATCGAAGACGAAATACTGTTCAATTAAATTGAGACACGCACAGTTTTCACAAAAGGCAAAATTTATGACGAACCACTCTCCTATCTGGAGGTTTTGAAAACGTATATAAACGGCGTGTTCTCTAAAAAAAAAAATACCGTACAGTTGAATTCAGTTTTGCCACGAAACGTTGTGTAGCGATAACTGTATTCAAATAAACATGTTTTTGTTAGAACAAATTTCCAATTTCTGATGTCAATTTGTTGTCCTCAAAAAAACATTAAACCCTTTGGTTTTGTTTCCTTTTTTGAATCCCTATTTATTGTAAAGCTTCCAGAAATGTATTTTGGAATCAACTGCAAAAATTACATGAAAGAACAAAAAAAAACGATAAAATGAAAATTGTACAAAAATAATGTGAAGAATGAGAATGCCGTATTGAAATGGCCGCTACGCCAGCGCAACGCACATTGATGACCGCGAACCATTTTTGATGCTACTGCAACGCGACCGCAACGCAGCTGTTCTTACAAATGTAGCAATGATTATAGTGATGAACTACTGTTTTCGTATTCAGATCTTTGGATATCACATATAATTTGAACAAATATCACGGTATTGTCAAATTCTACGATAAAAGATAATATTTTTTTCTTCTTAATCATCTTTTTTTATCAACCATCAAAAAACTAAAAATCATGTTGGTAATTGCATTTGACATGTACAATTTGTAAAAACCAAAAACACTCAACAAAAAGAATGGTCGACACAAACTGATCTAACATCATGTATATTGAAGGTGACTTTTGGAAGTCAACGTTAAATTGATACTTTCGAATTAAAATTCATTGCCTAATGACTATTTGTACTTTCTTTTTGGCCAAATTCCTTTTGTTGAACCGAAAAAAATATTGCAAAAAAGTAGCGTCGTCAGCTAAATGTAACTTCGGACCTGATGAAAGCCAAATTTTCAATAAATATTAGCAAGAAACAAAATATTGCAATTTTCTCATCACCATGATTCACTAACGCTACGGAAAACTTTGATAAAAAACTATCTAACAGGATGAAGAATCCTTTGTAAAATTCCGCGAGCGTCTGTTACTTCGCAGTGGATTGTTTGGAACACACCTTCGAATTTTTTTCCTTCAGCTTCTGAGCGCACAAACTTTGATACCATCGGGCGATCAGTTAGTGTTATAACAAGACGTGCTGAGCCCAGTTTCTGTAATTTGCTAAAATTAGTTTCGGTTCGTTCTTCTTCCAGATTACGATCAAACATTCAGGGGGGAATTGGCTAATTGACGATTGACGTTGAGAGGTTACAATGAGAACATTTAGCATGTACTGGCCGGAAATTGGGCGATCGGACGGCTTTGATGACTATTTATAGTCGGCAATCAATGCCGATCCGTAGAAAACTTGTCGTCGCGTTTTGGTATAAAAACGCCGACCAACAATGTAAGAATTCGCCGGATTCTCTCTCTATATATATCTCTCTCTCTCTTTCTCACATCGCATGGGAGCTCCATGAAATAAATTGAATCGCTTTGACCGGAGGGTAAACGTACTTTGAAGCAGTAGCTTCAAACCAAATGACGGAGTAGATCGCGGAAGGGAACAGAAATCGGATACAAAATTAAATTTGGGAGTAATCAACGCTGTGGAAAATATATTTGTATGCATGAATGAATGATCAACGAAAACATCGAAGGCCCTGGTGTGAGACACACGTTTCCACAATAAGCATTGTTCCTGTGTTTAGAAGAATTCAGTTTTCGGTATAAATTAGTAAGAATTGCAAGTAATCTATCATTTTCACAAAATCTTCACGCTATGAAAAAAAATGTGAAAAAATATATTTTTTGTAACAATACCGCAATATGATTCATGTGTGTTAGGTATGAATTCAAAAACGACTTGGGATTAAAGTGGCAAAACTATCGCTTGATAGGATTCATAAACGAATAGTGTGACTGCAAAGTTTGGAAATGTTGAAATTATTCAGTGTACACAAACAGTCGAGAGCATTCGAACTGGGCTATCCCTCAATAAAGAATTAAAATTCTGGATGATTATGCAAATTTTGCCAACTTTCACTTTTGGAACTTGATTTTTTGTTACCATTGCACGTATCGTAGTTCAGTTCGGTTGCGACTTCCGTTTCGTGTTTTTTCTCGATTTCGCGACGAAATGAACAGTATGAAACCGGAAGTAAACAAATGCATACTATGGTTGTTTTCAGAGAAGTTCGGAAAAGCTTTGACAGGAAAGGCTCTTCTAGATATAATATTTCATAATTGAATTGAATTAATTATAACTGAACGTAGCCTTATGAAATTTTTAAAGAAATTAACTAAACAAATATGTGATATATATATATATATATATATATATATATATATATATATATATATATATATATATATATATATATATATATATATATATATAGAGAGAGAGAGAGAGAGAAAGGGAGAGAATTGAGAGAACTGTCCTAATGCTTCTTTACTTATATATTCCGTATTGTATGTTGTGTGTGCGATTATATATATATACTTTGACTATTGTTATTATTTATTATTATTTTTGTAATTCTTTTTCATGTCAACATAATTATATGCATACATATAACGAAAACAGTCCGTTCTCTTTTTAAAAGCAATTTGTGAGGTTTCCATATAAACAAAGCGATGAATCATGCACACACTGTCCTTGCCTAGCTAAATAAATAACACCCTTCCTTTTGAAACACTTCAACTGGTGGGGTGGGGAACAAATACAAAATGTATAACATTACCAAAACTGAAACAAACTTCAATGTTCTCGGAATGAACCATAGTAGGGTTCGTCATCAATGTATATATGTATATATATATATTCATAAATTTCAATTCAGCGCATTGTTTCCGAATTTTGAAAGATATCAGAAACGTACATTCAAATTTTTTGACCGCATTCGCCAAACCCGTTTTTAACGACGACAGAGAGAACAATTATTTTCTTCGACTAATTAGATTAATTTCTCAAACTAATATCATGTTCAAGTGTGTTTGATCTATTAGCGATTTGAAACGAAAGCCTTTATTTTTTGCGAAAGTAATTATGCGGGATTGAACTAATTAATTGCGGTATATGAAATATTAAACAATTTGTGTCAATCGCCAATTATATGAAGAGAAGTTTATGCTGAACTTTGGCGTTGAATGTGGGTGGCACGCTCCTAAAAATTGACAAAAAAATCATTAGCTGAAACCGTGCGTTTAATGAGTTACCTCTCCTTCTTTATTGAACAGAATTGTCTGCACGTTGTTGCCAGTGCCGAACGAATCTTCAGCATCATAGACCAACTGGTCAGGAGGCGAGGCGACACCTTGGTTGCGGGCGAAGATCTTCAACGTCTTTCCAGCGCGAAGAATGAAATCTTTCGGAACGGTGTAGACAATCTCGCGCTTGCCGTCAATTCGTCGCTTCAACTTCCACTCACCGATCGCCTAAAATAATTTAACTATTGTTGTAAGTACACAGAATCATAGGGTATCGAATACCTCGTCCTTGGAACGATGAGTGTTTTGGAGGACGATGAATTTACCATCAGGAGAAGCTTCGTGAATCGAGACATTTCCTTTAGCGGAACGCTGGAAGGATTGTCTCGAGGCGGTTTCACCCTTGACCACTCTCATCGTTTCTAAGCATTATCAAAATATTATTAGAGAAATTTCCATTACAAAAAGATACCCGTGTCGGTTTCTTGGCTGATGGCGTGGGTCTTGACAACCTGTTCAACAAGCTGCTTAAGGCCGGCACGGTTCTCTTCGCCTTCCAACATTTTTCTATAAATGGCGATTTCGGCGTCCAAGGTTTGTTTTTGATCGAGTAGCATTTGCAATTCAACCATGAGAGCTTGGCATTCTTCACGCATCTTGCGGATTTGAGCATCACGATCATTGAGGGCGGCTTCATAGGACCGTTGATCATCCTCGAGCTGATAATTGAGCTCTTGAATTTGCTTCTCGAGCAGCGAGTTGCGGCTTTCCAAATCGGCGAGCTTTCCACGCAAGTCGCTGAGCTGTGTGCGCAATCGCTTGACTTCCTCCTTGGCATATCCTTGTTCCATGCTTTGACGTGCGCTCTGGGTCTGGATTTCTTGGACCTTGAGGCGGTACCACGATTCCATATCGTTTCTGTGAACATTATTGACCTGATCGTATTCTTCACGGATATCACGAATGGCAGAAGCCAATTCGTTCTTGAAGAACTCGCGGTTCTCCGGTGTGGTATCGCGAGAAGCCAATGTTTGAAGCTCCTTGATCTCGTTATCATGAACGCGTCTCAAGAAATCAATCTCCTCGAGGAGGGTTTGCACCTGATTCTGGTAATCGATGCGGTTGAGTGTCTCTTGGTCGAGATCAGTACGAGCGCGTTGAAGCTCAGAGAGAAGACGCTGATTCTCCTGCTTGATGCGCTTGACTTCGTCTTCAAGCTGAGCGATACGTCTCTTCAGAAGATTGATCTCAGCTTCAATGTTAGACAATTGAACGAGAAGGCTGTCGATCTTAGCGCGGTCTTGCTCGCGTCCCTTGATGGCGTCCTCGTACCTAAATTTACCATGAACTTTTTGTTTGTGTAACGCATTGTTTTCCTACTTTCTACGAATGTCGGCAAGCTCGTCTTGCATCTTTTTGATTTGATTTTCCATGTCCTTGCGCTGTTTGTTGGTTTCGTCGATTAATTTTTGAGCATCAGCAAGCTCTCCCTCGTACATGTTACGGATATTATGAGTGTCCTTTCCCCATTTCGATCTCAATGCATCCAGATCAGCAGCGAGTTTTCGGTTTTGCGCCTCAAGGAAACGCACCTAAAAAAATAACTTGCTTATTTGTTTATCAGAAATTGAACACTTTTTCGATGTAGCTAGCAAGTCGATCGTTCAAATCGCTCATTTCTTTTTTCTCGCGCTCACGGGAATCGCGGATCGTCGATGCGGCATTTTGACCGAATGGCGACAAGCCGGATCCATGTCCAGATCTCATTTCCGTCACAATTTTGAGCATTCTGTCTTGTGCTGGAAAACAATAAAAAATAATATCATCATAAAAATAATTCAAATTACTAGCAACGTTTCCAGGAGCTCTTCCTCCAAGAGGTGCTCTCGCAGAAGGCGTTGAAGACGTGAATGACATCGCTATAAAAAATGATAATCAGCAAAAGTCACCTAATACCAAGTTGTCGTAGTTAAAAATGAAATGGAAGAAAGTTTTAAGTGGTGGGTGGAGGCCGCTCGACGCCCTACACTAGCCCGTTTTGTGTGGCCAAGGAATTAGCCGGCGTGCTGCTTCGAAAATGACGACGGTAAAGACAAAGCTGCTCACCGAGCAAGCAAACTAGGTGGGTGGCGTGCACCGAAAAGTGTGCGCTTCTGAGAAACGATCGAATTTCGGGCGTGTTGCAAAATGATGTTACAGGCCGTCGGCACAAATGTGCGCGCCAACCACGACAAACTTTCATAATTTTTGTTTGAGCTTCGTCGGTTTTTTTTCGCGCGCCAAAGCGGATTATCAAAGCGCTAGAATGGAAACAATAAATATTAATGTAATGTCTCACATTGAACGATCGAACTCATTGAAAGACTATTATCATCAAGTATCGGAATCTCGCAAACACTTGATCGAGTTGAGGAAGGAATCGAAACCAGGGCATCAGAATATGTTGACATTTCGCTGTTTTTTTTTTCAGCAAACTTCAAATGATTTCTTCTTTTTATGCCCCGGCGAATGTACAAAAGGCTTTTTGAAAGAACAAAAAGGGAAATCAATAAATCAGGAATTAAAAATTTCAGGAAATATTTCCTTTATGAGTAATGGAGAAAAGTTGAGAAATAAATAGAACTTGAGTGACAGCTATGAATCACACCTGCATTTGGTTCGAGCCCCTTGTGTATTCTATGTGAATGTTTTACGGATAAATATGGAGGGAAATACTGCAAACAGAACGTTTCCAGATGAAATAATGAAATAAAGTATATTGAAAAATACAAGCCGAATTCTTTTCAAATATTCTTGACTTACATCCATCTAATTTTAGAAATTAAAATTTCTTTCTGAGTAAAAATGCTTATCAATCTTCTGTTTAAACGTTTTTTTTTTTGGAAGAATTCAAGTCAATATTAACTTATAACTCTCGTTACTATTCATTGTTCATCGTCTTATTGACTAGGTCTGCTAATCCTTTGACCTCCAAATTTCAATTGGAAAAAAATAACTATAAGAAAAATTAAAAACACCAGAGTTCATGGTTTCATGGAGAATATGGTTTCGATTATAAAGAAAATGTCGAAACATGAATATTAGACCATTTTGTCAAGTAACTCGTCAAATGTTATTGAAGGCAAATTGCGTTTGTGAACAAATTTTGATGGGTTTTGAAGGTGTCCTCGAAACTATTGCAAAAAGTTTAAGGTGATCGCACTTTTTGAACAAACAGATTTTGCTGCATACAATTACGTAAATGGGTCGCTGACTACAATGCATTCAAAAATGAATCATTGCGTTTCGAATGTGTTGATCTACCATGAAATTGAAATCGATTTGCACTATGATTATACCAAAATCTCGTAAACCATTAAAAACCGACAAGAATAAATTGGATGGTAAAACTGGTCCAGACATACATGTATGTATGTAATATATACATACATACCTAGAATACAATATGGCTTTGCTGTTTGGCTATTTTGAAAAAAAGTGGCGCCGAATTGAATGCAACGATCATCACAATTGTAGCGTCAAATCGTTACGAATTGCTATTCAATTCATTCTTAACGCGTTCCAAATTGTCAACGAAATAGAAAAAAAGAACGCCTACCGTGACGACTTGGGAACATTTTTCGACGGGATTTAATGTGTTCTATTGATGACACAGATATGTATCAAAAACTGAGAGCAGGAAAAAAGGCGCTTCAAATGTTTACCAATGTGCTCGTTCATTCGAATATCCGATGGAGATGTTTCTTGTTTTTTTAATGAGTAAATATGCCCACTTGGAAATCGAATTTTTGATGATACAAGTTGGATATGTTCTAGCAAAAAGAAATAAACGTCGAAGAAAGTTGTCGATTTCGTTCATCGTTTATTTTAGAGAGTGCTAAAACACTTACAGGTCCCCATAAACTTAAATCTACAAATATGATTTGAAGAGAAATTCAGTATTATGGTTCTATGAAAATGTTGCAACTAATTAGTAAGTATTTTTTCTTTCGTCGCTACTTTGATTTTAATCAAATTCTTACCACCTATGAAAAACTATAATTTATACCGCTGCAAAAGATTAAGTCATTTTAGAATTTTGATAAATTCCAAATCAATAAAGATTATTCTGGCTATCTACGTCAAAACTGTTAAACTGTCAAATATTATTTTCAAGTGTTTTAGCTTGCAAAGTAATGCTATATTTAGCAATTTGTCACTCTCATTGACTTACTTTCTCTTGTTATTTCCATCATCTTTGCGATTTTACTGGCTGAAACACCGCTTCTCTGTTAGAGAAGTAATCGTTTGATAAGTTGCTGAAAGCACAAAATATGTTAAAACAACACAGTGAAGTGCAATAAAGAAACAGTAAACAATAATAAAATGTCGATTGAAATGGTTGGGACACTGTATGGGGGGTGGGGTGGTAGGCCGAGGTGAAAACTTCATAATTACTGTGGATCATCTACTGGCGACCGGTCTAAAATGAAAGAAGCAGTGCACCGTACGCAGAGATGCAGATGTTGATGCAATGCAAAAAGTCGGCACACATTTCGTCAATTTCATGTTGTTTTTGTAACTCACAACGACATTTATATGGCCGTTTTAGTCAATTTCATTGTGCGGCAACGCCCTAAAGATTTTGAAACGATAATTTGCAGGCGAATTGTTCGGAAAAAAAAAATCAACCATTTTCGGTGTGTTTGAACAATTTCATAGACACCGACGATGAATCATTGCGCGGTTGTACCCCACGCAATTATTGAATCAAATATGAATTTAATTTCAAATAGCATTTTTTAAATAGTTATCGAATTGAAATGAAACTGGAGAAAAGCGGATGGCAATGTGTGAGTAATGTCAACATTTAAAGTGTGTATCCCAAACTGGATGCGTACATACAAGAGCACACAAATTCAATTACGCGTTACCGCCCACCTAGAAATTCATTGACAATTTCGCATTTGTAAAGCAAACCATTCAGGCAGCTATTAAACGAAATTGGATCTCGAAATTGTCGAAATGTCCTTTAACGCGACAATACTTTTTTGAGAAATGCATGACATTTATTGCGAATTATAGTAGCTAAATCGGTTAGAAGTCGTGTACATCGGCCAATATTTGAACAGTACGACTATTCAATATAAAAGTCTTTTTTTTCGAAGGCGCAATACCATGAAAGATTTGACAATTTTCCCACAATAAAAAAACAAACATTTGAAATATAAACTAGAATGGAGGTTTTTTGAAATGAATTTGCGATATGAAAAAATATGTTGGTCCTATAGAAAATATTTCTATTTGAAATCATTCTTTTGACAGCCATCACCGAGAAATCCGCCAAAAATTTTCTCATTAAACAAGAATTTTTGATTTTGTAGAATTCTAATTTGGAGTTAGAAGATTTCTGTGATACATTTGTTTGTGTCGGCAACTTCAATAACCGGAAAAATTCCAGTCATTAAGAATGGGTGTGCCAGACAGGTGACACATGTTAAAGACAAAAAAATCTAAAGAATTTCGAAAAAGAAAACGTTTAAATTTTAAAACATAATTAAAATTTTAAAATGTCTGACCAAATATGATTTGTAGGTTAACCGCAGCATGGCATTCGAATTTTCACAAATTTGAATTTGGAAATAATGACTCATTTTACTTTTACTAAATTTAGTTAAAAAAAAATCGTTTTTTTACCATTTCGAAGATTCTGGATAAGTTTATTAAAAATTCACATATTCCACTCCATATAAGTCCAGTTATTCATGAATACAATTTTGTTGTTGGCATCGGAAGGCCGTCATTATCGAGAAAATTCTTGTGCTCTTTGCAGTTGCATACCAAAACACGATCACATGCATTTTCAATAAATTCCCTAACAACTTTTTTTATTTCTGATAAACATCTCTTCTTGTGTGTTCTTATGAATTTTACTTACGACAAAATCTCGAGCAATGTCTATTACATTCGTGAGGAGGATACCCGGAATTGCAATCCGCTAATGTATTTGATAATCGGCGATGAAAACAAAGGTAAATATTCGATATTTCAGCGAATTTCAGTCAAAACTCATTTAGCTCTTCTAATTGATACCGGTTGCGGATGCGGAAACATTTATTTTTTTCTTCGATCATTACCATTCTTGCAAAATGTGAAACTCATTGTGGTGAATACCCATAACCATCCCGAACAGGTTTCCCATATGGCCATCTTTTTTTTGAGATTTGATTTAGGTTGGAGGTAATTGGCGATTTTCGACGACGAGGAGTAACGGATTAGCGCATCAAGTTGAAGATTTATGTGCGAGTCGTAAAAACAAGTACTATACGCGTCTTCTCGACAGTAATTGGCATTGGGAGGTTTTTGGCACAAGCTTTAATAGTAATTGATCACTAAACTCATGCAGGTTCAAACATACAAAGTTACACGATGGCTAAATGATGGAGACAAAATATTACTGGGGAATGAGGGATCTTTGATAAATGTCATTCAAGTAAGATCTAATCTTAATAAAATCTAGTGCGAAATGTTCAGGTTATGTGGACACCAGGCCATACTCCTGATAGTATTGTTTTATGGTATCCATATGCGAATCGATTGTTTATCGGAGATCTTTTCTATCAATTTGAAGACCTTATGTTCACGTAAGAAGCGTCTATGCAAAAATCAAAACTGTTTGCATTTAGCTATAAGCACATTGATATGAGAGAATATGAAGCCTCGGTTCGGAAAATATTAAAGTTTGTGCAAGGTCAAACAGTTGAAGTATACACAAAGGCATCATGAACCTCATAATTATTTAATTCAATTTTCAGGTGAGATATTCTGCTGCAAAGAAAGAATTTGATAACGCCATTCTTCCTGCGCTGAAAATTTATCATCGCTTTTTATTGAGTGTCATAGCTGGAACTCAGGCCGGAGTGCCCTTGAGGTTTGTAGTTACGGATAATTGGAACAAAAGAAAAGTTTTTATTCAGAATAGATGAGGCTGAAGGGGTTCGGTTTGAATCACGGGACAAAAGCATTAAATTAGTTATTGGCCGTAGTTTATTCTTGAAGCTAAACTCTGCAAGAGAAAAAGCTTTGCAAGTTCACTAACAAAACCATATCAAACTTGGAATTTATAATTTTTAATTGTCCTCGAAATGATAATACTTCTTGTGGAGCTCAAGATTGTCCATTGCTGCTTCGCCAATTTCTTTGAACAATATATAAAGAATTTCTGTAGTAACGAGAAGAGTGCAAATATTAGAAAGCATCCCGTAAGCGAAAGTTCGACATGAATACAATGACTGAACACCATTTTCGTAAAATGACCTCATTTCTAATCCTGCGAATTCTCATCGATCTGACCTTGGAATACTGGTCATTTATGCAATAAGCGAATATATAATACAATTGAAAATAAAGTCACTGGGTTGAGTTTCATTTCATCAATACAATCGAGTCGAATAAGTGACTAGTAGGCACCTTAACAGGTTGATTTGTCCTTTTAAAACATCGACAAATATGATATGAGCAGAGAAATATAATTAACAATTAAATATTTTGATTTTTTGAAAATACGATTGCACAGAACAACAACGAAAGAAATGCCAAAATGTGTAATATCGATAAATTTGGTTAAAGTGGTATGATGGCTAGGAAGCGAATTTAGAACTTGAACCCGGTCAAATTCAGAATAACCATGATAATTGCGCAAGTAGCCCAAACGGCAATTGCGGCGACCCATCCACTTCCTTGAAATGGGCTCTCATATTTACGAGGAACTGGGAAGTTCAAAATCGATCTGGCGTGTCGGCGAGCGGAAATCACCAGGAAGCACGGAATTGCAAACTGTACGAAAACGCCTAAAAAATTGATTGCACAAACAAAAATTAAGATTTACATAAAATAGTGTCTAAGCTTACATACCTACAAGCTTTTATTGCCGAGTTATTACTAGAACAAGAAGAAAATACAACTAGGCAAAAAATTATTCCCCATTTTCCACAAAAAATTTTTTTCTTCTCGTTTTTGTATATGAAATTTTTCTTTCCGCTCATTCGATTTTGAGATAAGCTACGTGAAAAAATCGCAGACATCACATTAAAAAAAAAAAACGAAAAAAAAACTTGATCGCTTCAATGATTTAATCTAGAACGTTCAAGATTTGTACATCGATAATATTTCTTTTCCGTGTGTGCTTGAAAAAACCTAAAGTGTACCTGGCAAACTGCCTGTGATTGAAGCCAACAGAAGCATATCATCGGTCATAAAACTAATGAATGTTGGAATGGAAAGAACTAGAGCTGGCACAAGGACATCAACGAACGATTTCTGAAAATATAAAAAGACGATATAATAAAAGATTTTGGGCGAAAAATCACCCCGTTTCGAGTATTTCGAGCCTCGCTTTCATCTTCACTATCAGCTTCTTCTTCCTCAAGAAGAGACTCATTTTCAGCACTGAAACCACAATACAAAGAATTTCTTAGCTACTAGGTGTAACTCATACCCGGTTTTCGGAAAAATTAAATCTTTCACAACTTTCACGTTATTAATTAAAGTTAACGCAATGATTGGGTAGCTCGAAGTGAGAGTGATTATTGGAAAAGCAGCTAGGAAATAGTCGATAATCGAGTAAATGAAGCTTGTGTTATCGTCGTGAAGGAAGTTCAACGTGTAGATGTCCTTAATGAAATTTGCTCAACATAGTTGTCTAGAAATATGTATGACTTACTTGAACATGTTCAAAAGCAAAAGCACCTGTTAAGGAAAGAGTGAAATAGAATGCTCCGACAAGCAGATAAACCAAGCCAATTAGACCAAAAATTCGGTTTTTAGATCTACAAATTGGAATTTTGATTAATTCTTTTCAATTCCGTATTTGAATGGGAATTTCAACCTCTATTCATTTTCATAGCATGCTAGTAAACCTATTCAAATCTTTCACATACCCCATTGGTGTGACCAATGACGGGAGACTGTGATGGCACATGAACGCGTACACCGCAACTCCAAATAATGATCCAAAACCATGAACATTCGCAACAGGGGGTTTTCCTTCAGCCCCATCATTAATCAGTTGCATACTTGCCAAAACAATCATCAGAATGAATGCTGAAAACATTGCTAATCGTCGATCCGAATTTTGAAAGCTACCGAGCCAACGCGAAAATGTCGTCATCATTTGAATTGTTTGTGTTTTTGTTATGCCAGCCAAAACCATTGGAAGACATACGAATCCCACAAAGACAATCACACAAATTCGGTACACTGCATAAATAATAATTCAAATTGAATATTTAATGGATATATAAACCGGCCATTCTTGATAACCAGTCGGCAAGTGACGGTCGGCAAGGATCTGTCGATTTTGTAACCGTGACATTAATACTTGAACTGAAATCAAAATCATGATTTGGAGAGATATTATCTTGAATGTACCATAGCATATTCATGGCACTTTTCGGAACAGTTGTTGAGTATATCGCCAAATCTCCGAACAAATAGACAATGATTGAAAAGTAAGAAATGAGTAGCGTGGTCTTCGATAAGAACATTGATGACATTTCTCCCTATGAAAAATTGCTAATTAAAAAAAAAATGTAAATTAATAATTACCACTTCCACTTTTCGAACAATTTCGAACGTTGATGGTCCACTTTCAGAAGCATTTTCTAGATAAAAGAAGAACTTTTTGAAGTTTGTTAGCAAAAGACAGGCATCATTTAAAAATCACACAATAAAAAATTCTGTTGTTTGCCCACATTGCATATCATTTTTTATTATCATAACAAAATGGTATGCAATACCGGTCGATTATTTTCCAATCATTGAAAATGAACAGTTAAACTCTAATACTTTTCACATCATTTTCAGAGTAATTCATTTTAATTTTCAAAATTTAAATAATGTTTATTTTATTTGTTTTGACTGAATGAATTTAAGTATATTATGATTCGAGTTTTTGAAATTTACCCTCTGTGTCTTCACCATTCCTTTCTCGTCTTCTATTCTTCGATACCACTGCATTGGCCACTGCTAGCGATTCGATAACGAATGTCGCAGCGACATAACTAAAAAAAAATATTAAATTAAAATTATATGCAAAATATTTCATTTACCTCATGAACGCAGATGCCGAAAGAATGAGAATACTTAACAACCATCCTGCTGTTTGAAATGCCTTTGGTAGAGCGAGAGCGCCAGTTCCCACAATTAGATTGAATACATAAAGCAAGCCAACCTGTAAAAAATATTTTGGATTGTTTTTCTAAAATTCTTACCGTTTGGCTGTATGTGCCCGCTGAGTTTGCATTCGAGTCTTGCATTTCTTCTGATGTTTAAATAATGAAATGGGTTTGCAATTCCTTATCGCTCCTACATGCACTGCTCCTGATAAATTCCGTTCAATTAGATATCATAAGAGAAAAATGCGAATATTGTTGAAAGTAAAATTGATGAATGAAAGAAACAACGCGTTGACTGTTTGATCTTTGAATTAGATTTGTGTAATACGATGAAAGTGGCGCGCAAACTTGATTCAATAACCAATATTGGGAAAAATGTGGAAAACGGCTTATAGTCCAGACTAGGGTGGATGAATGAGTCACGAGACGCGCAAATTCGCTCCAATGCTACTTGGGGGTTCGAACTCCACTGTTTGCGCGTGGTCGGAAGCCGATATTTGCTCACCGAAATTCAACAATGAAAGATTCTTTTAAACCATTACAAGTACGGAGAAAAAAAATATAACATTATTTTACATTTGCATTATTGAGTATTATACGATTCTATTAATACAGCTTCAAATGCACACTCATTATTTAATTTATATGTTATTGCGCATATAAACATTCATTTGAAACACGACACAATTTCATGGTATTATTTTCAAAAAATATAGAATAATGAATAGAAATTATTTAAAAAAAAAACGGGGAAAATGATGCATAATTTTAAAATGACTAATGTGTATGAGGTGCATTTGACAGAATTTATACAAGTGGTGCAAGAAAATATTGGAAAAACAAGAAACTGAGAAACAGTTGTTTATTAGGAGAGGTCACAGTGGTGAAGAGAAGAGAGAAAAACATCAATACGTGAAGTAGTCATGACGTTGCTTTTATGGACCATTCAACAATAGAAAACATTGCTTCCATAGACGTTACCTTTATGTTTTCCCGGTTGTTTCAGCTTTAATATTTTTTTGGGGAAAAAACGTTTGAAAATTGTTTATTCTAGCGAAACTAATATTTGCACGAAATGTTTGCAATGGTTATCTTGATTAGATATTGAGAGTTTGATAGGAGCTTTGCATCGTTGAACCGATGAAATCAAAGAAATAAGTTATCTCGTTTTTTCTCAAATGTAACAGCAAATTACGAAAATGCATAATCATAAATATAATTTTAGAGACACAATCCGAATAGAATGAAAAACAATTATAATTGTTCATTATGGTTTAAAAACGGAAAATGAATTCGATAATGTCTGCTTGTCAACGTAGAAAATCAATTTTATGTCGTACAGAGGCATGAAATAAAATCGGCTAATAAATTGACAAATAAGGAAATTGTTGAATTTATGAAAAAATACATTTCTTTCTAGCAGCGTGATTGATTTTCCGCGTAGAAAGTACTTTTCTTGATGATGTCTGGCATTGACGGAATGCATAATTAAGGTTTATTTTATTCAAAAACTGAATTCATCAAACCAAATAAATTAAAATAAGCAGAAAAATCGGTAGATTGGGAAATTCGTCTCAAAAATCGTTCAAACCAGATTATTATACATAAATCTTTTTTTGGAATGAAATTTGAATAATAAGTAATTGTTCGCAACGATCACTTTCTACAGTTCTTTCTTTTCATCAATGTCTTGTTCTATTTCCTCTTCTTCTTCATTCGAATTCTGCAAATATCAATTAATATCGAAATTTTTCTATAATGCGATTTACGTTTTCGAAATAGTTACGGAAAGTTTTATGAAATGTTGAGAAGAGGAACGAAGAGAAGAATCCGCTGATCATAAACGCTGTGATATGATTCGCTGAATACACCGCCAACACCCAATGCCCATAAATGTTGAGAAGGAATACGACGCTCTGCGTCTGAAACCAATTCAATTTACGTCTTTGCCATAAATGCTGACACGATTACAATTAATCTTCCCGACAAATATGCGGTCTGGACTTCGGGTGTGAAATATTTGGCCGTAATTGATGTGACAGCCGGAATAAGATTGAGCGCGCCGAACAGGCGACACCACAGAAAATGATGAGAGTCGAGCTTATTGTCGGATTTGAGCTGCAAATTTTGGGAATTCTATGAATATCTAGGTAGCGGTAGCATACGATGAGTTGGAGAACGTGTTGCGGAAACGCGAAATGAATAATTGCGTAGGTCAGCGTGAGCCCGGCATCAACATAAAACGCGTTTTCGAAGTAAAATTTGCCCTTGCCCTGGAAATTTATTCATGGAACTCGACGAATCTTTCTTGAACCCACATCAACCCAAAGTGTTGTGCGCTTAATCATCGCATCGATTTCCTCTTGTCTGCATCTCTTGTTTCGGTACATTCGAACAAATTCACTCAAGAACCATGTTGCGTCTGTGAGAAGGGTGCAATAAAGAAACTGAAGAATTTGTATTATTAAATATTCTTTGTGCAACCATTACATTATCCGTAATTTGAATAGCTTTTGATTTTCTTTCCGTCAAATGCCAAATAGCAAATCCTTTAGCGATTAAAAAGATGAACGATGTTATTAATCGTGCAAAAATCATAGCTTGCTCTGGTCTTCCGTAGTTTCGACATTTCCAAAGCTGATAGCTCAGGCCAAACTGAAATTTTGAAACAGTCAAAATGGAAATGAGTAAGTTATGATTTACATGAACAGCGGAGCAAAACCGTTGCAAAAATCCGTGAAGGGGTGTGAACTTTCCAACGATCTGAAATTTTCGAAATTTCATAAGATTTAATAAAATGGAAGCATTTACAATAATACTAAGATGTTGCATTCTAGCAGGAAAATTATAATATTTCCATTCATAGAATATTTCAAATTCACTTAGACATGTTAAAATGAGAAATTAATTTTTCGTCCCTTCTTGACGTGCAAATGCTCACCGTTGGTTTGAGGAAGTAAGCTGGGACGAAGAAGAAGATAACAGCAATAGCCGTGTGCGCGACGATTTGTAGTTTAATCCTTGTTTGCTCCTTTATATAGTATGGGAAGACTGAAAGAAGAAACAGGCCACCAATTGTGGCGTGCGGCGCAAGATATAGTAAATCGCGATCTATCATTGCGAACGAGTTGGGTGCAAGTTACAACTACTTGTGAATAGAGCAGCGACCAACGGGCCGACGAAAAGGGACAGACAGAAGCGCGCCGAGTGCGCCAGATGGCAGATAGCCGAAAGCTGGAGTGGACCGCGATAGAGAAATGAACGTCGTAGCCCGCTAGCGGTCCTCCCGTGCCGTTTGTGTGTGAGTGTATGCGAGCGTTTGTGTGTGTGTGTGTGAGTGTGCGAGTTGTGCGTATTTCAAAGTCCTACGTGTCGTTAGACGCAGTTTGTCGCGGAGCCAAATTCTTCCAATGAGAGAGAAGCGGTGCTAGTGGCCGACCATGAGGGGGATTCGTCTAAAAATGGGAGCCGGAAAATTTGGGCCTTGTGTTGTTGTTGTTGACTGACTGGGGAATGTGTGAAAGAAGAGGGTGCTTCTGCGCACGAGGTAACAACAAAAATCGCCCGCTAAAAATTCACATTTCGTTTTTTTTGTCAAGTTTTTATTTTCATTTTCGTTTCTTTTTCACATATTTGTCAAAAATGCACTTATTGAATAACGTTGAACACAAAATATTTGTGTCAAAAAGTGAAGAAGTGGGGGCAGGGAGGAGCTATTCACCAAAGACATTCGACTATAAATGTGAAGACAACGTGGAAAAAACAAAATTTCACCTGCTGACACTTTCAAAGCAATTTTTATGCCAAATGTAGTTTTTAAATACTGAAATAAAATTAATGAAATATCATAAACTCTCTACTTAGCTGAACTAGGGTCACATGCTCCTGCTCATTTTTGCGTCATTCTTGAAAAAAAATATATTCCTCTATCATATAATCCTTCTTCTTCGTGGATTTATACCATACAAACAATAAAATTGAGATATAAATATCCTAGAAATACTTGTTTTCTTTTTTCAGATGTTTTACTTTATTTTTTATCAGAAAATGACTCCAATATTTCAAATTTTGTACAACACCAAAAATTAAACAACATTATTAATATTATTATATTTCAATTTATATATTTTTTATTGATCATCTGAAAAATTCCTTTAACATGTATTCACATGAAAAGTCATGCTTCAACAAAAAGTTCAGCTTATCATTTCTGAAAATGACTTTTTATTAAAATCAAATTATTACATATTTACGAATGAGAAAAAAGAAGGTACCAATGTCATATTTTATAGACCACCGATAACTTTAATAAATTGATGCTTATTTTTATATGTATATAAATAAATAAATAAATATATATATATATAAATATATATACATATATGTATATGTATTATCTAATTATATCTCATGACATTAAATAAATAAGATTTGGTATGTCATGAGATATGCTCTACACGCTAAATATTTGTCCAATGAACTGATCTGATCCATTGATGTTTATGTTTGTGGGACATTCTCATAGTATATTTGACATGGATTCATTAAGAAATCGTCAGATTCAAACTATTTCAGACGCTGTATCAGTTTTTCAATGGTATCTGCTTTAACAGTGTGCCATCTTCCTAAAGACGCTGCGTATGGAGGTATGCGTTTGAAGTGTTGATGAAACCTAATTGAAATAGTAACAAGACTGCAGATTTGAACTTTGGAATTTCACCAAAACGCTTTCAAAGTTTAGTGGTGTGTGATAGAATTTGAAATCTAGTGGATTGGTGAGAAAAAAATTCCCCCGAAACATGTTTATTTCTTATTCATAACTGCGTACTCAGAACTATGACGATATGAATCCAGGAAAAAATGCCGGAACCTTTTTATAGGGCAAACAAAATTTGGAGAAGCAAACATTCATGACCTATTTTATGGTATTTAGAATATTCGAGATTTCTTTATTTTCAAATAGAAGCAATTGGTTTGGACATATTTTAAAATAAAAATTAGTTTGAATATTCATTATACAATTATTTTCATGCATATGTTTTCAACTACTAGTTTTTTCTCATCCAATATACCTGATTTTAGACAATTTTTAAATTTCATCTTATTTTATGAGTTCTTCGCGTGAATTTTTAAATTTTGCATTTTGCATTTTGCTGAAGCCATATTTAAAACGGACACGCGGCAAAATCCAACCGAATAATGAAAATCACTTTTTTATTAGCATTTTCTGCTCAATATATCTCATAATCCAACGAGACCGATATAAAAAGCAGAACAAAAATCGTTTTTTTTTTTGTCACAACTTTGTCAGCCTTTTTTTTACTATCTGCTATTAAATTTTATTTCCATTCATGCCATGAACCATATTCATGTTTTTGTTGATGCCTTTCCGATTCTCTGTTTTACAATAGAAATTCTAATTAGCTATACTACATCTGAAAAATTAAATATGCAATCAAATTGTTTTTTATTAGTAACCTAGCTGGAATAAAATTTCGAAAATCCCCAAGTTCGCATTCATTATTTACCGAGCCGCGTTGAATCTTTATTTATTTTTGATGAACCATTTTTTAATCGAAGCGTTTTCATTCTTCTCCTAACTAATCATAATTGTGTTTTATTGGCTATTAAAACAACAACATTTGTTTATAATAAAAATAATTATTGCCACGAAAAATAATAAAATATGTATAACATTTTCTTGCTTGTGTTTATAAAAATGAGCTAGGTTTCTGGAAATAAGACTCAATGAAACTTTCTCCATTTTGGGTTTTGTTATTTCAAGATTTTTGAGATTTCTATCTTTTTTTTTTTAAATTAATACCTCATACGTATTAGTATTTTTTGTTATTACTTGTTTCTGTCTTGAACTCAATCGTGTTTTAATTCAAATTGAGCAGGTATACTGCTTGTAAGGATTCCCACGAGGATTTTTCTCTTTGGTGTTCGATTTTGAATATTCGTCAGTTTATTTCTCCAAAACTTCGTGTTTGAGCAGAATATCCCTTCCAAATTTCCAATAAACCGCCCATATAGCAAAAAATGGCGCATATGCAGCTGTTCCTACTCAAAATTGGCTAGGCATATAATTATTATGTCTGCGATATGAATTACTATAGTGTCGTTCCTTCAAAAAATCACTTTTTTGGTTATGAAAATTCCAAGCAACTTTATGTACAAACTATGTAACATTTATTTGAGCTTTTTATAAATCTACTGTGTTGTTGTTTTTTTTTTTTAGGATAATGTAAGATTTCCGCTTATAACTGTTTCTTTCCATTGTAGATTTATTGATGAAGGGATAGGTAATTTTTTATCAATAAATTCTTGAGGAATGTTTTTTTAAATGTTTTTTAATACACCGATTGCGTTATATATATCCAGATGTTTCAATTCCAATTAATTTTGTGAGGTCATTCTCAATATACGATATTGAGTTCTCGTCTAATTCGAATTAGAAACTCTCCTCAATGTGAACGTTCGTCAAAACATGTCAAATAAAATCTTTATTATATTTCCAGGAATGTCTTCTGTTTCTATAATTCAGCAATTTTTTGTTTCTGAAAGATGACAAGTTCATTAATGAACATTGGTTGCCATTGCAAACTACACTCTTTGAAAAATGGTAGCAAAACATTTAAAAACTATCCCATTATTCATCCATAAAATCCATAATCTCAATGCTGTTTTTTTCAAACATGAAGGAACTTTAATTAATTGTTTATATAAAGTAATAACTATTTTCTACAAAACAAAACAGAATGTGTTATTGTATGACATTTTTTGGTTCTATGTTTTGTTATGGGATGCATTGAATTTCAAATTTTTAGAAAATTAGTTTTCATGAGAACTGGATGTCTTTTGTTTTCTAGCAGCATTTTTCAACATGATTGATTTGTAGGCGAGTCCTAGTTAGGGAAAAAGTTTGTGTCTTTGAAAGATTAATTCTAGTCGAAAAAAACGGAGAAGACAAGTTTTAAATTAGTTGACTAGTAGTTGTAGGACGAGCCTTCGTTGCATGTCATTTTGACATTTCTCATATTTTTCGTCTTGAGCATTACAGCCCAAAGAACGTCATAGTTCACGTGCTTTGTTCGTTATTTAGGAAATATTGTTTAAATAGTTTTTTTCATCTATTAGTCAACCGCTTTGCATTTTACATATTGTCCCCTTTTCATTAATTAATAATAATTATGGGAAAAGTTTTTATATCATTTTTTTTTCAATCTTTTACACCTCTGTCCTCCCCGAAATTATTTGGTTCCGAGAATATATATTTTGTGATCTCAATTTTTAAAAACCGCAAAGCAAAAATTTCGTTCGAAATTTCATCCTTAATCATGAGCTAACTGCACATGACGTCTTCTTTTCCTCATATTATGCCGACAAAATATATTCAATGAATATTAATCATTTCAACATCACAGTTGATTCTGAACGTTTTATGAATATATTAATCGCTTAAAAATACGTGTCAAATGGTAATTGATAAAATGTTTCTTCTATGTAATCTCTATCGATAGCATCAGCAATATGCTAAAGTTTCGAGAAAATACGATAAGAAGTCTATAATAGTCAATCGGCTGAACTCAGGAATGCAATGTTTCAAAAATATTTCTCGGTTTTTAATCAGATAACAAAAGTAATTTGATTTCATAAAATTTAACTTGTGTGTGAGCAATTCGAAGTTCACAATACCAAATAATAAAACTTTTTAGCGAAAAATTAAACTTTCTAATTACCTTGAATCATAATATCTAGTTGGTGCCTTTTTTTGCATTTTATGAAATTAAAAAAATTTCTCACAACACCTTGTGATAAGATCATTATGGAAATATTTAATTTCTAAAAATCAACAAAATTATAAATTTATATCATTTGGATAAAAAATGATCAATTCATTCAAAATCGATAAATCGTATTCAATTTCTAGAAAATGTGTCTTCTCAACTGATAGCGCTTCCTAAAATGATCGGCCTATGATATCATGCTTTTTGTAGTTATAAACAGCATATACAATAAGCGGATGCCACTTGGCGCCACGCCCATTTCTATTATCTTTTTTGCTTGGTAATGTATTTGATAAGAAAATTATAGATCACCGTCTTCTCAAATTTT